GCACGAGAGAAGCAACATCTCTCTGGTGATGAATCTCTACTTTCCGATCTCCAAGGACTTTATGAACATAATATTCTACCGTCTCTGGTCCAGAACGATGCTATCTTATTGTCATGGCGCAGTTTGTTCAGTTCATTGACGATAGATTGTCTACGCTTGGTGATGGCTTCAACTATCATGGTACCACTCTTGTTTTTCTTAAATCGAGATTTCGCTTCGAACACTCTTTGCCTGTCATAATATCTTACGAAACGGGCGATAATAGTCGTTTTTCCATTCCTGACAGACCCTAGAACATGACATCAAAAAATCTGGTTTACTGACGCATTTACTTTCAGTTGCTGGTTACACAGATCAAGCACTACTTTCAAAGAGTCGGAATTCGCCTCGTTTTCAACCGGAACATTAATAAACTTGAGGCAAGTGCGCCTGGAATAATGATCATGATCGTCTAATATATCTTCATGTTGTTTCTGATTTTTTTTTCTAAAAGATCAATTCTCATTTGTAAAGCAGAAATCTCAGCATCTTTACTCATAATTGTTTTCAGTAATGTGTCAGTTTGTTATTCCACCTTTTTCTGTATTTTTCTTTCCAATGAATCAGACACAATGCTTTTAAAATTTTCTTTATTCTCAAGAAATTGCGATGTTTTGTCTTCAGCCAGCTTAACGATTTTATCGGTAAACACGGTATCAAGAGCCTTTACCACTGCATCGGCAACCGGAACAGCAAGTAGTTGAACCATATGATTCATGAAAACTGGGTTGGACATACAACGTTGTACAACGTTTAACGCCACCTGATGACAGGGTCGGTAACCCGTGACGAAAACAATGGTCGTGAACGACACACATGTTCGCGGTTCACTGCCCACCAGGTAAACTTTAATCACTGGTCAGACCGTGGTCGTAATTATGAGGTCAATTATCGTTAATAAGTGGTCGTTGGGACTGTAAGAAGTAGTCGTAATACGGAATAGCGGGGTGGTCGTAATACTGAAGCGACCAATACAAAGATATATAGTGGAAAAAAACGGCACTGAAAGAAAGTGCCCGTAATAGCGGGGCGGTCGTAATTTTCAGGTGGTCGTTAGGTGAGGTTTCACTGTAGTTTGATATAGGCTATCGGTCTCCGTGAAAGGCATGTACACAGTCTGAACGGGTGTATCGGGAACCGGCATTCCATCCGCCTGGTTAGCTTGACCCGGAGATCTGTACTGTAATAAACGTTTGGGGTCCGCTTGAGAGGAATTATCTGGAGAAATGGAGTCAATGGTACGTTTTCCATACTCGAACATAGGAAAGGAACGAGGGATATACCCGTAAGCTTGTTCACGGGTAATAACAGGTGTGTCATGCTGAGCAGTACTTACACATGTTGATGCCTGGCTAACACTCAACTGACCTTGACTACCAGGGATATCAACTGTATTGTTACCTGTCCCGGACATGTTTTTGTCAATTCTGTAATATTTCACTGTTGAAAACGTTCTAAAAATTGGCAGTAGTAACTAAAGCTCACTTGGAAATGAATTCCGAAAACGATAAGTCGCAAAACGTTAATTTGAACACAATTATTCACTGAAAATCCACCCACCGATTTTACCACCTCCTTTTCGCTAGGCCATCACGTGATCACCCATTTAGTATGATATTCTCTATGTTATAGTCTTGTAGGGTAACAGCTATGACTGCTGAATCACCAACCTTGTATTCAGGACTGGACGTGTTGATATGTATGTAGCAATCCTAAAACAAGTATTGTTCTTATCAGCGCTACAATTATTTGTGTTTTTCCTCGTTTCCTTGTTTGTTTGAATCTTGAAATCCAGATCCGAGGAAAAAAAGGAAGACATTATACTTATCTTGTATGCTAAAATTGTTAAGAATCCACACGGTAATTTATGAGAATAGCCTTGGATAAAAACGGCAGAAGAATAATAATTCAAAAAGCATTTATATAATTACACTAATTGTCATGTTATTTACCTTAGAGACTAAACAACTGACACGAATACACCGTGACTAAATTAGGTGATCTGACCATACCCGCACATTATAGAAAGTTTAATTACCGCCATTGACATTATTAATTGCACACTTTCCATGTCAGCTGCTTTATTCCATCGTCGTATTGGCTTGGTAGTTTGTGAAGTTTTAAGATTTGAAAGAGTCTGTATTGCAAGGTTTTTAACGATGTTGCTCAAAAGATAAACTCTAATCTAACGTGTTGATCGTTAACTACCCTATTTTTGCTCTGTATCTTTATCTAATGCATAACTTTTTATCATCATATATTTTCTTTATAAACACGTTTCATCTAAAAATATAGTATAGTTCGGAAACCACGTTCAAACTTAGTCTCCTTCCTGGTTCGCGGCAACAAGATGGCAGTGTTGAGAGACTCGCGTCTATGTAAAAGAATAAATCGGCGATAAATGTTTGTCTTTCAGAGGTACTTTAGGTTCATAGAATTAAAAAATATTTTTATAACCCCGAAGAATGGATTTCATGGGACCTGTATCAATGACTAGTTAGTTAAACGCAAAAAAAAGGTATTAGAGAAAAAAAGAAATAAAAAATGAGCTTTTGATCCTTCAGCCATAAACGGTCATATCGTCCAGGCTATTACAGTTCGCTAGTTCTATCTAAATTATTACTTCATTTAGCGAGTACCTAAATGAGTCCCCCGACTTCGTTGGGGTGTCTTAAAGGTACATCGCCGAGATAAACGTGGAAGTTAAAAGTGATACGCCAACCGATATTGAATATTCAAAAGTAGGAAATGTTTACTTAAGAAATCATTACCTTCCTTATGACAGTATTTTTCAGTTGGTAGCCCTGGTGAAAATCCAAGCATTCGATGAACTCCATTTTTCGACATTTAAAGTAATCTCCATCTTGGTCAATAGCTGGAATGCTTAATGTATAGATTCGATCTATTTCCAGCCTGAAACATTACAAAGACTGCCTATGGAGGATAGTAACGGTTGCCCCTTGAATATCATATGTATGTATACTTCATATGTTAAAATATCTATATTTCCAAGAGTTCGTAGCACAAGAGAATATATCAATATGACCTACCATAGAAATTTCCGGGGTAGGTATGTGAATGTAACAAAATGTTACGTGATAACACAAAAGTATTGAAGAAGTGATAAAAATCGCTATACTTAAGATTATCAAATATAGATTAACTTAATTCAGGGAAATCTGTTCCTTGTACAGGTCTTTTAAAGTACACGACCAAACAACTTCATTTGCAAATGTTTACCTACAGAGACTACATACAATGTAATCACACACGGAAAATTTTCCATCAGCGAATGATATATGTTCGTTTTCTAAGATACAATGTACCGAAGAAAGGACAGGAATTACATGGGAAACTTTACGTTTGCTTTAGGCAATACCAAGTTCTTTTTTACCTTGTTTTTAGTTTTAGGGGAGTATAACTATCGAAAGTTTGTACAGACGAAAGCCATTTTCTGAAGACTCCTTAGACGTCTAATGTTAATCTCGATAGAAGATTATCTCTCCCAGTTTTCAATCAGTAAACATGTTGACAAACTATATTATATGTATTACGACTTTGGTTTGTCGTTACAATGGTACAGAGAGCAATGCTACTGTATCTACGTAGAGATATCTGTACACGCATTATCTGATAAAGATGGGCTTATATTGCGTTTGGATTGTCTCCCTTTATCGAACTCTTTGGTTTGGAGAGTTATTAAGCTTTTAAATACGGAAAAGAAGAAAATAAAATTTAGGTCTGTCGTCGCACCGCTTTTTTAAATGTGTAACGTAATGTAACGAAAACGCTAAGTGATAATATTAGACGTTAAAGGGCTGATCGAACAGTTCTCTTCTCAGTAATTACTCCAACAATGTCAGAGGTTCAACATATGGAGGTTTTTTAGTGGTATAATAGCTATATTTTACATATGGAAAGTCCGATTTCTGTGCTAGAATTACCAATGCAAGCATGCGGACAAAGACATTACGTTGCTGGGACCCACGTGGCAAATTAATAATGATTATGATTTTAGTAACAGCTCGGCTACCACCGACATACTTCAATTTCAACTTTAGCTTGTAAGTCTATTGGAAGGTCTTTACTGCAACCTTTGTTAACAGTGAATAAAAAAAATCACACGCACAACTCATGCGTATTATCGTAATAGAATATATTTTATTTAATAAAACATTTCTAGATCTTACAAATTCAGTACAGTATATTATACTGTTTTTTCCTCAGTGTTCAATCATACCGTGTTCTATCCTTTCATTTATTGCATGTTATAAAAATTAAACAAGAGACGGGTAATAACTTTTACTATTTACTGTAGAATGATTTTACCTTCTTCAGATCAAAATGCTACATGTATATTTAATGAATTAATGTTGGTATGTGTTCATGTATATATAATGTGTTTCAAACATCTGTCCATTGATATCGGGCATTTCATAAGAAAACATCCAGGTAAGACAGATAATTAAGTTACAGCCAGGTAACATCTCAGGTGTGGTGATCAGTGTGTATACAGCGGTATACAATCAATACAAGTGGAATATCAATTGTTGTGAAATCATTGATTCTACCCAGCCCATATGTTGTACTGACCTCACAGCCTGCTAGTAGACAGGGATGCCCCAGCTGTACCCTGCATTCAGTACTATTGTACCGGAGCATGTTCACAAGTCAAGGATTACATAGTTTATAAACTGGACAAGTGTGTTTTTTAGTTCTTGTCATCACAGCAAAAGTTTTTAAATTGTTTAAAGTATCTTTACACATCAAAGCACTGTAAGGACCACTCGGGACAGGAAATGTGTTCTTTTTAGATTTGTGGTAATGATGAAAAAGTGGTCCGACCTGCAAGTGTAGGGTTTGTGGACATTCTTCTTTATGGGTAGGGTGTGATTCGTTAATCTCCAACCATGTGTTTAATCACATTTGTGCCTCACAGAAAACAACAGTTGTTGTTGAGGATGACAAATCAACATGTATCTATAATTTTCTACAACATATTTTTCATTCTTGTCTCTGTGACATCATTTGGAAGCCATGTTTCCTCTCAGTTAATTCTACGACCATTTCCACCACTTTTCAATGCAGCACGTAACCGTCCTGTCACCAGTAGTCCTTCTGACAGTACTTGTGGAATCCCATCCAGGAATGCCTATTGTAAGAGTTCTGTATATTCGGTATCTGTAGAACAGTGTACACAAGATTTCTGTGTACAGACTTGTCCAAACAGGACAGCTCTACCCACCCCTCTCAACCTCCTCATTGTCACCAGTCCAGGCCAAGGAACATGCATTGCTGTGGATACTGTAAACACCAAGCCAGGAAGTAAGGCAGGAGACAGGTCTACTTTTTTTGTAATGGAAGGGACAGACTGTTACCTCACCCCAGTGGAAACCCCTGTTGTAGGACTGGAGGGATCTATCACCATCGCTGTCTGGGTCTGGCAGCAAGAAAACAATTTGGGGTAAGTCAGCTATAAGATCAGTGCCCCAAACAAGGAACACTTTATGGCAATATATGTAACAAGTCATTCTTCATTACCTCAAATACAGCCATGGTTCCTTCTGATGATTTTATAATTGAAAATAGAAATAATGTATTGAAACAAGATATCTGCTGAACTGACATTACTGATGTACAAAATGTAACAGTCATAATGACATTTTTAAGATAAAATAAAATTGTATCAACTGTTTGATTTAGAAATATCGCAGAAGTGACATCTTAAGATATGTGAACATTCATAATTGAAGAGATATCCACTGTAGACATGTGAAGAGATATCCACTGTAGACATGTGAAGAGATATCCACTGTAGACATGTAAAGAGATATTCACTGTAGACATGTGGAGAGATATCCATTGTAGACATGTGAAGAGATATCCACTGTAGACGTGTGGAGAGATATTCACTGTAGACAGGTGAAGAGATATTCACTGTAGACAGGTGAAGAGATATCCACTGTAGACAGGTGAAGAGATATCCACTGTAGACTTGTGAAGAGATATGCACTGTAGACATGTGAAGAGATATCCACTGTAGACATGTGAATAGATATCCACTGTAGACATGTGAAGATATATCAACTGTAGACATGTGAATAGATATCCACTGTAGACATGTGAAGATATATCAACTGTAGACATGTGGAGAGATATACACTGTAGACATGTGAAGAGATATCTTGCAGCAAAAGCTTAAGAGATATGAACATGAAAGAGGTATATCTAACAAATATTTCATTCTTTTTTTTGTTTTTGTTTTCTTAAGTATCCAATTTGTATCTGAACACATTTTCAGATGTAAAAAAATTCCCCAATAAAAAACTCCTGCATGCTTTTTCTTTATGAATGAACATCCTGAAGTTTTCTCTCATTTGTTTTTTTAATTGATCTTCTTTCATTTAAGAATGTTTATGGTCCTGATGATTTTTTGGATCATCCGACCCAAAGGGTCAGGTTGACCAAGGTATAGCCATCATGTTTGATTTGTTGTCATGCTCTGTCTGCCTGTAATGCTTTTACATTTTAAGCTCCTTCTCAGCTTTTATGAGTGGCATTGAGCTGAAACTTGCCTGAATATTCCTGGTTCAGACAAAGTAATACTATTCTTGTGGGTTAGTTTGATATCCAATATGACCACCATTTTGTAAACTCATTTTAAACCTATCAAATTCCACTGGTGCCTTTGAGCTGAAAATGATTGAAATGTGAGGGAAGGGAAGTCAACAAAGTGTTAAATTTTTACCTCATCATCAAAAGTTCATTATGGGTCAGTCCAAAATCTAATATGGCCGTTGTGGCCATAATCTTTCATTCCAAAGGTGCCATTGAGCTGAATTTTGTGGGAAAATTGAGAAACTGAAATGAGTGTGTTGCCTCTATTGCTAAAAAGATTTTTTTATTCATTTGATAACTGTTACTACTGTTGTGATAAATATGTATACATGTCTTTATTGTCAGATGACTGTTAAGACCCATGTTCCTCTGGCTTTCTAATGACAATGAACATGGATACCAATCAGAGAGAACATTTTAGCAAAGAGTTTAGATCTGAAACACCATAGTTTGTTAAATAAGGAACATGTTTGGTTATGTATCAATTATTAATTAATTGACCAACTTGAGGCCTGTATGATGATGCCATTTGTCCACATAACAGAATAACATACCAATCCATCTGTCTGCCATTGACATTTACCGATACAACAGCTGTAACATTTACTGATACAACAGGTGTGACATTTACTGATACAACAGGTGTGACATTTACTGATACAATAGGTGTGACATTTACCGATACAACAGGTGTGACATTTACTGATACAACAGGTGTGTGACATTTACCGATACAACAGGTGTGACATTTACTGATACAACAGGTGTGACATTTACTGATACAACAGGTGTGACATTTACCGATACAACAGGTGTGACATTTACCGATACAACAGCTGTAACATTTACCGATACAACAGCTGTAACATTTACTGATACAACAGCTGTAACATTTACTGATACAACAGGTGTGACATTTACTGATACAACAGGTGTGACATTTACCGATACAACAGGTGTGTGACATTTACCGATACAACAGGTGTGACATTTACCGATACAACAGGTGTGACATTTACTGATACAACAGGTGTGACATTTACCGATACAACAGGTGTGACATTTACCGATTCAACAGGTGTGACATTTACCGATTCAACAGGTGTGACATTTACCGATACAACAGGTGTGACATTTACTGATACAACAGGTGTGACATTTACTGATACAATAGGTGTGACATTTACTGATACAACAGGTGTGACATTTACTGATACAACAGGTGTGTGACATTTACCGATACAACAGGTGTGACATTTACCGATACAACAGGTGTGACATTTACCGATACAACAGCTGTAACATTTACCGATACAACAGGTGTGACATTTACCGATACAACAGGTGTGACATTTACCGATACAACAGGTGTGACATTTACCGATACAACAGGTGTGACATTTACCGATACAACAGCTGTAACATTTACCGATACAACAGCTGTAACATTTACTGATACAACAGCTGTAACATTTACTGATACAACAGGTGTGACATTTACTGATACAACAGGTGTGACATTTACCGATACAACAGGTGTGTGACATTTACTGATACAACAGGTGTGACATTTACCGATACAACAGGTGTGACATTTACTGATACAACAGGTGTGACATGTACCGATACAACAGGTGTGACATTTACCGATACAACAGGTGTGACATTTACCGATACAACAGGTGTGACATTTACCGATACAACAGGTGTGACATTTACCGATACAACAGGTGTGACATTTACCGATACAACAGCTGTAACATTTACTGATACAACAGCTGTAACATTTACCGATACAACAGGTGTGACATTTACCAATACAACAGGTGTGACATTTACCGATACAACAGCTGTAACATTTACTGATACAACTGGTGTGTGACATTTACCGATACAACAGGTGTGACATTTACCGATACAACAGGTGTGACATTTACCGATACAACAGGTGTGACATTTACCGATACAACAGGTGTGACATTTACCGATACAACAGGTGTGACATTTACCGATACAACAGGTGTGTGACATTTACCGATACAACAGGTGTGACATTTACCGATACAACAGGTGTGACATTTACCGATACAACAGGTGTGTGACATTTACCGATACAACAGGTGTGACATTTACCGATACAACAGGTGTGACATTTACCGATACAACAGGTGTAACATTTACATAAAACGTTATATGGGAGAAGCAGTTAAGCATACCTGTTATCATTGTTTTAATAAATGAAATACTAGAAGAAAGAAAGTAGAGAATAAAGTTGATACAACTGTCACTTTTGTTCAGTTACACCTGTTACATTCCTGTTCACCTGTTTGACATTTAACCTTTACCTAGATATTGATTAGTAACAGGACCCTATACCTTCACATTGATTCTACCTCTGCCAATTTTCCACATTGGCATCAATAATTCAGAGAGATCTGGCCCCACACCCAATATTGCCGTCCAGAACATCTCAGGGCATCGTTTATCATTGTGAGTCAACACACATAACACTCATCATATTCTTTAGAGATCTAATTTTTTTTAATACCTGGTTCCTTGTATTGTAAAGAAATGCTAGCAGCCTTAACTTAATTCACATGTGCTAGTAACTTTTAATTAGTATAAACTCTCAATAGCTATCAAAGGGAAGTTGGAAGAAATTGATTTAAACATACCATAACATTGGAAAGAAGGAGAGTTAAACAAGAGGCTTCTTCTCCAGCTGTCTGTCTTTCACCTAAGGCTCTCAAGCATTTTGTTTGTCATACTTACACACAATAAACTGGTATATGGCTTTGTACAATATGATAAGTAACCACAGGTGACTAACCGAGATACAGTAAAATTGGTTTCACACCTCTAGTTATGGCAATTTTTGTTTCTCAAGAGAACCAGACTTAACATGACCTAACATAAAAACATCATAACAAATGACAGATCCAGTTGAAATTTCAGTTCCATATCTCCTGAGTTCCTGTATGTTTATGTACAGAGAAACTTGTTTGTCTCTTTTCAAATGTAATAATTCAAGACTACTTCAGTAAATCCAAAAAGGCCCGCAGATATTGATACAAGTTTTCGAAAGTGTTTGGATGCAAAGTTTGACAGAGAGGAGAATGAGTACACATGTCTTTACTTTGTAAATAAACATTTCTGGTTGTATTCTGTTTGTTGCATCCTCAGGACCCTGTTACAAAAAGTGTCCTCCAGTACACAAGAGATCATCCTTGAGCTTCAGATATCAAAGATTGGCATAGACTTCACATTCAGGAGTAGGGCAGGTGTTGCCACTGTAACATTACAGGAAAGCCTGCCTCAGAGAACCTGGATTCACCTGGCTATTCAGGTAATGCCCTGATAACATACCATATACATGATAAACCCACTCTGAAAGACATCAAAAGGTATGACATATACTAGTACCTGTCTATAAAGGTACACCTGTCTGTAACTGTATTTTATATACAATGTACTTTATGAATGTATGTTACAACGCCTGCTCCAGATGAATGTAAATAAACCTTTCGATAAAGGTATGATATGTATATATATGTAAGTGTACCTTTGTACAAAGGTGAGAAAAGATACCTGTGTAGAAGGCTTTATTTTGAACCGTACACAAGAAGACACATGTATATTACATTGGCTAATTATAGTAACAGGCATATCCCTGCTGAGTTATACAGCTGCCATGGTAATGAATGGAACTACTCCAAGATAGGATTCTTTTATTGTTATGTATGAATTATACATGGTAAGATCAGATTAATTACAATTTGATCACCACTTTTCAGTGTTGTTATTTCTTGCCTGGTATTACATCTGGCCATGAATATCAGAGAAATAGCAAGAATTCTTTACTTTCCAGAAAATCTGAACATATTTAATTCACAATTATAACTTGTGCATGAAACAGAGCATACTGGTAGTACATGTACATGCTGTAATTGAGCCATGGAGAACATTTTAGATATGTCAGTACAAAGAAATCTATTGTATACTTATTTTGGTTCTTAAACATTTTCAAGAATTATCATTTACTAGGTATTGAAATTTCTTGTTTACTACCATTCACAAGATTTCATGAGAGAGTGTTTTGTAACTAGAAATTAATTATTTCATAACAGGTATATTTGACTACGTTGAGCTTTTACCTGAATGGTACAGGACCAGGTTATACAGCAGTAAAGACGATTGACCTTGGCAATCCTATTCTGGATGGTCAAGGGGAGGCCAGAATTGGGCAGACACTATCAGGTAACTAGTCTTCTTATAGTAGAAAGTTATAAAATTCTCTCACTCTCATTTCGTAAAATGATGAAAATAATGTTGTGATGTTAATTGAATCCTATGACTTTTTTTTTATTTCCATTTTCAGGAACAAATCAATTTTTGGGAAGGATACAGGATTTTGTTTTCTTTGATGTTACACTGACAAACAGGTAAACATTGTTGATAAGGAAGCCTATATCTACATGTGTTTTTCTCTTTTTTTCGTTATATATGTTTGACAACTAGACAAGTTTTATTTTTAGAAATTGAGTGTCATAAAGGAATAGGTTCCATATTTGTTTTACATTAGAAAATAAAGACAGAAATTTCAGAACCTTGGATCAGATTTTCAATTCATGGTTGTAATTTTTTTATAATGAATTCCTAGGAAGTTATTTAATGTAAATATATCCTGAAGGGTTTTGGGAAACTCCCACACAAGTATATGAATTAGAAGTATTCACAATGATCCATATACATAATCACATTAACAAGGAATGTAATACTTACAAATTGTCTTCATGTTCAAATTTCATGCATCTTGTTAGAAAAAACAGATTTGGGAAGTACATGTATTAGTAAGTTAGAATTCAGTGTCAGGACTAGAGTCATGTAACCATATGAAGATGTACATTCTTTACTGATAGGGAGATCTCGGAGTTATATACAGGAACCTTGCCGGAGACTCGAGCCCAGAATGAATGTCTCTGTCCACCTTCACATCCTCGTATCAAACCAAACCAGGAACATTACTGTATTCCTAATGGTGTTCCCGATAACCGAGGAGACAGCATACTCCGTCTCAACAACCAATCACACAATCTCCAGTACATCAATGATGGTGACAGCCGCTCCCTCTGGATCTCAAAGTTTCAGGATACTGTGAACATCACTGTGGATCTGGGGGATAAATTCCAGGTAACGGCCTCTTTATCTGTTTTTCAGCTTCATGATAAGTACAATCACAAATACATGTAAGATGCTTGGCTACTTATCATTTAAGATACTTGGCCATCACATATAAGATGCTTAGTTACGTATCACAAAAGATGCTTGGCTACGTATCACATAAGATGCCTGGTTACGTATCACATAAGATGCTTGGCTACATATCACAAAAGATGCTTGGTTACGTATCACATAAGATGCTTGGTTACGTATCACAAAAGATGCTTGGCTACGTATCACAAAAGATGCTTGGCTACGTATCACAAAAGATGCTTGGCTATGTATCACAAAAGATGCTTGGCTGTGTATCACAAAAGAAGCTTGGCTTCGTATCACTTAAGATACTTGGTGATAGAAGTTAACTTTGTTGTCGTTTTGCTCTCCCAGAAATAATGAAGGTGACTTGTAAATATAGAGAGAGCTTTAGTTTACTTGTAATTTCCTATAATTCAAGGGCATTAACTGTGAAATGATTTCTACATAACAAACAATGTTGGTATGTTTAGGATGACTGCTAAAGATAAAAGAAAGTGTATGACAGATATTGAAAAAGATGTGCCTCTATTATAGGTGTTCTACATTGAGCTGCTCTTCTACAGTCCTATGCCAAAGGCAGTATCAATAGAGCGCCAGAAAAACCTTACATCTTCGTGGGAAATGTGGCAAATGTATGCTGAGAGTTGCTATGATTACTTTAAACAGCCTGATAACGGACCTTTAACTTCATCTACATCTGTCAACTGCATCAAGTTTGGCTCGTAAGTTATAGGATAATGCTTTGCTCTGAAGATAGGATTGCATTGGGAACTGTCAAGTTATCTGTCTTATGAATATCCTATTTATTGCATGGACAACAGTTATGATTTGTTTTTGGTTAAAGTAAAGAAGTTGTGTAGTAAAGGAATCTTAGCATTATATTTTCAAGGGCAAATAAGAGTGAACATTTGATATACTAAAACTTACATACATAAGGTGAAAACAGATGTAAATGTGAATAAGACAGGCCCCTATGGCTTGTCATTATCATTCATGACATTTTTGTGTAAGTGTATGTTATCGTTATGATATCCCCTCCTAGTAAGTTTGGAGGAATTTTTTATTTGAATGGATCTGATCTACTGTGTCATTGTATCTCAGGAAGCTGATATGGGCTACCTTCAAAATTAAAAACTTTCTTCTGTGGTTTTTTGGGGGAACTGTTAATATATAGAACTTCATCTTCAGTCCCCAGTGTAATGCTTGAGAGCTATATCTACCTTTTATGGCTTCAAATTCATGATCTCTTTGGTTCTGCAGTGTCTTTACCTGGCACCTGTATTTAGGCTGATAATTGTGTGACTGGGTAGGGTTTTATGCTGTCATATGTGACATTTCCATGCATTGGTGCTTGACTATCAAACTTTGATATACTATGAGAATTCCAGGTGACTATGCAGCAATCCACACAATTAATCAGCTTGTACTGCAGTCATTACTTTTGCAAAAAAGATGATTATAAGAATTGATCCTACCAGCAAAGTGTTGCAAAGTTGAATGGTAAATTAACCTAAATATAAGTAGCAAATGGCTAAAAAACATATTCTGATCTTGCACTTTGCAGGAGAGTAGAGGATGTGCCGTACTCCAAGGGAAACATCACAATGAGTCTGCTGGCTTCAGAGCCAGTGGCACGACCAGGCTACACTGACTTTTACAACACACCAGAATTACAGGAATTTGTGGAGGCGACACGTGTCCATCTCCAATTTATAGATCACTATTATGTCAATACTTTGAGACATGAGTATTATGGCGTGTACGACTTAAGTGTCACAGCGAGGTAACTACTACACTGAAGCACAACTTCTCACTAATTACTACTCTGTTATCTAGACTTCAGTGTCACAGCCAGGTAACTACTACACTGAAGCACAACTTCTCACTAATTACTTCTCTGTTGTCTAGACTTCAGTGTTACGGCGACGTAACTACTACACTGAAGCACAACTTCTCACGAATTACTACTCTGTTATCTAGACTTCAGTGTCACAGCCAGGTAACTACTACACTGAAGCACAACTTCTCACTAATTACTACTCTGTTGTCTAGACTTCAGTGTCACAACGAGGTAACCACTACACTGAAGCACAACTTCTCACTAATTACTACTCTGTTACCGATACATGTAATCCAATGAATCACTGTATTGCCTTTGCATTACTGTGTCAGCAGAGTCAATGTCCGTCCATAATTATCATTGGTCTTCTCACAATTGTTTTCTGAGAGGTAACTTAATTTGGCTTTGGCTAATTAAACTAAGACGTACTACTCTAGTTTTGAATGGCTTCCTTTAGGTCTGAAGGTCAAAGTCAATGTTTCTATGAATTTGTAATTTGTTTCCTTAGAGTAATTTCAGTTTCTTCACCATTCGTTAGATTCATTAAAGTAATGACAAATTCTTAAACCAGTTCAGTTAACATAGAGACCCACTGTATATAACATCTGATAGTTCACACTTATATGGTCATATTTACAGCTTTTCGTTGATTAAGGCATCTAAAATTAAATAAAAATACCAAGATCACTAAAAACTGTTTGTTATAGATGTGAATGTAGTGGGCATGCATTTGACTGTGACACGTCTGTCCTTCCCTACAAGTGTAATTGTACATCAGAAAGCCACACCATTGGAGATAAGGTAAGAACTGTATAACAACACTTCTCACCTTCTATAGAAGTCACAGAGTTGGTCAAGCTGTTCACAAGTTTCTAGTAATTCTGCACTCAGCAAAATAACACTAACATTGAACCTACATTTGATAAAAGGCCTTTACAAATTATATTTTAATCTGTTGTTTTACTGTGCAGTGTGACCAATGTGATCCCCTGTACAATAGTAAACCGTTCAAGAAGGGAGACCAGATCAATGCTTACAACTGTAAGGCCTGCCAATGCTACGGCCATGCCTCTAGCTGTGTGTATGACAAAAGCCTTGACCTTTTCCCAGCCGACCATGACCTTGGTGGGGGTGGGTTGTGTATCAACTGTCAGCACAACACTGCCGGCCGCTTCTGTGACACCTGTCAGCCGCTTTACTATAGACCTGTAGGCAAGAGTATGTTTGATGAGGATGTCTGCACTCTCTGTCTCTGTGACAGAACAGGCATACTAGGCTTCAACACAGACTGTGAGAAGGTAGGACCTCCATAAAAGTCTGGTTTTAATTTGTTCCTTAGAAGCATGAAGTCTTGCAAGTTGAATTGTCTTTTCATCAATATTACTGTAGGCAAACTTCATAATCATTAATCTAGAGTAAATTTGTTTCTTGTACCACAAATATATCTATATGTAACTTGAAGTGATTGATCTCTTTTTCAGCACTATTTCTAGAGGAAATTCATTAGGTTTAGCTAATATCAAAAATCGCGAGGAAAAAATGAAAAGTTTTTGTACGTGGAGTTTTGTGTTAGTAAAAATATGAAGTATTACCTCTTTGTTTTCGTGTTTAGGAAGGAGGCCAATGTAGCTGTAAACCCAATGTTGGTGGGCGTCAGTGTGACGTCTGTAAGGCAGGATTTTACAGTCTCAATATCTCTGACCCCTATGGCTGTAAATCTTGTGGATGTGATGTCCAGGGTACCATTGGGGCAAACCAGTCATGTGATGCAATCACTGGTGACTGTTTCTGTAAACCAAATGTCAGAAGTAAGCATATAGCAGTGACTAGACCTTCATTATTTTTCTTTATAACATTCCTAAACTTTGTCATTACCTCATCTTTAACAAACTTTTTGTCTCAATAAATTCAAAAGTTTCTATTCACAATAAAAAAATTGGGTAGACCACATCTTTATATATTTCCAGTGTTTTGTTGATAAAGGTGTTTTAACTGTTGTTCTAGATATACAGAAAATTTGTGTCTTTACTATATATACAATGCTTTATTGGTTGTAATCATACTTGTATTAATTTCTTGGAGAGATAAATTGGGAAAGACTGAAGAAGTACTTTTAATGCTTCTGCCAACCTCATTCATTCCCAATCCTCTACTTCTACTTACAGTCAAACTTCTATAACTGAAAATCCAATGATTAGAATTTCTACATGTATCAATTTTTGTTCTTGTCCTGAATGGTATTCCTACATTACTAACTTACCTCTTCATGAATCAAAGTTGTATAAAACAAACTATACAAAGTCCACTGACCGTTAGCTATGATAACACAGTAATTGGCACCTGATGATCCCAATAAATCAAATACCTGTACTGTACATATACTTGACTCAGCAGCAGAATTTCACACATTTCCAAAAAGTGCTGCCTGACAAAGGGATTGGGATTGTGAGCTGTTTACACATTGTTATGATGTTAATTAATGACTAGACACATAGTTTCATTGCTTACATACAAGCCATGATATTTAATCAACATTGATAACAGTAGGTTGTGTGATGTTCACAGCACCCAATTCATTCATAGTATGTTGTGAGGTCAGATTTGTGGAACTATGTAAGCAGTAAATCCAGAACTCATGACAACAATTTTGGTGGTGCAGTTCATTTAAAATTGATCCATGAAATAAATACTGGTATAATCAAGGTGTATTGTACATTTGGAGAAAAATGTAATGTAAGTACACAGGTACACATTTCTTGATCACTTCTGTTAAAGTTAAATTTTGTTTCTTTAATAAAATCTTTTTATGGATAATATGATCTCTTTGTACTTAAACTTTGAGTTGGTATTTGTAGTGTTTGTTGAGGTAGGGATATTGTGTCATCAACAATCGTCATAGACATGATAATGTTGATATAACCCACAACAAATCATCCAAAGTGTCAATGTATGAAAGTTTTTTTGCTAATCCCTCAAACTTCGAAGTTTGACTGTATTTTTGTGTTTATGATTTAATAACTTTATTTCTCAGTGTTTACTCACTGCATTTATATAGCAATAAATGCAATGACTGAGGGGTCAGGTGGTGAACTTAATATCACATCAAAATAGTAGAAAAGCTGCTTAACTTATAGATATAGGTAGATTTATTGCCTGATAACTACAATAACCTTTTTTTCATTGACTCTGTATTAAATACATTTGATCTTTTGAACAGATGCCAAGTGTGATGCATGTCAGTATGGGTTCTACAACCTTACCTATGATAACCCACTTGGCTGTACCTCTTGTCAGTGTAACCCACAAGGATCCACGTCCAGGTTTTGTAACACTCAGTCTGGTATGTGTAGCTGTAAGGATAATATAGTGGGTCGTCAGTGTGATCAGTGTGCTCCAGGCTTCCATAACTTTGCCCAGGGTTGTCTCCCCTGTCAGTGTGACATCCAGGGTACCATAGAGGACACCTTTTGTGACCCAGTGACTGGCCAGTGTGTGTGTAAAGTGAATACACAGGGGCAACGATGTAGTGAATGTAGGGATGGTAGTTTTGGATTTGGAGCATCTTCTGTGAAAGGCTGTTACGACTGTACTTGTAACTTAGCAGGCACGCTCAACAGCTCATTGACCTGTGACAAGACAACTGGTAGCTGTATGTGTAAGAACAATGTGGAGGGCACTAATTGTAATGTATGTAAAGGCAATACCTTTGGTCTCAATATCACTAACTCTGAAGGCTGTGAGCCATGTGACTGTGACCCGTCAGGGACCCAGGGAGGAAATTCTGGCGGTGTCATTAGTGACCTCTCTTGTAACCAGAACACTGGTCAATGTACTTGTCTGGCCAACAGGATTGGCCGTCGTTGTGATGACTGTGATAAGGGTAAGTCAACAACTAATGGTATGGTTTCTATTTATGTAACTAATGTTAAACTGGGTTTTTTTAAAGGCCTGATTCAGATTTGATGCGAAAACATATTTGAAATACTACGATTTGCAGATAATATGTATGAATACTATCTTGCCCACACAGGATATTACTATAACCCTGACCCTGGTGTCGGATGTAACAGTTGTGGGTGTAACCGTGCTGCCACCATCCCACAGACCTACTGTGATTCACAGACAGGCCAGTGTCAGTGCAAGGGAGACAACACAGGTGTTGTAGGGAAAACCTGTTCTGAGTGTATGGAAGGCTATTACAAATTTGACCGTGTCACAGGAACGTAAGTGATGATGAGCAGAAATTTCCTTAGAAATGTTTTTTTGGTTTTTAAATGTCATCTTTTGTTATGTTATGGATTATGTTACTGTATGTGACATGTGTGTTAACAGGTGTTCCTTCTGTGACTGTTCTCCTGCTGGAACTGTCAATCAAAATCAGACCTGTGATCCTGTGTCAGGAAACTGCGAGTGTAAGATATTTGTCACAGAGCGCAGGTGTGATACCTGTACTGCTGATGCTAGTTTCCTGGATGAAGCAAACCCCTATGGCTGCAGTAAAGGTAAACAGCTCCTGTGACTTTTACAGGTTTAACTGAAATATACTCACACATCCATATTGAATGTTTTTCTTCGCTTTACTGCCGTGCTTCACAACTGGGGTTGTTCATGTTTCTCGAAAAGCTGGAATAGACCTGTCTGTGCTGACATGGTTGTGTCTTTGGGTGAGACACTTTATGCTTATTGCTGAGAATGGCATGTAATGGGCCTCCAATATGTTGTTCAGAGAAGTATCCGCCAGCTACAAGGAGACTCAGAATGACCCAGGATGTTGATTGGGCAATAAATCCCAAAAACAAACACTACTGTAAACATACATATTTTAATGATAATCCCGTTTTAGCATTTTTCACACTTAACATGTTATTGCACTTTTAAACTGTGACAAACAACTTGCCACTATTTTAACTTACCCACTCCAACTAACAAATGTGTCTTACAAAAACAAGAGTTCTATTCATGGGAGGTAAATATGAAAGAAACAGTTATAAAAGTTATCTGCCTTTCTCTAGTAGATGATCTGTTACTGTCTAAAACATGTTGTATATATTTGCTGTATAGCATTGCTGACACATTGAAAACATGATAGATTAGTAAATATACATCCACAAAAGATACAAACCAAGTTGACACAATTTAGTGCTAGGATTTACTCAGGGAGGATGCTAAAATTTCACTACAACAAAAAATCTACATTTACAGTATATATTATTATGCCTCTCTTACAAAATGTACATACCAGAATGTCAATAGCTGATTACCTCTTGTCCTTTATCTGTATACTAAGATTTACTAAGATAGACATACATGTTTTATTTGGATAAATGTATGACAAAAGGTACATTTATTCTGCAACCAGTTAATTGTGATAAAGTGATGAATTATTCCTGTCACAAATTAATTCTTGGCTCCATTGTGATAAAGTGATGAATTATTCCAGTCACAAATTAATTTTCACCTCCATTGTGATAAAGTGATAATTATCCCATTCACAAATTAATGTTTGGGGCAAGCAAGTTATTGTTACGCACATTTTTTTTGGTTTTTTTACACACATTTCTACTTCAATCAATGTTTAGATATATATGCTACATTTCATGACAGTGTTCACGTGATCATGTGGTGCTGTGCATTTGCTCATTTTAGAAAATGTGTCTTAAACATTTTCCACCTATAACTACCATGGATGAAGACTAATGAACAAAGATGTGACATTTGAACTTGATAGTTTCTTTCTATTTGTGTCTGTTGCAGAGCCTACCCAGCAGCCACCACCATCACATGAACAGATCAACTCAACCACCCTGAAGTTGATGTGGCAACAACCAGATTACCCCAATGGCATCATTATACAGTACAAGCTCTATAGAAATGGCACACTAGTGTTTACTGGGCAAGGTCAGAATTCATTCTATAATTTTATGGTTACTTTAATTTCTGTCAAAAAAAACAAGATTCACTTTTCTAATGAGAAATTGGTATGATTACATGTTGTTAAGTTAATATGTTTTAATCAATGTAAAACTGAACTATAGTAGCTCTTCCATTGGTATCTACAGGTAAGGTTTCTTTTTCTGAAAAAAAACAACATAAATTATCTTGTGTCATATTCTTACTCCTTCATTTCCAAAATGCTCTGCAGAAGAAACATTAATCAAATTATGGTTCTATATAATGCTAAATTGTTATGTTTTAGAGACTGAATACCTGGACGTAAATTTGGCAGCATATGTTCGTTACGCTTATGTAGTGGAAGCAACAAATGACTTCGGCAGTGTCTTAAGTTCACCTGTAACTTTCCGTACTTTACCTGGTAGCCCAACAGGTATGGTCATTGTTTACATCACAGATGTCCATTCCCGAAGTGCCTCCTTCTCCTGGAACCAACCTGTGAACATGAACGGCCCTCTGGTCAACTACAGTGTAACTGCTGCCAGTCCTAGTCAGCCAACACGAAGCGTTCACTGGACAGGACTAAGTCGACAGGCCAACGTCACAGACTTTGTACCATTTACAAATTACACAATTATTGTGGAGACTTGTACACCAGGAGGATGCTTAGACAGTTGGCCTGCCCTTTTTGTCACAAAGTCAGACATGCCATCTGGGATGAAAGACCCTGTCATCACAACACTTAGTGAGACAGAACTACTCATTAGCTGGGAACCACCAGCAGAGGCAAATGGTAAGACTCTCGACCCTTGGGGCTTAAGGTTCAAGTCAGTCTCCATCAATCAAATAACACAGAGGGTCAGACGTCTTGTAGTCACTTCCTCTGTAAAAACTAGTGATGTTTTAAATAACACAGACAAGAGTTACAGAAGTTACTAGAATAATGATACAATTCAAGTCGGTCACAGATGTCAATCATCAAGGCTTTTCGTAGGAAAATTGTACTGGTAAGATTTTTAGGTTTATGATAGGCTTCAGACTCCCAGGTTCAGCAAGTCAGCAATAAAGATAACACTAACATCCCAGTTTAGCCAGGTAGACTAAATGTAAAGATTAGCCAGACTAAGATAAAGCTTCAGGTCATGAAATGATCCAATGGAGGAAAAAGTGTTAGGATTGTGAATACCCTGACAGTTGTACTTACATACTCATTAGATGTGTTACTCATCTTATGCTTTTGGACCAGTTTTAAGGATTATACTTTTAGGAATGAATATTTGATATTATGAAAGCTAATAACAAATGTTACAGGTGTGATAATTTTCTATGAGTTATGGATCCGCGGTTATGCCATTAATGGGACACGTGATCCGCTAGAGACAAGAATATTTCACCCGAGTGGACAGTTCAACCCACGTCCTACCCTCTCCCCACAGGAAAACATCCTTCCACCCCCAGAAACATCATTCACAGTAACTGGACTCAATCCATTTTCCTTGTATGAATTTCAGGTAAGTTCTTTAATTTTGTTGTTTTATATCTATATCTGATACCAACTCTCTGTGATGGGGAAACTGAAATAAAGAATGATAGTTCTATTCTTCTGCCATGTCTTAAACGCTTATGGTAAAACTGAATGTAATCAAAACTCTGTGCACATTAAGCTAGTTCAGACAAGAAACGTTGTGATTGAATGTTGCTATATAATCGAGGATTGTAAGTTTTATGGTGACAGAGATCTAGCTATCTACATAATCAAATATTTTACATGTTGTATTGCACTACAATGAACATAACTGTTTGTTTTCTCATTATGGCAGATTATTTATTTGTAATGTCAGTTTTTACCTCATGTTAATTGAAAAATTTCCTGTTTGCACATGGAAATCAGTATGATTTTAACTTGTTATTTAAGTTTTATAAAGGTTGAGAAATTGATAATATTTTAACTTGTTATTTAAGTTCTGTAAAGGTTGAGAAATTGATAAGATTTTAACTTGTTATTTAAGTTCTGTAAAGGTTGAGAAATTGATAAGATTTTAACTTGTCATTTAAGTTCTGTAAAGGTTGAGAAATTGATAAGATTTTAACTTGTCATTTAAGTTCTGTAAAGGTGGAGAAAATTGATAAGATTTTAACTTGTTATTTAAGTTCTGTAAAGGTTGAGAAATTGATAAGATTTTAACTTGTTATTTAAGTTCTGTAAAGGTGGAGAAAATTGATAAGATTTTAACTTGTTATTTAAGTTCTGTAAAGGTGGAGAAATTGATAAGATTTTAACTTGTTATTTAAGTTCTGTAAAGGTTGAGAAATTGATAAGATTTTAACTTGTTATTTAAGTTCTGTAAAGGTTGAGAAATTGTTAAGATTTTAACTTGTTATTTAAGTTCTGTAAAGGTTGAGAAATTGATAAGATTTTAACTTGTTATTTAAGTTCTGTAAAGGTTGAGAAATTGATAAGATTTTAACTTGTTATTTAAGTTCTGTAAATGTGGAGAAATTGATAAGATTTTAACTTGTTATTTAAGTTCTGTAAAGGTTGAGAAATTGATAAGATTTTAACTTGTTATTTAAGTTCTGTAAAGGTTGAGAAATTGATAAGATTTTAACTTGTTATTTAAGTTCTGTAAAGGTTGAGAAATTGATAAGATTTTAACTTGTTATTTAAGTTCTGTAAAGGTGGAGAAATTGATAAGATTTTAACTTGTTATTTAAGTTCTGTAAAGGTTGAGAAATTGATAAGATTTTAACTTGTTATTTAAGTTCTGTAAAGGTTGAGAAATTGTTAAGATTTTAACTTGTTATTTAAGTTCTGTAAAGGTTGAGAAATTGTTAAGATTTTAACTTGTTATTTAAGTTCTGTAAAGGTTGAGAAATTGATAAGATTTTAACTTGTTATTTAAGTTTTATAAAGGTTGAGAAATTGATAATATTTTAACTTGTTATTTAAGTTCTGTAAAGGTTGAGAAATTGATAAGATTTTAACTTGTTATTTAAGTTCTGTAAAGGTTGAGAAATTGATAAGATTTTAACTTGTCATTTAAGTTCTGTAAAGGTTGAGAAATTGATAAGATTTTAACTTGTTATTTAAGTTCAGTAAAGGTGGAGAAAATTGATAAGATTTTAACTTGTTATTTAAGTTCTGTAAAGGTTGAGAAATTGATAAGATTTTAACTTGTTATTTAAGTTCTGTAAAGGTGGAGAAATTGATAAGATTTTAACTTGTTATTTAAGTTCTGTAAAGGTTGAGAAAATTGATAAGATTTTAACTTGTTATTTAAGTTCTGTAAAGGTGGAGAAATTGATAAGATTTTAACTTGTTATTTAAGTTCTGTAAAGGTGGAGAAATTGATAAGATTTTAACTTGTTATTTAAGTTCTGTAAAGGTTGAGAAATTGATAAGATTTTAACTTGTTATTTAAGTTCTGTAAAGGTTGAGAAATTGATAAGATTTTAACTTGTTATTTAAGTTCTGTAAAGGTTGAGAAATTGATAAGATTTTAACTTGTTATTTAAGTTCTGTCAAGGTGGAGAAAATTGATAAGATTTTAACTTGTTATTTAAGTTCTGTAAAGGATGAGAAATTGATAAGATTTTAACTTGTTATTTAAGTTCTGTAAAGGTTGAGAAATTGATAAGATTTTAACTTGTTATTTAAGTTCTGTAAAGGTGGAGAAAATTGATAAGATTTTAACTTGTTATTTAAGTTCTGTAAAGGTTGAGAAATTGTTAAGATTTTAACTTGTTATTTAAGTTCTGTAAAGGTGGAGAAATTGATAAGATTTTTACTTGTTATTTAAGTTCTGTAAAGGTTGAGAAATTGATAAGATTTTAACTTGTTATTTAAGTTCTGTCAAGGTGGAGAAAATTTATCATCCCCATTGGGAACCTATCTGACTACATGATTTATAGCTTCACTTTGGTGAGGATGTCTGTTATGTATCAAAAGTAGATACTCTGACCTATATTTTGACCTTTGACCTACAACAGAGAAAATTTTAGTCAGGGCTATATCTCCTTCACTATTTATCACTGGAACTTCATTTTTGTGGTATCAAATCACCATGGTGAGGCAGTGTGTTATGTATCAAATGTAGGTCACTCTGACCCACATTTTGACCTTTTACCTGAATCAAAGTAGAGTTTGTTAGGGTTCCATCATCCGTGCTCCTTATCACTAGAACTTCATGCTTGGTTTTTAGATTCACCGTTATTTAGGGTATGTTTAGGTTCAGAAATGAAAAATAATTTAACTTCTTATTGAAGTTATATGAAGGTTCAGAAATAAAGAAGAAATTGACTTGTTATTTAAGTGATATGATGGTACAGAAATCATCAAGAATTGAACATGTCATTTCAGTTATTTACATGCACAATATTGGATTCTGACTTCCTAATTGTTACTGTGGATGATTAGTTCTCTGACTTATTAATCTTCATACATGTATCTTAATGTCAAATTGGGTGGTCAGTCTGTAAAACACTTATTTATACTGATTTATAAAGAAGCATAGAATACTGTAATAGCATCCATTAGTTTTTGGTCCTAATGAAATTCCTGATATAAGTTATTTTCTGGAAATTTTGTTTCACCTGATGAGTTGTATGTCATTCAAAGAGCTTTAACCATGTATAAGGATTCCACTGCATAAAGTAATTAATCATTTGACTCATTAATTCCAGAACTTGATACATTTAATGACTAGGTGAATGATAGAACTTGTGTGTTTTAATTATCTATCAAGGTTCTAGCTGAAAACAGTGTAGGAAAGACAGCGAGTGCCTGGATAACAGCCAGGACAGGGGAGGCTCCACCTCTGTTTACTCCTGCCCCTACCATGACCCCTATCAGCAGTACTGAGTTACAGGTGAAATGGACAGGCCCCACTATGGAGGAATCGCGTGGCACCATCAGCTCGTATCTACTATACTATCTGAAGATGAACAATCGTACCCTGCATCCTTTTGCTCCTCCATTCACATGGATAGTAAGTTCTTGAACATTGTGACAAACTCAGACCAGAAAATATGATAGGTATTCACTGTATGTCATTTTAAGAAAATATTGAGATTGACATTGTTGATCAAAATATTTGTGGATTTTTTCGAAAATAAGACTAAGATTTGAAAATTCAATGATGTTTTCAAGATGAATTTGTAGTAATGAAAATTGTGTGTCTGATGCCTGGATTTATAAGTGGTCATGCTTTGTAATTTGATTACTTAGGTTTCTTTTGCAATAAATAGATAAACGTCAGGTTTCTATAGAGGAATGGCAATAAGGCCTGAGAACTGCATGACTTAAAATTAACTATGTCAAATAGCATGGTATCAGGATTATTATCAAACAAATGTTACTCTGTATTGATGAAGATATGCATAAAAACTTGATATTTTTAGTTACTTAGTAACACAAGTGGAGATACGATGACTCATGTGGTTGACCAATTGAAAGCCTACACCAACTACACATTCATTGTTGGGGCCTGTAACAGTATGGGCTGTGTCAACAGCACAGAGGGATATGGCTTCACCCTCCAGGATGGTACAGTACTACGTTTTATACTGAATGTGGTATATGTAGTGGATACCTGTTGTGGTTCCCTTAATTATTATAAAAGTCTCCATTGTGTTCACCCCAAACTGTATAAGAAGATAATCTTGTTTTTAGTCTTTCTTTTCTGTTTTACTTTGCGTTGTTGTTTCAATTATCTGATTCTTTCATTGACCCCCATCAATTTGGTATGAATTAGTCCCTTATTGTAATGACTATTTATAGAACAGTCCCTTATTGTAATGACTATTTATAGAACAGTCCCTTATTGTAATGGCTATTTATAGAACAGTCCCTTATTGTAATGACTATTTATAGAACAGTCCCTTATTTTAATGACTATTTATAGAACAGTCCCTGGTATGGAGGTTAATATACAAGTCTGTTGCTGTACTAGTATTTTTGTAGATATTGTTATATAAGCCTTCTGCTTGTGATTTCATCCTTTTTAAATGATTTATATGAGGACCATGTTGAAGGCTTTAGCTAACCATGTAATCCTCAGAAACTATGGATTATTATTACTGTTATTATATATCTTTTTGTCAGCTCCTACTGGGATGGGTAAGCCTGCAGTTGCTAGCCTGAACTCCACAGTTATACAAGTAGATTGGGCTCCACCCCTGTACCCTAATGGACCTGAGCCTCAATACTCGGTACAGAAGACCACGCCAGCCCTTAGCTTCCCTCCTCAGGTGGTAGCAGGCACTAGATTTCCCGGGGGAGGATACTACAAGTTTCCAGCAGAGACCATACCCTCCAATGTGGGTTTTACAGGTAAATGATGTATCTTATACTCTAGTTTGACATCTGATTTGGAAACTACTACAGAGTTCAACGTTACGAGTGTTGGATCATTCATTATAACAGTTTGACATCTGTGATAAAACCACGTCTTAGGATTTTTTAGAAAAACTTTATTTTGATTAATGATGTCAACGATTCTTTTATTTTTCTACTTAATTTATTCTGCTCTACCTCAGGCATCCAACTGTGGTTCCGTACCAGACAGCGAGATGGCCTGCTGTTGTATGCTGCTTCAGCAGGCAAACAGGAGGAATTCTTGGCTCTTCAGTTCCGAGCAGGGAGGCCTTGGTTTTTGTTTGATCCTCAAGGTGGGTCCCAGTACAAAGATATTGCCTACACAAATAGGCCAATTTATAGTAAACTATTTAGATACGTCATTTCCTCAAAATTTGTACTTCTGCTCCAGACTAGCATTTGTTGGGGTGAAATGATGTGCTTGGAAGACAATGAAAATAAGGAATCATTGAACAACTCACTTAACATGACATATTTTTGCATCAAAGTTTTTATTTTGAAAAAAGGAAATTGTCAAAAGCATACAGATGGTTGCAAAGAATAAGAGTTTAGATAAGTGTTATGTGATGTTTTGAGCGTTTAAAGATTATTTAAGCATTTCTTACCCCTATGGTTATCTTCTGTGGTCTATGATTCTTGAAACACAACTAATTACCTGTTGCTGTTCAGATTTTGTTATTCAAATTACCTAAAGTTTCTCAGCTTAGTGTCCATTGTAAAAGTGTACATATGATAATTTGAAGCACTTACAGATACTATTGGGGTGTTTCTGGCCAGGTTGTGTATCATACGTTGAAATAGATCCACAATCTGATAGTGACCGCACCTATAACGACAACACCTGGCACTTCCTGAAAGCTGTTCGAGATGATGAATATGCTGATATCTCCATTGATAATGAATTCAAAGGTTAGCTTGATGACATCATCATTTTGGGTGGTTTGGCTGATGATGTCATCACTTTGCGTGATGGTTTGCTGTGATATTTATGTCAACTTAGATACTTCAATTAGCTTTGCTAATTACTCAACTGCTTCTAGATCTGCTTGTCTCTCTAGCACGGGTAGAATGTTGTTTTTGTGCCTATTTTATCGTCATTTTATATGCCATTGTCTTGCTGTTTAAACTAGGACAAAGTTGATCAAGCAAGTAAAAAAAGATAATGTTGATTTCTGCTGAAAACAAGATATTTTTTCTTGTACATACATCAAAAATGTATCAAAGAGTTTAAACAGCAACGATAGAAGCATGACATTTATGTATGCGATGCACCAAACTGAAGCCTGCTCTGTTCCTCATTGTGTTGCATGACTATGGATAACTAGCTTAGTCAGATTAACCTGGGATTGCATTTCTGAGGGACAAGGGAATTAGATCTGTTTTATAGATATAAAGACATAAATAAACGTTCAAATATATTTTTGATTGCCCCTGTATTTTTAAAAACATCTCTATGCTTGGATGTTAGAGAATTAATTGGTTCAGAATGTAGGCTCCAGTTTGGTTTTTTCAAAATAATTAAAAAAAGAAATAACAAAACATCTAGTTGTAGGAAACATGGAGGAGTGTGTGATTTTCTTTCCCATTTATTTCCGATTCCAGATTATCTTGAAGACTTTTTGATGCTTGATCCCAGGTTTAGTTTCCTTGACAAGCTGGTGTCCAATTTTTTTTATAACACTTGTGATTTGAATGACCTACCCGTCAGGAGAAAAAATATATATTGAATACCTTCCATTAACAACCCAGCTCTTAACTCCATTTACTTTCAGTGATTTTTCACTTGAATATCAGTACTCCCAGATTTGCTACAAACTTTCCATCATGATTTTTCTGCCTTTCAGATTAACAGTTACAAATTTTGCCTGAAAGAAATAAGATTTCAGTAAAGAGTCGAAAAGTTCTAGGTTTCTATATCAAAAATGAGTTTTTCTCCAAATGGGAACAAACTGGATATATATTGAATATATATCACATATTGAAAAGTTGAATTCTCAGATGTAATATCAAATCTTTAATGAATTTAACTTTTTCTGCCTAAAAAGTTGTCACCAATGACAAAGTACAGTTGTTATATTGAAGGAATGGTGTTCCAAAATACTGGTCTAGGAACACATCTCTACACAGATTGTGACAATCAGCCAATATGGATGTTTGACTGATTTAATTTTTTCTTTTTTTTTCTCTTTGTGTAATCTGTCCTGATCACTAGGGTGTGCATCGTTTGTAACTCCCACAAATGATGAAGGGCTGCCTTACAATGACTTCACATGGCGCCACATTGTAGCCAAGCGTATAGACAGGATGGCCAACATATCCATTGACGTGTATTGGTCAGGTTTGCGTGATCACCTTGTCTAATTCTCTGTTTTGTGTTCACTTACTATCCACTGCACTGAGCACCTAATACACTTCCCATTCAGAATTTCTTTCTTTCTTTGATCACATATAAATAGAAATTCAATGAAAGAAGAAATATTGTCTCATTTCTTCAATTGCCCTTGTATGAATTTTACTCTGATAGTTGAAACATGTATTTTTATGCACTATATTGATAATATTTAGAAATTTTGAAATTTCTTTAAAAATGAATAAAAGATACACACACAAGAAAATCATAAGAGACATATATTGAAAACCAGACCATTTTACTGTTATCTGGAAAAAAGTACAGTAAGCCTTATTACATTTTGTGTAGCTTTTCGTAATTTGTTGTGATGGTGGTCATATTGGAAAATATTAGTTTTGTTCAGAAATGTGGAGTCTGTTTTATCTCCATTCAATTCAGATTATATAATATCCAGATCTGGTCTTTTTCCATTCTTACACATGCATGTCTATTTTGTAAAGAAATATAAATATATATTTGTAAATGATACTCGAACATCATTAAAGAGAAATACCCATTCTACAATCTACACAGTATCATTTATACTATACATTGCTTTAACAGATAAAATTAATATTTCCAAACGAAAAATTGTCCAAAGATATCAAATAAAAGCATATGGAATTTATCTACCAAATGTGGAGATTATTTCAGTGGCAAGTGAATAGTGTTAGTGGATTAAAATAGTTTACCATCCTGGTGCTGTATATACTGTTAATATATACATTTTAGTGGTAATATGTCATTTTTAATGTTTGTATACTGTAAATATATACATTTTAGTGGTAATATGTCATTTTTAATGTTTGTATACTGTAAATATATACATTTTAGTGGTAATATGTCATTTTTAAGGTTTATATATTGTAAATATATACATTTTAGTGGTAATATGTCATTTTTAAGGTTTATATACTGTAAATATATACATTTTAGTGGTAATATGTCATTTTTAAGGTTAATATATTGTAAATATATACATTTTAGTGGTAATATGTCATTTTTAAGGTTTATATACTGTAAATATATACATTTTAGTGGTAATATGTCATTTTTAAGGTTTATATATTGTAAATATATACATTTTAGTGGTAATATGTCATTTTTAAGGTTTATATACTGTAAATATATACATTTTAGTGGTAATATGTCATTTTAAAGGTTTTCATGCTGAAAGTGTTGTAGTCAAACAATAACAGTCTTTATTTTTTTTATGCTGATTATATGGTAACAAAAAAGTGTTAATGTGCTAACATTTGATTGTGCCAAAGTACTTTTAGAGTAGAATCTGTTTCAACCAAAAAGTGACATTTTTCTAGCCAAGTTTCATTTGATATTCAGGACGCAGGGAAAACTTGTGTGCCAGTGGAACCATTATAGGTCCAAGTTCTGGTTTATATGTGGGTGGTCTGCCGACCGACTACGTGATACGAAGACAAGATGATGACACTCGTGTACAGGTACTATGGTCCACAGATACAAAGAGGAGTTAAAAACTTACATTTATATTCAGTGGAGTTGCTCGTTTACAATTTTTTATGCATTTTTAAATGAAGTTTTTCTTAATGAAATTTAGAGTTCATTAGATTTGTAAATAATAGTTTGTTAATCTTTTTTTTTGTAATATACATATGATCACCAGTACCAGTTTAATGTAAGAAAAATGCACATCACTACACAATATCTGAGTGATGCAGGAGAGATTAACCACTCAGTCAGGATAAAATGTCATATAAATGACTAATGGTAGCTCAGATTTCTATCACATATTAACAATGCACAGGATATTGCTACATTAGGAAAATGATAAATACAATTAAGAAGATACACACCAGCTCATACTGTTATACTTGTAGTCACTTAAAGGACGCTTTGAAGTCAGAACTTTACTTCAATGGTAATATTTTGCAGACCATTGTAAGATAATACCTGATTAAAATGCTGTAGATGTCTGATAATGATTGCTAGTTTCCAGATCTGTACTATTCCAGATAATCCGTCAGGGTTTCCAGGGATGTATCCGAGACATCCAGATCTTACACCAAGTGTACCCTGTGGAGGTGTGGAAACCACTAGACTGGAACACTGCGGAGACCAACGACCTTGCTTACTTCAACTGGCAGGGATGCCCAATTAACTTGGACCGAGGCTATCATTTTCAGGGTCAAGGTTTCATGACTCTTCCTAATGACTACTGGACACTGGGTGATAGACAGGAGCTCCGATTTGCCTTTCGAACAGACATGCACACCGGTCTGCTATTCTTTACTCATGGAGGGCCAGGCGTGTATGCATTCGTGGCTCTATTAGAAGGTTCTCTGTATTTTGAATTCTCCAACAATGTAGCGACAGGAAGTGTGACATTAAGGCCGACTGATACTGATTTCTGTGATGGAAAATGGTATGATACCTTGGCATATAAGAACCATCAGGAGGCAACAATTACAGTGTCAAATGGTGGAGGAACGGCAACACAAGGAGACCCAAGCTTCAGGCTGAGGGTTCAGCCAATTTCTGACCTGTATGTTGGTGGAGTGCCTGTCAATTCTGAAGCATATAATTTTATCATTAGATACAAACTTTCAGCACCGCTGGAGGGTAAGTTACACGATTTGTCATCTAATTGTATATATGTTCGCTTTAAATCATCCTTCTCCTATAAAAATATCACCCAAGAAATGTAGCATCTAGTAGATAATTCACATACAGATAAGACTCTGCATGATATTTGTTGTTATTTGTACATGTTTGTCTGTTTTGATTTTGATTCTGATTCTGGAACCGCAACTGATAAAATTTGATCTTTTTTTACAACACTCAAGAGTTTGGTGGATGTCTGGCTGACCTTAGAATTGGTGAATTTAGCCCTTACTACTTGGTTTACATGAATGCTATCACTCTGGTGAAAATCGTTGAGAATGTCAACCTAGATGGATGTACACCTTACCATCTCCCTGCAGTAACCTGTCGTGATGATGTTGTTGAATATATCTACAATGGCACAGAGACCACCCACCTTGATGCTGACCTTCACCCTTATTCAGGTCTGTCATGGACAAACTTTCGTTAAAAATCTATTGAAATTCATACAGCTATCAATGCTGATATGTTCAATTTTGAAAAGTTCTTGATATTATGGAAATGAATGAAATTGATCTTACACAGCTGGCCGAAGTTTGGCTTTAATGCCTTATGATTGATATTATGTTGTACTTTAGATTATTTGTACCGAGTGGTGGCCAGCAATGATGCAGGCTGGGTGTCAAGTTCCTGGGGTTATGGCCAGACCAAAGAAGGGGGTCAGTATAACAAAACTATCTGAAGGTTTGAATTTAGATAGTTAAAAGCTTTATTTAACAATTTTTGTTTAGTTGATCCAAATACTTGTTTGAAAATACAACCATGTAAATGATGATGTGGATGAATGATAATTACATAACTAATAGAATTTAAAATTTGAAACCCGTATGAGTTAAAATGGATCCTTATCTGTTATAGTTAAAACTTTGTATGACCTGTAAAAACTATCAATTTTCAAGTGGTTGATTCTACAGTAATATAATGGTGAGAATAAGATACTTAAATCTTTGTTTTTTAGTCGGTTTTGGTTGATAGCGCAATATTACAAACTTTATGAACTTAACACGGATTAATACATTGTATCCATGTAAACTGATGATGATTTGATACTTGAGAAATACCAAAGCGGATTTTATTTTATCTGAATGGATTATTACACTTATCATTGTGACATCTGTATTGTAGCCCCAATTGGAGTTAAGCCCCCTTATGACGTAACGGTTCTGTCAGGATACGTGATAACTGCACGCTGGCAAAGACCTCTGATAACTGCTGGTCTCCTCACCAAGTACATCCTTCTCGCGTATGACAGAACAAATGCTTCTGTACCTCCAGTGCAAGAAGAGTTCAGCATTGACAGGATGTATGGTATGTAACAACATGTAAGACAAATCACTTAGTTAACAGCAAGTGCTCTATCAATTAAATGGTATTATTACTTTATAATGTTGTTCAGTGTATACCAGTCAAGCAAAGTATACCATCTGCCCTCTTAATTTAACTTACTGGGTGCTTGATGATTGTAAAATTAACAGGTGTAGCCTTGTCCTTTGTATCTGTTTAAATTAATGTTATTTACAAATATCACCTAAACGGGACTAGATGGTTAGATTTTCTTTTCATAACCAATGAAAAAAGCATTTAACATTTAGATATCTGTTAAAAGTTATGCACTTTCAGTTAATTATAATATTTAAAAGTTTGCATAACCATTTTATTAAAAACATCAAAAAATTATAATTATGTAGGAGCGACCCAAGACTATTTCATACCATTATCATTAGGAGAGTGATAACAATGTGTTTGTACATGCATTCAAAACAAATTGGTGAGTTAAAAGGAGGTACTGAAAGGATAGGTGATAGACTTGGTTATCTCTGATCAGCGAATGGCTGTAGACACAGAAGTGAATGATGACCAGTGTTAATCTGAAGCTGATAATCTTTAAGCATTTTCTCAAGAAGAGCTATAGATTTGTGAATGATTCTAAACATTACAATGCTTACCCAAAATCAAAGGAAAAATTAATGAAATTAAACGACTTAGTAACAACAGATATAAGAAAAGTACCATATTGACTTTGATAGGTGAGATAACAACAGCGATACCAAGCACCAACTACTCGGTCAGGGTGGCTGCCTGCACTGGCGGTGGATGTAGTGAGAGTGCTACTGGCGTCAATGTCACTACCAAGGAGGAAGGTATGCCCACCAAACAACAGAACAGGAAAGGGTTATATATTGATAAAGTTTTTGAATTAGTAAAAGCTGTATGGCGTTTTTATCCATGATCTGTGTATCGTATAAATACTGAAGTGTTGAGAAAGGTGTTATTCAAGGAGGTTATGCTAGTTGTTAATGAAGATTATTTTAAAAGGATTGAAGTATTACAATGTAACAGTCCTGTGGAGCAAGCTTGATAGATAAAGTAATGATGATGTATATGATATAAACAGCTCCAGAAGAAGTTCCAACTCCTACTGCTGTTGCTGCAACAACCTTCCTCACCATATACTGGGACATCCCTGGTAGGCCCAATGGTGTCATCACTGGCTACTTCCTCTACCAAGATGGCCGCCAGATCTACAGTGGTGGTCAGCGAATGTTCAATATCACTAATTTACAGGTGAGAACAAGTCAATATCACAAATTTACAGGTGAGAACAAGTCAATATCACTAATTTACAGGTGAGAACAAGTCAATATCACAAATTTACAGGTGAGAACAAGTCAAATATCACAAATTTACAGGTGAGAACAAGTCAATATCACAAATTTACAGGTGAGAACAAGTCAAATATCACAAATTTATAGGTGAGAACAAGTCAATATCACAAATTTACAGGTGAGAACAAGTCAATATCACAAATTTACAGGTGAGATAAAGTCAAATATCACAAATTTACAGGTGAGAACAAGTCAATATCACAAATTTACAGGTGAGAACAAGTCAATATCACAAATTTACAGGTGAGATCAAGTCAAATATCACAAATTTATAGGTGAGAACAAGTCAATATCACAAATTTACAGATGAGAACAAGTCAATATCACAAATTTACAGGTGAGATAAAGTCAAATATCACAAATTTACAGGTGAGAACAAGTCAATATCACAAATTTACAGGTGAGAACAAGTCAATATCACAAATTTACAGGTGAGATCAAGTCAAATATCACAAATTTACAGGTGAGAACAAGTCAATATCACAAATTTACAGGTGAGAACAAGTCAATAGCACAAATTTACAGGTGAGAACAAGTCAATATCACAAATTTACAGGTGAGATCAAGTCAATATCACAAATTTACAGGTGAGATCAAGTCAAATATCACAAATTTATAGGTGAGAACAAGTCAATATCACAAATTTACAGGTGAGATCAAGTCAATATCACAAATTACAGGTGAGAACAAGTCAATATCACAAATTTATAGGTGAGAACAAGTCAATATCACAAATTTACAGGTGAGAACAAGTCAATATCACAAATTTACAGGTAAGAACAAGTCAAATAGCACACACAAATTTACAGGTGAGAACAAGTCAATATCACAAATTTACAGGTGAGATCAAGTCAATAGCACAAATTTACAGGTGAGATCAAGTCAAATATCACAAATTTATAGGTGAGAACAAGTCAATATCACAAATTTACAGGTGAGATCAAGTCAATATCACAAATTACAGGTGAGAACAAGTCAATATCACAAATTTATAGGTGAGAACAAGTCAATATCACAAATTTACAGGTGAGATCAAGTCAATATCACAAATTTACAGGTAAGAACAAGTCAAATATCACAAATTTACAGGTGAGAACAAGTCAAATATCACAAATTTACAGGTGAGAACAAGCAGTTGTTAAGTTTGAATTGTCTTTCATTTTGATGTTTCCACTAACAATTTTAAAACAGACCAATAAACATGCATGATCTTTAATGCTGTGATATTGTAATATGACAGTGCAATGGTCTCCTTTACAGGTGTATACTTCCTATCGGTTCTATGTTCGAGCCTGTACACAGGTAGGCTGTACCGATGGACCTGCTGCTCTCTTAAGTACAGCTCAGCTACCGCCTCAGTTTGTAAAGGCCCCTGTCCTGGTGGCCTTAGGTAAGTTGTTTTTGTTTACTTATATCAAGCTTCCTCTCCTTCTTTCTCTGTTTATATCTACAGAAGACTTTTATATCAAATCATAAATGATATGAGTTCAGATTTGATACAAAGATTGTGTTATACAGGAACAACTCGTGTGGACGCACGTTGGGAAAAGCCTGAACAGATGAATGGGGTATTACAGCGTTATCTGTTGTACCTGTCCACAGAGGCCAGCTTTATCGGCGAGGTTGTCTACAATACCTCAGACTTCTTCACCAACTATATCATCCCAGATCTAACTGCTGGTACCACCTACTTTGTCACCCTCTCTGTGAGTAAATTCTTTATCAGCTTTTGTAATTGCCAAAACTGTTCTGCAAAGGAAAACTGTTGTCAGTAAATGCATTAACATTCCAGGCTAACTTTACCAACATGCTTTAGAACTATGGAAAGATGTACCATAAGAATAAAAAATATGTATAAGGCCCTTACACTGTTTACAATTGTTATTACATCTGCAACTGATGCCAATGAGGCCCTGATGATGTATACACTTTTAATCACAGGCTTGTACTATGGGGGGATGTACACTGAGTAAAGCGAGTGAAGTCCTGACCGAGGAGAGTGCCCCTGAGGGAGTACCTGATCCAGTCATAACCTCCCCCTCCCCACAGGAAATCCTAGTCACATGGGGTGTTCCCTCACTCCCTAACGGTAGGATACTTTGTATTGATATAAATGCTGAAGCATTGTTTTTTGAAAAACCACAATATTCCTAGATATTACTGAACCTTTTGTGAAGAGGGACAAACAACAGCTTATGTTCTATTCAATTTACTGCCAGATGGATTGGAGATTGGGTTTAAGGTTTTAAATAAAACATATATATATACATATATATGATATTTGCAATGTTAATGTTATGAATTTCTATATATACGATACACAAAGTATTTGTCGGTTTTTAATTATATGTATGATATATACAATACTATTAATTTGATGCCATGTTTATTTCTTTTTTTTCTGATTTTTTTTCATTGAAGAAAAGATCTGGATTAAATTGAAGCATACAGTGGCAAAATTTAGACATTAGTGATTGTTTTCTAGGTCACATAATTCGCTATGAGCTGTACCACAATGAGGTGCTGGTGTACCAAGGAATGACAATGACCTACCAGGTCACCAGTCTTCTGCCTTACAGTCTCCACACATTCAGGGTGAGGGCATGTACCATCCAAGGTTGTGGCTCCAGCCTCATGGTGGATGGCCGTACACTAGAGGCAGCCCCTCAGGGCTTCATTGTCATGACATTGGAGGTGAATGGTCCACGTACTGTGAAGGTCAACTGGAATCCTCCAAGTGAGGAGAATGGAATCGTCTATTACAGCATCTTCTTTGACGGATCATTCTATGCTGATCCAGGTAACTTTCCCTAACTTTTTAAGCTTGATTGTTAAATGGAGAATAAAGAAATATTCTGAATATGTAGATATACCATATTCGACCCAATAAGCACCCATGTCCCTGTAAGCGCCCCCTCCCCCCTTTCAGATACCTAAAAATTTTTATTTATTTTTTACGTTTTAGTCACGATCAAGAATTGTTTTAAGTCAATTTATAAGGAGACATACTCCAGAAAAACGTAAAAAACTTTTTATATCTAAGCCTAAATTATGCTATATATGGGTAACATTCAAACTGTACCGATAGTTTTTTTAATCTGCAAAATGATACTAACTGATACTAGAGATAATACACTATCTAGAAATTTGACACTTGAATGATTTGTAAATAATCTGTTACAATTGCAGAGAATTGGGACTACAATGTGATACAGGAGGCTAGAAGTCTGTTTCACGGCACCAATCACTCCCAATGGATTTCCATCACTGGCCTTATCCCCATGTCGTCTTATGATGTCCAGGTCAATGCCTCCAACACCGGGGGCTACATCCTCTCTAATATACGCCGAGCAGACTTACCCCAGGGCTGTAAGTATCATGTTGAACTACCCTAGGGCTGTTAGTATCATGTTGACCTACCCTAGGGCTGTAAGTACCATGTTGACCTACCCCAGGTCTGTAAGTACCATGTTGACCTACCCCAGGGCTGTAAGTATCATGTTGACCTACCTCAGGGCTGAAAGTACCATGTTGATCTACCCAAGGGTTGTTAGTATCATGTTGACCTACCCCAGGGCTGTGAATATCATGTTGACCTACCCTAGGGCTGTAAGTACCATGTTGACCTACCCCAGGGTTGTTAGTATCATGTTGACTTACCCCAGGGCTGTTAGTACCATGTTGAACTACCCCAGGGTTGTTAGTATCATGTTGACCTACCCCAGGGCTGTTAGTATCATGTTGACCTACCCCAGGGTTGTTTGTATCAAGTTGACCTACCCCAGGGCTGTTAGTACCATGTTGACCTACCCCAGGGCTGTTAGTATCATGTTGACCTACCCCAGGGCTGTAAGTACCATGTTGAACTACCCCAGGGTTGTTAGTATCATGTTGAACTACCCTAGGGCTGTAAGTATCATGTTGACCTACCCCAGGGCTGTTATTATCATGTTGACCTACCCCAGGGCTATAAGTATCATGTTGACCTACCCCAGGGCTGTGAGTATTATGTTGACCTACCTCAGGGCTGTAAGTACCATGTTGACCTACCCCAGGGCTGTAAGTATCATGTTGACCTACCCCAGGGCTGTTAGTATCATGTTGACCTACCCCAGGGCCGTAAGTACCATGTTGACCTACCCCAGGGCTGTTAGTGTCATGTTGACTTACCCCAGGGCTGTTAGTATCATTTTGACCTACCCCAGGGCTGTAAGTATCATGTTGACCTACCCCAGGGCTGTTAGTACCATATTGACCTACCCCAGGGCTGTTAGTATCATGTTGACCTACCCCAGGGCTGTAAGTACCATTTTGACCTACCCCAGGTTTGTTAGTATCATGTTGAACTACCCTAGGGCTGTAAGTATCATGTTGACCTACTCCAGGGCTGTTAGTATCATGTTGACCTACTCCAGGGCTGTAAGTATCACATTGACCTACCCCAGGGTTGTATGTATCATGTTGACCTACCCCAGGACTGTTTGTATCATGTTGACCTTCCCCAAGGCTGTATGTTCTTTAAAGAACTGTCCTAGGGCATTAAGTATTACATAGACCCCAAATCCCGGCTGTGTTAATATCATATAGACCTACCCCTGGGCTGTATGTATCATATAGACCTACCCCTGGGCTGTATGTATCATATAGACCTACCCCTGGGCTGTATGTATCATATAGACCTACCCCTGGGCTGTATGTATCATATAGACCCACCATATGGTTTTATATACTCAAAAGACTTACCCAAGGTTGTTTAGTATTACAGAGACCAACCCCAATCCCAGGGCTGGTAATATATAGACCTGTAGGGCTGTATATAGACTTAATACAAGGGGAGTTAGTATCACACTGATCGATCTGTGACTATCATTATTGCTTACAACTGACTCAGGGCTCCCAGCATTACAGATACTTGTCCCATGGCTTTCAATATTGTACAAATTTACCCATTGCACAGACCAGTATATTTATTTTGTATGGTCGTAGCTCTCTGTAATGTATGAGTGGTTCATGTTACAGCCCCTGATGGAGTAAAGCCACCTAGCCTGGTATCAGAGTCCTCCTCAACTATCACAGCAATATGGGAACCAGTTGGACGGGAAAATGCCCAGGAATCACCTCAATTTGTTGTACAGTTTCGGGATCTGAACAATGACACCATGGTGGAAGAGTAAGTGTTGTAATTATTAAACACTCTCTTGGGTACAAGCCTTCAACAATTGTGTACCCATTGGTCTCTGTTATGTTCCAACCCATTTGTTGTATAAGATTATATGTAGTCCGTAGTAGATAGATGACACATGGTGATTTCCTAAAGATTATTAAGAATATGGGCTTATAACATCCAAATTACACCATGTTTCAAGTATGATAGTATTTATCATTGTTTATTTTGTTTTGTAATTATCCTTCATCTCTTCAGATATGTTATTAATGTAATTATAAAATGGAAAACTGTGGTGTTTCAGTATATTTGGCCCGACTACCTCCTTTATCTACACTACAAGAGACCTTGTGCCTTATACTGTGTATGAGTTTCGTATGAAGGCATTCAACAGTTATGGCTACACCTTGTCAAACTGGATCTCTCATCGCACACGACAAGACAGTAAGTTATTTAGGATTTATCAAAAGAATTCGTAATCATTTAAGATCATTTGAGTTGAAATATGTGTTTAACATTTGGAAAAACGTTCTTCTTTGTATACCATAAAGCCAAATTTCTATTTGTATCATCAAAATTATTATACTAATGAGAAATATCATATTTTCAAATTAATATGAATTTCTTTAATCCATCTATCATTACTTGTGCAGTCAATTATCAGATGTACAATCTGTCATCTGATGTACAATCTACCATCAGATGTACAATCTACCATCAGATGTACAATCTGCCATCAGATGTACAATCTACCATCAGATGTACAATCTGTCATCAGATGTACAATCTACCATCAGATGTACAATCTACCATCAGATGTACAATCTACCATCAGATGTACAATCTGTCATCAGATGTACAATCTACCATCAGATGTACAATCTACCATCAGATGTACAATCTGTCATCAGATGTACAATCTACCATCAGATGTACAATCTACCATCAGATGTACAATCTGTCATCAGATGTACAATCTACCATTAGATGTACAATCTACCATCAGATGTACAATCTGTCATCAGATGTACAATCTACCATCAGATGTACAATCTACCATCAGATGTACAAACCTACCATTAGATGTACAAACCTACCATCAGATGTACAATCTGTCATCAGATGTACAATCTACCATCAGATGTACAATCTACCATCAGATGTACAAACCTACCATTAGATGTACAATCTACCATCAGATGTACAATCTACCATCAGATGTACAATCTGTCATCAGATGTACAATCTACCATCAGATGTACAATCTACCATCAGATGTACAATCTGTCATCAGATGTACAATCTACCATTAGATGTACAATCTACCATCAGATGTACAATCTGTCATCAGATGTACAATCTACCATCAGATGTACAATCTACCATCAGATGTACAAACCTACCATTAGATGTACAAACCTACCATTAGATGTACAAACCTATCATCAGATGCACAATCTACCATCAGATGTACAATCTACCATCAGATGTACAATCTGTCATCAGATGTACAATCTACCATCAGATGTACAATCTACCATCAGATGTACAAACCTACCATCAGATGTACAATCTACCATTAGATGTACAATCTACCATCAGATGTACAATCTACCATCAGATGTACAATCTACCATCAGATGTACAAACCTACCATTAGATGTACAAACCTACCATTAGATGTACAAACCTATCATCAGATGCACAATCTACCATCAGATGTACAATCTACCATCAGATGTACAATCTGTCATCAGATGTACAATCTACCATCAGATGTACAATCTACCATCAGATGTACAAACCTACCATTAGATGTACAAACCTACCATTAGATGTACAAACCTATCATCAGATGCACAATCTACCATCAGATGTACAATCTACCATCAGATGTACAATCTGTCATCAGATGTACAATCTACCATCAGATGTACAATCTACCATCAGATGTACAAACCTACCATCAGATGTACAATCTGTCATCAGATGTACAATCTGTCATCAGATGTACAATCTACCATCAGATGTACAAACCTACCATCAGATGTACAATCTACCATTAGATGTACAATCTACCATCAGATGTACAATCTACCATCAGATGTACAATCTACCATCAGATGTACAAACCTACCATTAGATGTACAAACCTATCATCAGATGCACAATCTACCATCAGATGTACAATCTACCATCAGATGTACAATCTACCATCAGATGTACAAACCTACCATCAGATGTACAAACCTACCATTAGATGTACAAACCTATCATCAGATGCACAATCTACCATCAGATGTACAAACCTACCATCAGATGTACAATCCACCATCAGATGTACAAACCTACCATCAGATGTACAATCTACCATCAGATGTACAAACCTACCATCAGATGTACAAGCCTATCATCAGATGTACAAACCTATCATCACATGTACAAACCTACCATTAGATGTACAAACCTACCATTAGATGTACAAACCTATCATCAGATGTACAAACCTATCATCAGATGTACAAACCTACCATCAGATGTACAATCTACCATCAGATGTACAAACCTACCATCAGATGTACAAACCTACCATTAGATGTACAAACCTATCATCAGATGTACAAACCTATCATCAGATGTACAAACCTACCATCAGATGTACAATCTACCATCAGATGTACAAACCTACCATCAGATGTACAAATCTACCATCAGATGTACAAACCTACCATCAGATGTACAAACCTATCATCAGATGTACAAACCTACCATCAGATGTACAAACCTACCATCAGATGTACAAACCTACCATCAGATGTACAAACCTACCATCAGATGTACAAACCTACCATTAGATGTACAAACCTATCATCAGATGCACAATCTACCATCAGATGTACAATCTACCATCAGATGTACAATCTACCATCAGATGTACAAACCTACCATTAGATGTACAAACCTACCATTAGATGTACAAACCTACCATCAGATGTACAAACCTACCATTAGATGTACAAACCTACCATCAGATGTACAAACCTATCATCAGATGCACAATCTACCATCAGATGTACAATCTACCATCAGATGTACAATCTACCATCAGATGTACAAACCTACCATTAGATGTACAAACCTACCATTAGATGTACAAACCTACCATCAGATGTACAAACCTACCATTAGATGTACAAACCTACCATCAGATGTACAAACCTATCATCACATGCACAATCTACCATCAGATGTACAAACCTATCATCAGATGTACAAGCCTATCATCAGATGTACAAACCTATCATCACATGTACAAACCTACCATTACATGTACAAACCTACCATTAGATGTACAAACCTATCATCAGATGTACAAACCTACCATCAGATGTACAAACCTACCATCAGATGTACAAACCTACCATCAGATGTACAAGCCTATCATCAGATGTACAAACCTACCATCAGATGTACAAACCTATCATCAGATGTACAAACCTACCATTTGATGTACAAACCTACCATTAGATGTACAAACCTATCATCAGATGTACAAACCTACCATTAGATGTACAAGCCTATCATCACATGTACAAACCTATCATCAGATGTACAAACCTACCATCAGATGTACAAACCTACCATCAGATGTACAAACCTACCATCAGATGTACAAACCTACCATTAGATGTACAAACCTATCATCAGATGCACAATCTACCATCAGATGTACAATCTACCATCAGATGTACAAACCTACCATCAGATGTACAAACCTATCATCACATGCACAATCTACCATCAGATGTACAAACCTACCATCAGATGTACAAGCCTATCATCAGATGTACAAACCTACCATCAGATGTACAAACCTATCATCAGATGTACAAACCTACCATTTGATGTACAAACCTACCATTAGATGTACAAACCTATCATCAGATGTACAAACCTACCATTAGATGTACAAGCCTATCATCACATGTACAAACCTATCATCAGATGTACAAACCTACCATTTGATGTACAAACCTACCATTAGGTGTACAAACCTACCATTAGATGTACAAACCTACCATTAGATGTACAAACCTACCATTAGATGTACAAACCTACCATTAGATGTACATTCTACCAAATGAAGTTTACTGAAATAAGGTTGAATATATGTTCATTGTGTCCTTGATATTTACAGAGCCAGGTGACTTTGATCCTCCACTTATTGCAGCTGTGGGTGCTCGATACATTGACATTAACTGGCAGCATCCACTGGAGGCTAATGGAGTCCTCAAAGAATACAAGATTTACCAAAACAACATGTTCAGAGTCTCGGTAAGTACACGTGTACCAAGTCTGTGTGTTCAGAGTCTCGGTAAGTACACGTGTACCAAGTCTGTGTGTTCAGAGTCTCGGTAAGTACACGTGTACCAAGTCTGTGTGTTCAGAGTCTCGGTAAGTACACGTGTACCAAGTCTGTGTGTTCAGAGTCTCGGTAAGTACACGTGTACCAAGTCTGTGTGTTCAGAGTCTCGGTAAGTACACGTGTACCAAGTCTGTGTGTTCAGAGTCTCGGTAAATACACGTGTACCAAGTCTGTGTGTTCAGAGTCTCGGTAAGTACACGTGTACCAAGTCTGTGTGTTCAGAGTCTCGGTAAGTACACGTGTACCAAGTCTGTGTGTTCAGAGTCTCGGTAAGTACACGTGTACCAAGTCTGTGTGTTCAGAGTCTCGGTAAGTACATGTGTACCAAGTCTGTGTGTTCAGAGTCTCGGTAAGTACACGTGTACCAAGTCTGTGTGTTCAGAGTCTCGGTAAGTACACGTGTACCAAGTCTGTGTGTTCAGAGTCTCGGTAAGTACACGTGTACCAAGTCTGTGTGTTCAGACTCTGGGTAAGTACACGTGTACCAAGTCTGTGTGTTTAAAGTCTCGGTAAGTACACACGTACCAAGTCTGTGTGTTCAGAGTCTCGGTAAGTACATGTGTACTAAGGATGTGTGTTCAGACTCTCCTTTGGAACATGAATGTACCAACACAGTATGTATTGGCTCTCTGTAAATTTATGATTTCATGTGTACAAGAAACAGTTGAAATTGTGTTGTGTCCTGATCTGAATCAAAGTCATATCTTAAGAACCTCTCAGCAGGTTTTGTTCATATTTACCACATGGTATTGTAATGTTATGTTCTACACCTGTTCACATTCTGGTTTGCATTGGCATGAAGATTCATGTCTTATGAACATTTTTATTTTTGGACTTTTATTTCTGGTGCAAAGTTCATAAGGCTTTTAATCATGAGAATATATAACAGATATGGTAGTCATAGCCAGATTGTATCTCTTTTGTCATTCACAGGTGTTGGGCAATGACTCTAGTTACCGTGCCATTGACCTTGACCCCTTCACTCTGTATAACTTTGCCCTGGAGGCATGTACTGAGGGTGGTTGTTCCCGTAGCAATGACTCAAGTACTGTACGGACCTTGGAGGATGGTGAGATGAGATACCACTATTTAAACAAGAATAATAATTTAGAAATTTGAAGACTTAACATTTTTTCCCATTTCATAGAAAGTAATTGAGGTAGGATCAAAGGATTTGTGATTTTATTGATATAATTTGTGATTACTGTAAATATTCGCATATAGTGCGCACTCGCGTATAGTGCGCAGGTACTTTTTGGAGATCAGATTAAAAAAAAAAAAAATCTACAGAAAAATTAATTGACTGGTCACTGCGACGAAACATTTGATGTGGTCTGATCCATTGATAATTAGGAAACCACAATGAGCGTGACCCTAACACCTGTAATTACCTTAAGTAAACAAATTTACCCCGGTGACCTAACAAGCAGGAAAGGCTTGGCTGATTGTATAATTAACGGTTAATGACAGTTAACACGTTGAGTATGAGGAGACTGATGACACCCGGCTTGGGCTGAACGCGTACTATTGGTCAGAAAACGATGTTGTTTTAACTGTCTGAACATTTTCAATCCTACCTTGTCCCCATAAAAGCAGGTGGTGTGTTCAGTATAGGCATGATCTTTCATGGTATCTGTACCCACCGCGGTATCCGAAGGTATTTAATGATAGATTGTTTACACCGACTTCGACATGGGGAAACTGCGAACGCCATTTGACTACGCCGAGAGACTGGAGTTTCGTGCCGCCGGTCGCCACTTCGACATTCCAGAGTGAAATATCAAGGCACGGAAGAAAGAAAAGACTGTTTAAAGTCCCAACCACTGACCAGAAGGGCTGACATAGGTGCGACAGCGAAACACCCAGAGATGGAGAGAGAGAGCTGTTCAACTTTGTATGCGATCGCCGATATCCCGGCATCGCTGCCAGTACAACAGAACTGCGCGTGCGGGCCATGCAGATCAAGATAGGTCATGGGGTCACCAACTTTGGGCATCAGTGGGATGGGCTGTCCGATTTATGAACAGAACGACAATCGCCTAAAAACTTCCGGATTCATTGAATTCCACAGATACATCATCAAAATGACGGGAAATGAAAAAAAATTAGATTCACCGTAATGCTAGCGTGAATGGCAGATGATTAAAACATTTTATTTTTTTGTTGTTTTTATCTCCAAACTATCATATAAGAACGACGACTTTTACATATAACTATGTGCAGGGAGGTAATCTAATATGGTGGATGCAGAACTCGGGAATGATAACCCCAGGAATGGCATGTACCTGCGTATAGTGTGCACCCCCTTTTTGACACGACAGTTTCAGCTTAAAAAAGTGTGCACTATACGCGAATATTTACGGTACATGCACTTGAAAATTTTACAACTTGTCTTAGTTATAGTTTTTACTTTAAATTAAAGTTTTACCGATCAAATTAAAAACTAGACTGATGGGTGTGTTCTGAATTTCTGACAGTGTATCTTGGACTACATTTCCATCCAGTTTCTTCCAGGCAATAACTTTTGTCCCTTATACCCAGAATCCATGTCAGTGAACAAAAAACATCTTTCTTCACTTTTTTCCCATCCCAGTTCCTGATGGATTGGAACCACCCACAGTGACGTCCTTGACTCCAACTTCTGTTGAGATTAAATGGACTGCCCCTCAGCTTCCCAATGGCCTTGTCAGTGCCTATGAGTTGGAGCGGCAGGCAAACGGGTCAGAGAACATTTACTCTATTCGGACAGTTCTGCCTACATCAGCCTTGATATATGTTGATGATGCTGCAGAACTGTCACCTTTTACCACATATTACTACCGTGTGAAGGCTGTTAATGGTGCAGGGTCTTCGGCTAGTGACTGGGCAGTCCTTACCACCATGTCCTCAAGTATGTTTGACCTTTGTCTTGTCATTACTTATACCTGTGTTATTGTGTAACATTCTTTTGAAACAGTTTGCTTAATTTTCATAGATATTCTACTTCTATATCTATCATATTTTTGAAATATCAGAAATAAAATAATTATATATTCATAAATGCCTTGAACTAAACATATACCATAAAAGGTGTTTAATTGTTGTTGTATCTGCATTCATTATTTTTATCATAACTTAACTGAAGGACCAACTGGGATGTTACCGCCAAATGTCCAGGTTCTTGGGCCCCGTGCTCTGCGTATCACATGGCAAACACCTCAGAAGCCAAATGGTCTTCTAGAGATGTATGTGGTTCGCCTTCCTGTACCTCGCCAAGAAATCAGAAATACAAGTGTGTTGACACTGAACGTGACTGATCTCCTGCCCTTCAGCACATTTTCAGTGACTGTCACTGCATGTACTGGTGAGATATAAAACTTCAAATTTCTCAGGCCATGAAAGTTTTTAATGAAAATTCATCATACTTTGAATTAGATTTATTGACTGTTTATATATGTAGTATCCTACATTGAATTTATCTTATAAACATTCAACACTAAAACAAATGTTACCTAGTGCAAATTGATTCAATTTGATCCTATGGTACATGGTGGAAACATTTTAACTCTTTAGTAAAAGGTTGAATGCATGTATAAAACTGTTTATAATCTTTACCTTCAAGATGTAGTTCATTAATCATGGTGTTTATGTTTCCTTCTCTCTCTTATACATCTGATTCATTAACACACTCCTAATACATTGGTCATTTTTACAGATGGGGGCTGCACAGAGAGTCCTGCCGTCAGTGTGAGAACTGACCCCACTATACCTGAGGGTCAGGACCCTCCCATTCCACACCCTGTGTCCCAGAATATGATAGCCATAGCTTGGCAAGGTCCAAGTTTAACCAATGGGCCCAATATCAGATTTGAACTGTCACGAATGAAGATTTTGCAACCACTTATAAGTATGTAATATTGAAATGCTTTCAAGTGATACTTTTACTTATATTAGTCTCCAACATACATATTGATTTTCTTTCAAATACTCGGTGATCATGAAGTCTATATAGAATGTCATAGAATATCACCAAAAACAATGCCCTATTGAATCAGCATATACAATGTTACATTTCCAGCTGATCCTGTTGGCTTAAATGTGTGGAGCAGTGTGTTCATAGGGACAGTGACTTACTTTGAGGATCGAGGTCTACCATTGTTTACAACCTTTAAATATAGAGTTACAGTCTACAATGATGTTGGTCAGCTGACCAGTGATGCTTCAAGGGAGGTAACTACATATGGGGGATTCCCAAGGAAGGCTGCAAATGTGACAGTGGTACCTCTGGATCATGTGACTCTGCGAGTGGACTGGGTAACCCCAAGTATGTAGTCCTTACAGACAGAAAACCTTAATCTCTCAAATCAGATCTCAACCAATATTGACATTTATTTCTAGTTTAAGATGTTGTTACCTGTTATACTAGATAAGATATTGGGTATTCCTTTCCCTGTTGTCTGTTATACTAGATAAGATATTGGGTATTCCTTTCCCTGTTACCTGTTATACTAGATAAGATATTGGGTATTCCTTTCCCTGTTACCTGTTATACTAGATAAGATATTGGGTATTCCTTTCCTTGTAGCTGTTATACTAGATAAGATATTGGGTATTCCTTTCCCTGTAGCTGTTATACTAGATAAGATATTGGGTATTCCTTTCCTTGTAGCTGTTATACTAGATAAGATATTGGGTATTCCTTTCCCTGTTGTCTGTTATACTAGATAAGATATTGGGTATTCCTTTCCCTGTTGTCTGTTATACTAGATAAGATATTGGGTATTCCTTACCCTGTTGTCTGTTATACTAGATAAGATATTGGGTATTCCTTTCCCTGTTGTCTGTTATACTAGATAAGATATTGGGTATTCCTTACCCTGTTGTCTGTTATACTAGATAAGATATTGGGTATTCCTTTCCTTGTAGCTGTTATACTAGATAAGATATTGGGTATTCCTTTCCCTGTTGTCTGTTATACTAGATAAGATATTGGGTATTCCTTTCCCTGTTGTCTGTTATACTAGATAAGATATTGGGTATTCCTTTCACTGTAGCTGTTATACTAGATAAGATATTGGGTATTCCTTTCCCTGTTACCTGTTATACTAGATAAGATATTTGGTATTCCTTTCCCTGTTACCTGTTATACTAGATAAGATATTGGGTATTCCTTTCCCTGTTGTCTGTTATACTAGATAAGATATTGGGTATTCCTTTCCCTGTTGTCTGTTATACTAGATAAGATATTGGGTATTCCTTTCCCTGTTACCTGTTATACTAGATAAGATATTGGGTATTCCTTTCCCTGTTGTCTGTTATACTAGATATGATATTGGGTATTCCTTTCCCTGTTGTCTGTTATACTAGATAAGATATTGGGTATTCCTTTCACTGTAGCTGTTATACTAGATAAGATATTGGGTATTCCTTTCCCTGTTACCTGTTATACTAGATAAGATATTGGGTATTCCTTTCCCTGTTGTCTGTTATACTAGATAAGATATTGGGTATTCCTTTCCCTGTTGTCTGTTATACTAGATAAGATATTGGGTATTCCTTTCCCTGTTGTCTGTTATACTAGATAAGATATTGGGTATTCCTTTCCCTGTTACCTGTTATACTAGATAAGATATTGGGTATTCCTTTCCCTGTTGTCTGTTATACTAGATAAGATATTGGGTATTCCTTTCCCTTTTGCAGATGGTATTACCTGGGTATCATATTTTTCTGTCTATAAACTCTTTTCATAAATATTGCTGTTCAATAATGGCCTGCATTTGGTCTGAGGTGTTATGTAGGGTATACAAGATAAAATGTCATACTAGTTGTAAATGTAGGAGTTTAATGCTATGTGTGCTAGAGATATTTTAACTCATGCTTGCCATAGAGATTAATACAATTTTTCACCCCTTACGAGGTGAGACAGGTGGTAAGAGAACAATGTCTCATGTCTGTTGAGTCTGTTTCTTCTTTAACCAGACATCACTATCACAAATTTTATGTTGTGAGAACAGAAGCTGAATTGGTTCTTATGATGAATAATAGAAAAACATATTTTGGTGCATTGAAATTTTGCATTTGAATGATATTCTCGTTAAATGTTAATGAACAGGTGTGGTAGATCTACAGGGATCTGTGATATTGTTCACCCTTGTGGCTGTCAGTAAGATGAGGACTATCAAGCAGGAATATACCCCTGACACTCAAGGAATACAGCTGCAGAATCTCACACCCAACACTGAGTATTCTGTTACCCTTACCATCACTATCCATGGTGATGCCCAGATCACCAGTTTACCTGTAGAAGCTCAGACTTTAGATGGTGGTAAGTAATGCTGACCTGTGTTTAGAACCTCAAATGGTGACACAGTTGATTTGGTTTCATATTGTTTAATGTCCTGTCAACAGTTAGGGTCATTTGAGGACAGCCTACCGATGTTTCCAAGGTGAGGCCATGTTTTGTGAGTTTTATGGAACCTGATATATGTTTGTTTAAGCCGACTTTTGATATTGTGGAAATGTACAACTACACTTGGAATGATCATGGGCAAACTAGGCAAACTATAGGTCATGAATTGCAATACTGACACAGGCATCAGATGGAGGTAACTGTTACTGCTAAGGGTCAAGGAATCACAATACTGACACAGGCATCAGATGGAGGTAACTGTTACTGCTAAGGGTCAAGGAATCACAATACTGACACAGGCATCAGATGGAGGTAACTGTTACTGCTAAGGGTCAAGGAATCACAATACTGACACAGGCTTCAGATGGAGGTAACTGTTACTGCTAAGGGTCAAGGAATCACAATACTGACACAGGCTTCAGATGGAGGTAACTGTTACTGCTAAGGGTCAAGGAATCACAATACTGACACAGGCTTCAGATGGAGGTAACTATTAGTACTATGGGTCAAGGAATCACAATACTGACACAGGCTTCATATGGAGGTAACTATTAGTACTATAGGTCAAGTTATCACAATACTGACACAGGCTTCATATGGAGGTAACTATTAGTACTATAGGTCAAGTTATCACAATACTGACACAGGCTTCATATGGAGGTAACTATTAGTACTATAGGTCAAGTTATCACAATACTGACAAAGGCTTCAGATGGAGGTAACTATTAGTACTATGGGTCAAGGAATCACAATACTGACAAAGGCTTCAGATGGAGGTAACTATTAGTACTATAGGTCAAGTTATCACAATACTGACACAGGCTTCATATGGAGGTAACTATTAGTACTATAGGTCAAGTTATCACATTACTGACACAGGCTTCAGATGGAGGTAACTATTAGTACTATAGGTCAGAGAATCATAATACAGACACAGGCTTCAGATGGAGGTAACTGTTCTTACTTTGGTTCAAGAAATTGCAATACTAACACAAGATTCTGATGGAGGTAACTGTCATAACTATGGGTAAAGGAATTGCAATACTGACACAAGATTCAGACTGAGATATAAACCTTTCTATAGAACTTCAGAGTAGTGACCCAGGTTTTAATCTAGGTTACATTCCTGGAGAGTTTTGAATCTACCCATGGTAAGGATGGAGGTGAATAACACAAACATGTCACCTTTTTAGATGTTAGAAGAAATGAGAAGGATTTTCCAGCTAAGTATGATAGTTTTTGTTAAGAAGGTACATTGGCTGTATATCTGTCTGAAAACAATATAATATGCTGTTTTCTTCTGTACTAATTAAATGAAGAAATGCAATTAAATTTATATCACTTATTCTGCCAGACAGAGAAAACAAATCGAGATAAATGTGGTTGAAAATTTCATAAGTTTTGTTTGTAAAACTTAAAAGACCCAGATCAGTTTCATTTTTCCTAGACTGGGAGTGTTTGAACTATTGGAATTTTTAAATATTGGTTCAAACTTCGAAACTCAGATAGTTGTATACTGAAGGCTTGTTACAAGGATTGACAGAGAGAGCAAATATACTGAAAGTATAAACAGTTAATCATTTAGAATAGGTTAAGGGAATTTGTGGGAAAATGGAAATTATAGCAGTGAAGTTTTTTATACTTGATTTAATAAGATGAAGGATGATTGATTTTTTAAGCAAGAATGTATAGTTTTGTGGAGATGTCCACGGTGTATATACATTTATATTCTAATGGTAAATTTTGTCTTAAGCAGTTTTTAACAAAACCTGAATATCAAACAAAATGCAAAAATCAAATTGTCATCGCATAAAGTGTATATTGAAACTGGTAGATTTAATAATATTGAAAAAATTAATAGAGTTTGCACATATTATACTAGTGCTGATGTTGGTATCATCTTATTTCAAAATACCAGCATTATAATGATATTATAAAACGCTTTATCAAAAAGTATTATTATTTGAAACCTAGTATGGCAAAATATATCCCATTCTTGAAAACAGAAAATAATAAAGATTTGTTGAATACAGGAAAATATATCAGTATCAGTAACAAAAGGTGTGTAAATTCTGTAAATATATCTACATTTATAAATATATTATATAAATATACACTTTGATCAGATATGTGTGATGTGTGTGTGTTGTAAGATGTTTTTCATGTGTTTGTACTTGCACTGTAGATACATTTGTATATACATTGTACTGATAAATCGTAAGGTTCAATATCATAAATAAATTGAATTAAGTAGAGAAGCTTTACTGTACCCATGTATACTTTTAGCACCTGAGGGCCTAGCCAAACCCACCCTGAGTGTTGTCAATGACACAGCATTGAGAGTGGCATGGACCAACCCCGTCAAACCAAACGGAGAGATCACTGGATTTAATGTCATCATCAACAACAATAAGATACCAACAGGGATGGTGACTGCAGGGTCAAAGGTCATCACCCAACTACTTCCCTACACTATCTACTCTGTCAAGGTATGTAGATTCAATTATATATATATATATACAGTAAAGGTAGGTGAAAATGTGCAGAAAGTTAGTTTCAAAATGCATGATTGGTGATGCCAGTATACTATACAGTAGATATTACAAATATATACACACATGACAGACGGTGCAAAGTAATCATATGGAATGGTGCATGGATTCTAATCGGATGAAAGGAAGTGAGAGTTTAATATGTACCAGAAATGGGGATTCAGAAGTCCAGGAAAAGGAAGGAGGGAATGGGGTGTATGAGAACAGGATGGTGAAGATTTACAGATCTATAGAAAGAGGAGTGTCTGGAAATGATGAGTTAGAACGATATAGGAAAGTTGTACAAAGATCAATGGTTTGAGATCAGTTAACACACTGCTGAGTAAAATACATTTTGTTTTATTCCTTTAGAAGTTTAGAAATTTTATTGTATCTAATTGGAAAATCATACGACTTCACCAAACTATATCTCTCCTTGATGTACAAAACACACTCTGTTCCTAATATCAGTTTTTGCTAATTTTTTGTTTTAAGATAGAGAAAAAAGTTTTAATACTATAAATTCAATAACATGTGTGCTGTTGTATAGGTGGAGGTTTGTACTGTATTTGACTGTACAACCAGCGAGCCTCAACTAATCACTACTGCTGAGACACTTCCTCAACAGTTCACTCCTCCAATGGTGACTGCCCTTAGCTCTGTTTCTGTCAAGATAGACTGGGCAGCTCCTGAACGTTCCAATGGAATAATTTTACGATATGACCTCTTCCGCAGCACTATCAAGCAATGTTCAGAAATGTAAGTCTTCAAATCTTATTTATCTGATGTTTTATTATCCGATCTGCAATGAATTCCAGATCCAATATGTGAAAGGAGACTTTGTTCTGACTTTCATTTCCCAAAATATAGAAATCTCCATGGATACATGAACTATAAAGATCAGTAAAGTTTTACCTCTATAATTGGTTTTAATTTCTGTTAGCTGCTTTGAAATATTAGTGAAGTTTAAATGTTGATATAAATGTATGGCAAGAAAACTTCATCATCTGCTTTTATACTAACCAGTTGTTGATAAGTTGTTAGATGTAACAATGTAACAAACCACCATAGTTTTCCTTAGTATTCCTTATACAGGACTTGTAATGTTCAATGTGAATTACTCATAAGAGATCGTATACAAACCGCTGCAGTGTGAACAGTAGATAAAGTAGATTGTTCAATGTTTTAGCCCCCCAGCAACAATGAGCCCTGAGATCACCAAGTGTACCTATGTAATGTGTGGGATATTGGAGAACCTTTGTGGGGGTGTATGTTACTCTGGCCCCAAAGTCTGCTGTGATGGAGTCTTACATGACAGTCAGTTGGGCTTTGAATGCTGTGGGCAGGACTACACAGCCAAACAGAGCCCTGATGACATCTGTTGTGGTGGACAGTTTCACAGGAAAATCAACGATTACAAGTGCTGCAAAGACAGGTGAGGATAAACACACAACTTGGTCAAGGATCAGGTAACTTGGTCAAGGATCAAGTGATGATAGCCACAAACACAGACAATACAAGCATGCTAAGACAAAGATAGATATCAGAGAGGAGAGGCACTCATTGGCAGATGGGACAGACAGACTTAAGGACAGAAACACATAGACATACACAAGATAGGCAGTACTGATACACAATAACATATCAGGTAGGAATGATATACAAGGACATGTGAGGCAGGACACACAAACAAACAAAGACTGGTAGGAAAGACACAACAGAATATTAAATCTAAACTTTTTCTCCTGACTTTATAATAAAGACATATATACAGCAAAACATAGGTAAAACTTTCAACAAGGCTTTACACAAAATGATCCATATTACAAAATACTAAATGCACAGGATATCTGTGTAGTCTGCACACATGGCACAGTGAGGATTACTAGATATTTTGTGTTTTTACAGATATGTGAGAGTCCAGACTGGTGAAGTCTGCTGTGTAGACATGTATGAAGACCGCATCACAGTAGGAGTCGGGGACAGATGCTGTGGGTCTGTACCCTACTCCTACATAGGTGCTCAAGTTTGTTGTGGAGGTATGTATATATGTGACAGGTTATATGTCATAGAAATAATAAGATTTCATTGTGTGAATAAATTGGATGGAAAAATTCAAATAAATCCAAAAAATAAAAAGATATTGAAAATAAAATATGTTGTAGAGAACTTGGATGATCTGATAGTGTAATGTTAACATGTCTTAATAGACAAGCTGTATGACGGCTACAATCAGCAGTGTTGTGGTGGGGAGGTGATTCTCAGTCACATGGCCTGTTGTGGTGATACATACAAGGGAAGTGCCTTCACCACTCGCCCTGGCATGGAGTGTTGTGGACTGAACTACATCATTAAGAACCAGACTCTGTGCTGTACCAGTGACACTGGGCATTCTAAGGTAAAGAATTATTGAAAAGATAAAAATATTCCAGGTATTTAATATTTAGCCCTGTGTGATGAGGATTCTGTAATTTACCGTCTGTATTGACATCAAGAACTATAGAATATTTGTTTACTCTCCTTCAGACCACAAATCTTTTATAGATTTGTAAGGTTTTGTCTCACCTAAGGAGGATTATATTAAATATCTATTATAATCATTTACATATATATCTCACTGTGGAAAAGCTACACTGCTTTAATTGTAGAGAACAGATATACATAATTTGAAAAATAGGAAATACATGTTGAAATGTGTCGGCAACAGTTGTAATAGTGGGTAGATTGTGGAAGGGAAGACAGGAGTGTATGATGTTTGACCTTTACTGTATGATGTTTGACCTTTACTGTATGTTTGACCTTTACCATATGATGTTTACCTTAACCATATGATGTTTGACCTTTACCGTATGTTTGACCTTTACCATATCATGTTTACCTTAACCGTATGATGTTTGACCTTTACCATATGATGTTAACCTTTACTGTATCATGTTTAACCTTTACTGTAGGATGTTTGACCTTTACTGTAGGATGTTTGACCTTTACTGTATCATGTTTGACCTTTACTGTTGGATGTTTGACATTTACCATATAATGTTTGACCTTCACCTAGTGTTAACCTAGGACCATTGTGATGGGACTCTGAAAGCTATATCAAGTTGTGTGTCATACCATCTTAACTATTTTTACTTTAGGTTCACATGTACAAAGATGAGGATATGAAGCTATCAGCTAATGAGAAGTGTTGTGGATTGGAGACAATTTCAAACAACCTGGAATGTTGTAACTATATAGGCTACAACCCATTAACACACATCTGTGCTGATTCATCCAATCAAGAGCCAGGTAAATGATTTCATAATTCATACTAAATACTATATGCTTTACTATTTACTTAAAAAAGTTGCCACTGTGTACACGGTAAAGAATTGTGACCAATGAAATCAGTCCTATCAACTAATGATTTGGTCTGTGTATCTCTGTCATTATGTTCTTATGTAGAATACCACTAAGCCTTACATTGCCTAAATGATGTAATAAGTATATAAATAGTGATTGGTTTCATATACTCTTCATTTTATCTTATTTCTTACCCTACCAAATATTTTATCTGGAGTATCAGGAAAGAAAATTGAATGTTAATCCTATGCTTTTAATTGATGATATTATATATGCTAATTTAATATGTATGACACATGCTTGTGGGATAGGTTGGTTAAAGACATGTATAATTTGGTATCTGGTTTTTAAGGATGTGGACAAGGAACCATATGCCCACTGTCTGTCCAGGACTTTGCCTTTTGTGATGTCTGTAATTTTGACAAAGGATCGAAAATTTGTGGATCTGTCTCTGGTTATCAAGGAAATGACCACTTTCCTAATCCGACCGCTGACCCCACCGCAGACTGTATAGCTACAGAGGAGAGAATATTTTCAGGCATGGAAATGACTTATACAGGTATAAAGATTAATTAAGTCTTACAATAAAGCATGGTAAATTGGAAGATCTTCAAGGGAAATTGAAGTCAATTCTTCAACAGTAATTTTCTGAATATTTTGTTCTTTTGTTTTAAATCTTTTTCAAATTTAGTTGTATGCTGCCAAAGTTTGAAACTATATTTTGTGGGTGAGGAAAACAATGTCAGTTTAGTGACAAATGGATGTGATATGTTTTTATACCAGACTCTTCATATCCTTTGTACAATTAATATTTATAAATGACAGATGATGAGCTGACTCCCTACTCCACATAATGCATGTTTTTATACCAGACTCTTCATATCCTTTGTACAATTAATATCTATAAATGACAGATGATGAGCTGACTCCCTACTCCACATAATGCATGTTTTTATACCAGACTCTTCATATCCTTTGTACAATTAATATCTATAAATGACAGATGATGAGCTGACTCCCTACTCCACATAATGCATGTTTTTATACCAGACTCTTCATATCCTTTGTACAATTAATATCTATAAATGACAGATGATGAGCTGACTCCCTACTCCACATAATGCATGTTTTTATACCAGACTCTTCATATCCTTTGTACAATTAATATCTATAAATGACAGATGATGAGCTGACTCCCTACTCCACATAATGCATGTTTTTATACCAGACTCTTCATATCCTTTGTACAATTAATATCTATAAATGACAGATGATGAGCTGACTCCCTACTCCACATAATGCATGTTTTTATACCAGACTCTTCATATCCTTTGTACAATTAATATTTATAAATGACAGATGATGAGCTGACTCCCTACTCCACATATGGCTATGCTTTTGCTGCTGTCAATAGCGCTGGAGGCTCGACTAGTAGTTATACCAAGGTCATGACCTTACAGGCTCCTCCAGGCAAGGTGGACTCGCCCAAGGTCAACATTGATCCCTCACAACTTTACGTCATCGACCTGAGCTGGAAACTGCCACAAAATCCAAATGGTTAGTTAAACGATGGGGTACAGATATCTCATATCCCTGTAACTGACATGGAACCTAAGAAACTGCCACAAAATCCAAATGGTTAGTTAAACGATGGGGTACAAATATCTCATATCCCTGTAACTGACATGGAACCTAAGTAATTCATTTATTAAGATTCAGATTGTGACTACAGTGCAGTACTCAAATACCACTCTCACTGTAATTGTCAAACATAAACAACAACAGAACTTTACAGCAATTAAAGTAGGCTTTGGTATTAATTGTATAATTCAACAAAGATGTGACAAGAATAAAATAAACAATTTCAAGAAAATTTCATTGCTATAAGATAATAGATTAGACAGCAGTCAAAGCTTATATAAGTCTCTCCTTATGCGACAAGCAGCGTTACAAACAATATGAAGTAAATCTCAGTTTATGGTTTTGATATTGTTATTCCAAGCTGAGTAAAGTAAATAAAGGATGATTTGTTACTTTTCAAAATAAATGTTTTAAATTTATTTTCATATGCCATTGAAAAAAGATACAGATATTGCTAAGACCAAAAACAATAATGCTACACAAGGGCATTTTGAAATGAGTTAGAACATCCCATTTATATACATATAATGCAGAAAAGAAACTTTTGGTTGCCAATACTGAACAGAAGATGTTGATTGTCATATCAGAATATTAAGACAAAAGTAAAATTTTCTCCTGATGTCTTTTAAATGAAATATGAAAATCAGAATAATTTATATTTCCAACACACATTTATGTAATGAATACCAGAAACAGTAGATATACATAGATACAAACTACAACTCCAGTGTTACGTAAACTTATTTCACGTGCTGTGGTCATGCTTTGTTACAGGTGTGATAACACGGTACATGCTGACACGTGACGGTATAGAGCTATACCGTGGTCTAGCCCAGCAGTATACTGATGACACAACTGTTCTACCCTATAGGTCCTACACCTATATCCTTACAGCCTGTAATACTGCAGGTTGTACAGCAAGTGACAAGGTCAGTCCTAAACATTGCTACAAATATATGGTTGTGAACAATGCATAGGGAGTATCTAAAGCCAGGAAAAAAAATACTTAGTATAGAATCGTGAAAATGATTGAATTTCTGCTTGACAAGGTCCTCCAACAGAATATTTTCATACCAATTTGAACAATGATCTTATCAAAAGAGGACACAAAGTTCTAACCAAGTCCTTCTGTTTTACTTATAGATATATCAATATCTTTTATCTTTAAACCGTTTTATTGTCCATTGTGTATACCTATCAGAATTGGAAAGTTTAGCTACAATAGACTCTTCTTCATCAGCTGTTTACAGCAGTCCTGTAACAAAATCAACAAGGACAGTTTTCCACCAATCTGTATGATAAGTGTGATATAAATTTTTGTGTGATAAATTTTCCATTTCCAGATGGTATCACCCCTACTTCCTCCATCTGGTGTTTACATGTCGCAGTAGATTCAATATTCAAGGACTTGTTCCCAATATCATGATTTCAATGCAAGTTGTTGACAGCTGACAGATAAACTGATAACACTGGATTGTTGAAATTGTGACGTTAAATGGTTTTCACAATGATCTTGTTTAGAAATATTCTTTTTCCCTGTTCATTGTGAAGTTGGATGTGACTGATGCTTGTTTATATGCCTAGTTATTCCATTGTTTCTAACCTTTTTAAAATTGGGTAAGGTGACATTACTTCTTTAGCTTGACCAAGATTTACTAGGATGAAGTAGAAGATGCTTACCCTTTCAGAACACATGGTCCTTCTTGTACATTTTGCAGGGTCTGAGTGTAAATCCCTCTTTTGGTCATATTTTATCTCGTTTCATTGAATTTGAGCGGGTGTATTTTCTTAAATGTTTCGTAACAGCAAAGATTGTACAGTGGGTGACTATGTCAATATGTTTCATGTTGCAGATTGTCTGGTACAAAGCTTCATTACCTACATGTAGTAAGTTCATTCCTTTTCATTTCACTAAAAATCCTTATTGTTGACAGGTTACTGTTGCAACAGCAGAAGGGAAGCCAGAAGATGTCCTGCCACCGAATGTCAATGTGCTAAGTTCTTCATCTCTGGAGGTGACATGGTCACCTCCAGTTAAACCAAACGGCATCATATCTCATTACACAGTCAAATTTGAAATGGAGGATGGTTACACCTGGTCAAATACCACCTTGGGAGTATCTCTGGTAGTCACAGGTAAAACACATGACAGAGTATTGGTAGGGCAGGGGACAGCCATCTGTCAACATGCACTTTATCATTTATAAAATATTTACAGATTTCGTTGTACAACAATACTAAGAGTTAGTGATGTTGAGAAGCTGGACTTAACGATTTACATTTAGCTCATTTTCTCCTTCAGTACAGTCCTATTCCAAACAAACCTGCAATACATTGTAGTGTATGGAAATCATGAGCCATAAAATAGATTACAAGGGTTGTATTAATTTTATTTTTTTGTGTGTGATTGTATTTGAATGTGATTGTATTTAATTGTGTTGTATGTAATTGTATTTATTTAATCGTTTTGTATGTTATTGTATTTATTTTATCGTTTTGTATGTGATTGTATTTAATTGTTTTGTATTGTTTTGTATGTGATTGTATTTAATTGTTTTGTATGTGATTGTATTTAATTGTTTTGTATGTGATTGTATTTATTTAATTGTTTTGTATGTGATTGTATTTAATTGTTTTGAATGTGATTGTAATTAATTGTTTTGTATGTGATTGTATTTAATTGTTTTGTATGTGATTGTATTTATTTAATTGTTTTGTATGTGATTGTATTTAATTGTTTTGTATGTGATTGTATTTATTTAATTGTTTTGTATGTGATTGTATTTAATTGTTTTGTATGTGATTGTATTTATTTAGTTGTTTTGTATGTGATTGTATTTATTTAATTGTTTTGAATGTGATTGTATTTATTTGCTTTGTATGTGATTGTATTTATTTAATTGTTTTGTATGTGATTGTATTTAATTGTTTTGTATGTGATTGTATTTATTTAATTGTTTTGTATGTGATTGTATTTAATTGTTTTGTATGTGATTGTATTTATTTAATTGTTTTGTATGTGATTGTATTTATTTAATTGTTTTGTATGTGATTGTATTTAATTGTTTTGTATGTGATTGTATTTATTTAATTGTTTTGAATGTGATTGTATTTAATTGTTTTGTATGTGATTGTATTTATTTAATTGTTTTGTATGTGATTGTATTTATTTAATTGTTTTGTATGTGGTTGTATTTATTTAATTGTTTTGAATGTGATTGTATTTAATTGTTTTGTATGTGATTGTATTTATTTAATTGTTTTGTATGTGATTGTATTTAATTGTTTTGTATGTGATTGTATTTAATTGTTTAGTATGTGATTGTATTTAATTGTTTTGTATGTGATTGTATTTAATTGTTTTGTATGTGATTGTATTTATTTAATTGTTTTGTATGTGATTGTATTTATTTAATTGTTTTGAATGTGATTGTATTTATTTATTAATTTAATGCAATATTTAAATTAGTTTTGAGAATTTAAGAATTTACCAAATTTCATTTAATATTATTTACAGCCCAGATTATTGAAAATAATTTGGAAATTTGGTTGGTTGGTGAAGGGATGTGAGTGGGTCAAAGATGAAAAATGCAGTTGCAATTTGATTTAGAATAACTATACTAACGCATCAGATAGCCCAGAGGAACTTATAATTGTGATCATTCTTGTTTTCAGTGATTCACTAGAACCCTTTACACTAGCAGGTTCCTCAAAGGTCAAGCTCTCTTTTCCTTCAAATGTAGCAAGCCATTTGGGTGGTACAGGTTCTCAATAGGATTTCCATATTTCTAGTTGTCAGAGTAAAGGAATAGTACAGTGTATCTCTATTTCAGGTTTGACACCGTACACCCAATACAGTGTAACCCTAGAGGTGTGTACCCAGGGAGGATGTACAATCAGCTCAACAGTTCTCTCACGCACGCTTGAGGATCTGCCAAAGGGTAGGTGTTGTTCTTTTCAAAACTGTCTCTGTACTCTTAAAATTATCATAGCCTTTATTAATTTTAGAATTCATAATAGAGTTGGTAAAATATATATCGAGATGAAATTATGCTGTCAAAGTCTTGAATTCTTTTCAGAAGAGAAATATATAGCATTAAGACTCCGATAAGTCAAGGTTGACAAGGTCAAATGAAATTAACAATACACTGAAGCTATAGTATATTTCCTTGTTGAGTAACTTTCTTATGAAAAACCCACAAATATTGCTTGGTCCCCTAGGCTTGTGATAGAATGTTCCTTTCTCATTAGACAAAATACTGTTGTTATACCATGTGGTAGACCAAGAATCTAGAAACACATCGTAATCAAAACACGAAATACCCAAATAAGTCTTAAAATGATATATATAGATACATAAGGAAAAATTAAAACCTGTGTATAATGTATAACCAAGTAAGTTGTATGTACGTATGTCTTACATTTCCAGGTGTCATACCTCCTCGAATAGTTGTACTTAGTTCAAAGTCAACACTTGTTTTCTGGAATTCTCCGAGGTATCCCAACGGTATAGTCAAGTTCTACTCCATAATGAGGAGATGGGCTACAGGGGCTATGTACATCTACTTTGGGCCAGGGCTGTTTACAACAGATGACTTCCTGGTGCCAGGAGAGACATACGACTACTTCCTCATCACTGGTAATAATGCTGGTAATACAAGCAGCCACCCAACAACACTGACCATGCCACCCACAGCTCTGGTTAATGTTCCAGCAGCAAGGGAGGTAACTGTGCTGAGTGCCACCAGTGTGTATATAGCCTGGGATCCCATTGTGTCTGGACAGATCCCAATTGACCAATACAGAGTCTTGTTGAATGCTGGTCAGGACTCAGAGGTGGACAAGGGAGTGGGTCTTGATCTTTCAACCACAGTGACTGGGTTGAAACCAAACTTTGAATACCAGGTTCGTGTGACTGCCTGTTTGGAGGGTGTATCTAATGGCTGTGCCACTGGACCAGGTGTAATAGTCCACACCCTTGAGGCACCCCCGGAGAACCTGGCCCCACCACGTCTCAAGGCCACTGCCCCAAATGTAGTTGATGTGTCATGGACTTCACCTCAACAACCCAATGGTGTGATCACACAGTACCTAATATACTATAGAGAGGCTGATACAACCGTGGAACTCCTCATTAACAGGGTCATGGGTGATGTGACAACCATACGACATGCTGGTCAAGACCTCCAACCCTACACAAACTATGAGTACAAAGTGGTGGCTGGAAATTCTCAAGGAGATGTGTCTAGCACCTGGACCATGGTGAGAACATTGGAAAGTATCCCAGCAGGATTGACCAAGCCCTTTATCAACACCACTGGAGCTTTTAGCTTCCATATATCCTGGCAACCCCCGGATTATCCGAATGGAGTTATCACTATGTATACCATACACTATCGCTTTCTCACCAATGACCCCACACAAGAGGCACCTCTTCAAATGGTTCAGGTTTCAGCAAATACACTCACAACATCTGTAAGTGGACTAGAACCCTTCTCCAACTATCATGTCCACATGTTGGCCTACAACAACGTGGGGAATACCTCCTCAGACAAGGTATTGGTGCAGACTGCCCAGTCATCACCCTCAGGGCTGGCAGCATTTGTGGTGGAAAAGATCAGTACAGGGACATCAGTTATACTGAAATGGGATGTCCCAGGCAAGCCCAATGGAGTCATATCTATCTACAACATTTATGAAGTAGGATCTTCTATTGCTTTATACAAAGGTCTCAATAGGGAATTTGAATTTCGTCGACTTCAGCCCTACACAGACTACCATGTCCAGATGGAGGCATGTACAGTGGCAGGATGTACCAAGGGTCCTCCATACACCTTCACTACCGCTGAGACCCCACCTGCTGACCAGTCTGTACCTGTCATTGGAAATATTACATCTTCAAGTGTGGTCATAGTTTGGACAAAACCAGTCAGTCCTAATGGTAAGATTTCCATGTATGAGGTCTTGAAACGATCGCAGATTCGAGTTGTCCGTCGAAGTCTGTCTGCCCCCGAGGTAGTTTACACAACAACGAACACAGAGCGAGACAGCTATCAGTATGTTGACCGAGATTTGTGGCCCTTCACAGAGTATCAGTACAGTATTCGTGCCAGTAATTCAAAGGGCTTCATTCAAAGTCCCTGGGCATCTGTGTTCACTACACAGGCTGCCCCTGAGTGGCTAGCCCCACCAACGGTCTCCTACATCAGTGGTCACCAGGACAGCCTCAACATCAAGTGGGTGCCGCCTTCCCAGCCAAATGGGATCCTTCAGAGTTACCAGCTACAGAGAAACAGTAGTGTCCCTCTCAGTTTCACTGTCTTTGACCCTATGGAGTTCAATGACACTGGCCTGCTGGCCTTTACATGGTACAGCTACAGAGTTACAGCGTGTACAGCAGGGGGCTGTACCACCAGTGATGCCTCTCACTTTCGCACTAAGGAAACAGCACCACTGTTGGTCTCCCCACCCACCATCAACACATGGAACTCCACCACGCTCAGACTGGAGTGGCAGAGTCCACTTAGTACGAATGGTGAGATCAGCCTGTTTAATCTCCAGATGGACAATATTGTGATATATTCTGGATTAGAGACCGTTCATATTCAGACAGGATTAACACCATACACAGAGTATTCTTTTGTACTGACTGCATGTACAAGTGGAGGATGCACTGACAGTGGTGAGGTCAAAGGTCGACCTGATGATGACATACCATTAGGTCTGAATGCCCCAGTGCTCAAGGTCATAAGTTCTAAATCTATAGAGGTAACATGGGGACCTCCACAATTCCCTAATGGTATAATCAGCTCCTATGACCTTCGGAGAGACGGAGAACTGATCTATACAGAAAGCATTAGTGTGACCGGGTTGTTAAGAACCAGCTTTGTTGACTACAACCTAGAGCCTGGTACAGAATACTCATACGTCATTATCGCTCGCAACAGAAAAGGGAGTGTCGAAAGTCTGGTCTCCAAGGCAACCACATACTCCGCATCACCAAGTGGTCTTGACCCACCAGTCCTAATGGCTCTCTCATCAACTTCTGTCCAGGTTACATGGCAGCCACCTGTACAACCCAATGGACCTATCAGAAACTATACAGTGTTTGAAAACAATAATGTTGTATTCTCTGCTGGTCCAGAAATCCTTAGCTACATTGTGCCCGGTTTAGAGTTTTGGACTGACTATTCCTTTAGGGTAAAGGCCTGTACTGATCGAGGTTGTGAATTGAGTGGTGTAACCACTGTCCGCACCCTTGAGGCCCCACCTGAGGAACAAATGCCCCCAAAACTGCTGGCCTTAGCAGATCAAGATGGGGCCCATGCAGGAGTACTCATAAATTGGGAGCCCCCACTGAAACCCAATGGAATTGTTGTATCTTACGAAGTGTACAGGCGACAGGTGATCAGTGAGTTAACAGGTAAATACAGAAATAACAATCACCAGTAAAAATGTAGTCATCACGTTTTCCCAATTCAAATTCAGATCCATAATTCAAGAAAATAATAATGATATGTTGAATGTTTTTTAATTCTATCATGACAATGTGTTTAAAACATATGAAAGTTATGGTAATAAGGATAATGGTAAACAGTCCTCCTCTAAATACATAAACTTATTGTCATTGTCAGGATTCTTGACACTAGTATCTAGTAACCATTACCAGCAATTTCAGTTCATATCCTTTACATTCATTTTGAAAATGAATTATGCATGTTAAACCAGTAAGTCAATAGAGCTGATGTACAAACATGTTAATTAGCAGATATTAATCAAAGTGATATATAAAGTAAGATTTGGTATTGCAGGTACCTCATATGGTACAATAGCCATGGTGTACAACTCAAGCCAGCTGAGGTACTCAGACCTCGCTGACACACTAATGGCCTTCACCGAATACCAGTATATGGTCACAGTGGTCAATCGTGCAGGCAAAGTCAGCAGTGTATGGACTGTGGTCACCACCAAAGAGGGACCTCCACAGGGCCTCAAACCACCTATAATTAATGTAAGTACATGTCACATTAGTTTGCCAGGATCTTGTCTACACACCCCTAGGTACACATGCTATCTCATTTTGTTTCCTTTCTGAATGTAGTTAAGATGGTTTCCTTTTTAAATTCAAGTTATGAAACAAAAATGTTTGCCCTATTTAAGGTTGTCGGTTATTCAATTTTAGACAGTTTGAAATGTTTTTCCTGAAACTTTTCAAAGTCACTCAAATCTAATATGAGATGTACATGTCATGTCCTGTATAATTGTACTGAATTGTTTCGTTGCATTACCTAAAATGTTTATCCTACAACCTACAAGCTTTTTCACATGGCTATATATAGAACCATTTCAAAAATTCAAGATAATGTTAGTTTAAGACAGATTTATTATGTGACTGTTGTCGCAGCATTATTAGTAAAGGGATTCAACATGTAGATTTCATTCAGGATTCAACATGTAGATTTCGTTCAGGATACAACATGTAGATTTCACTCAGGATTCAACATGTGGATTTCGTTCAGGATTCAACATGTAGATTTCGTTCAGGATTCAACATGTAGATTTCACTCAGGATTCAACATGTAGATTTCGTTCAGGATTCAACATGTAGATTTCGTTCAGGATTCAACATGTAGATTTCGTTCAGGATTCAACATGTAGATTTCGTTCAGGATTCAACATGTAGATTTCGTTCAGGATTCAACATGTAGATTTCGTTCAGGATTCAACATGTAGATTTCGTTCAGGATTCAACATGTAGATTTCGTTCAGGATTCAACATGTAGATTTCGTTCAGGATTCAACATGTAGATTTCATTCAGTGGAAACTGATGTTTAGATTGAAGTAAATAATTTAAGATGTATGTAAACAGTTGTACTAAAGTATATATTGGTGTCTTATAGTCTACCACAGCCACCAGTATAACAGTGACCATCATACCTCCCACAAGGCCTAATGGAGTGATCCGTTACTACGCTGTCTTAGTCAACAGTACCTTGGTAAGTTTGTACTATTATCACTCCATTGTTCTGTAATAAATCTGTACATAATGTATAAAATAAGAATTACTTGTACAGAATGATATATAAGATATACTGTATTTCATTGCTTACAATATCTGTTTTTATTTATGTTTTTACACAGTAGATCAGTAGATATATTGTCACCCACCTAAGGTAGTTTATCATTTAAAATAACATAACCAACTTCATTTTGCTAAGTCAGGTGTAGTCACGCACCCCCTATCTCTCATTATTACAAATCTAATATAATTTTGGGCTGAAGTAAATGAAATTTCACTTTATAGTAAATTAGATTTTTTGACTTCAGGGAAGCAGTAGCCAGACCCTGATACAGACTGTGGGGGAAAATATGGCCCTGATGCCCTTCACCATGTATGCCTTACAGTCCCAGGTCTGTACTGGAGGAGGCTGCGCCACCAGTGGGCCAATCATAGCCAAGACAGGGGCTGCCAAACCCACAGGTCTAAGAGCTATCAAAGTGATGGATACCAACAGCTCCACTATTAGGCTTGGCTGGTCATACCCAACAAGTCCAAATGGTGCTATCATCAGGTATGTCTCACTACACCTATCATACTGTTATCAGGTTCCTTAATAGCCACTCCAGATGGGGCCATCTAATGATATGCCATAGCTTGCCTCTTTCAGTCCAGTATTATGATCAACATGAATTTTCTGCCTCAGCATCTTTTCTATTTTTATACCTTTTGTATACATTTTATTGTCATTTATTCTTTAATAATCACATATACTTGACATTTTTCTACTTCTTAACATTTATCTTTTATCTCCCTTTGTAAGCCTATTTCTGTTATTGTAACAGATTCCTGATCTACCAACGGAGGGCTTGTCCGCCTACAGACCAGCCTTTCCCACAGACATGTGTAGTGGGTGACCCCTCGATTGCCTTTGATGGTCTTGCCATTGAAAGAGCTATTGTGAGCTTGCTGCCTTACACAGCCTATGAGTTTCAAATCCAGGCAGAGAATGAGGCTGGTTATGTTGACTTTCCTACCTGGGTCCGGGCAGAGACTATGCCTACAGGTATTCAGTATTAAAATTATCAATTAGATGATATAGAATTATCATCCAAAGAAAGAAAAACTTGTTTTATTGCACCAGCTATATGTTTTTTGTCTCTTGGAAAATTTGAGGAAACGTTTTTTATCATTTTGACATCTAAAGCCAAGTATATTGCCTATCTTTACAGATTGAGCTCGTATACAATGTAAAATCCTTCCTATATCAGTGCATGTATTGATATAATGCTATAAAACAATTATTTCTTCAGCCCCACAATATGTGAAGTTTCCACTCTTGTACATGAATGGTACAACAGCAGTGTTTGATTGGCTGCTCAGTTTTAACCTCCAGGGGGAGCTTCGGGAGTTCATCCTCCTGGTGGATGGTCGTGTGGTGTTTCGCGGAGTCAGCTTCCTACATCAACTTCCAAACATTGAGCAGGACAGAAGTAAGGCACTTGTACAACTCATACAAACAATATCTTAAATGGAGGATATTTGATTGTTTCAGTATATTACAAGCTAAACCTAATCAATGATTATGATACAAGCATAATGTAGTGATTTTCCCATTGCAGCAATGGAGTTTGTGATTGCAGCTATAACAGAGACAGGACAGGTTGAGTCACCTGCGATTATCTTTGACCCCAATTCCATTGACAACATAGGCACTACCCCTCAGCCTACCTCTCGCCCAGTGCTCCTCGTCCAAAAGATGTTCTACCAAGAGGTCTGGTTCATTGTTCTCCTTGTACTTATCACTGTCCTCCTCATCTTTATCATCATTGCTCTTTGTCTTCGTCACATTCATGGACGACGCCCCTACATTCGCGAGCGCACACCACTTCGTCCACGACATAGAAAGGAGTCACAACCATTTACATTTAGTAGCAGTGATGACAGCATATTTGAAACAGTAAGTTGCAGAACATAAGAGACATAATGTATTTAAATAACTGAACATTTTCTTGGAGGGAAGGTAAGGGGAACTGGACTGGAGTGTAAAGATGATTTTGTTAACATTGCATTGTTTACATCATAGATATGAAACGGTTATCAAATGGTAGACGTGATGGTCACTGTATGACCAGAGGATTGTCAGAGTGAGCGATTTTCAAATAATCAAGACCATTGGGCCACTTTTTGGCATTATAATGAAAATGTCTTATTTTTAGGAAATGTCTGGTAGACCTTACCACCCAAGCAAGCCAGGTCACATATATAACTCACGAGGGGATGGAATTACAAACCCTGTGTACAGTAACAGGCGCATGATGCATTTAAACTCAAGTCCAGAATCCTCCTCATCCAGATCAAAATATGAGGACGATTTTGATGATGCATTAGATGATGATGACATAGATTACCTCTGGAAGAAGGGAAGAGGAAGCACTCTGGTAAGATGGTAACCAATATGTAGAGTGTTTAGTAAGATATTCCAATATTTGTAAGCATATGTATGGAGCTACAGATCTGGAAAAACACTCAGAGAGTTTTAACCTGATCACTTCCCAAATTAAAATAACAAAATATTTTACTTTCCTGAGAAAATTTTTCAGATTAGTAGTTTCATGAAATCATTCCATCAGCTGATGACAATCAATGATAGATTGATCAATTTGAAAATATCTTAAATGAAGTTGTTTTCTTTTATAACAGTATAGTAACATTTTATAACAGTAACATTTTATAACAGTTATAACAGTACAGTAACATTTTATAACAGTACGGTAACATTTCATAACAGTATAGTAACATTTTATAACAGTATAGTAACATTTTATAACAGTAACATTTTATAACAGTTATAACAGTACGGTAACATTTTATAACAGTACGGTAACATTTTATAACAGTACGGTAACGTTTCATAACAGTATAGTAACATTTTATAACAGTATTGTAACATTTTATAACAGTAAAGTAATATTTCACTACTTCGTGTTGTTTTTTGATAACTCTTTACTATTTTAGTTTGGTGAGGAAGATGATGACAGTGCTGACCTACCAGCCTATAGCATTACAAAGGAGCAGACAGTGTTTACAGATACTCACCTCTGACCTGTAACCTGGACAGATTCTCATTAACAATCGTATTGTGACTGCTGTAGACAATGTTTACAGATACTCACCTCTGACCTGTAACCTGGACAGATTCTCATTAACAATCTTATAGTGACTGCTGTATGAGTTACTGCATTTAGAATACTGAAGGCAGAAAACATGTATAACCTTGATAGTGACATTATATTACTCCACAACATTGAATGATATGAATATTTATGCATTTATAGATATTTACATGCAAGGAAGAACCTCCTTAATGTGTGATGAATGATTCAAATTAATGAAAACTCAAGCTTTCTACTTGAGGGGAAATTCTGTCATCACCTTACACTCTTCATTGTTACTATGTATGTAAACTCAGCTCATGGTGGGAAATTGATACTCTATGCAATGCTATGGTTATTTAAATGTATTCTAAACTTTACGTTGATGCATATTCAGTGTATAGAAGTTTACATGGCGTGTTTTATTACGGTTCACACCTGAGATACTGATACACAATCTTAATCATTATGTCCGTCCATTTGTCTGTCCACCAGTTCAGTTAGAAATACCCTATAGTGATCACTCTGTCTGTCCACCAGTTCAGTTAGATACCCTATAGTGATCACTCTGTCTGTCCACCAGTTCAGTAAGAGATACCCTATAGTGATCACTCTGTCCACCAGTTCAGTTAGATACCCTATAGTGATCACTCTGTCTGTCCACCAGTTCAGTTAGAGATACCCTATAGTGATCACTCTGTCCACCAGTTCAGTTAGATACTCTATAGTGATCACTCTGTCTGTCCACCAGTTCAGTAAGAGATACCCTATAGTGATCACTCTGTCTGTCCACCAGTTCAGTTAGATACCCTATAGTGATCACTCTGTCTGTCCACCAGTTCAGTTAGATACCCTATAGTGATCACTCTGTCTGTCCACCAGTTCAGTAAGAGATACCCTATAGTGATCACTCTGTCTGTCCACCAGTTCAGTTAGAGATACCCTATAGGGATCACTCTGTCTGTCCACCAGTTCAGTTAGATACCCTATAGTGATCACTCTGTCTGTCCACCAGTTCAGTTAGAAATACCCTATAGTGATCACTCTGTCTGTCCACCAGTTCAGTTAGATACCCTATAGTGATCACTCTGTCTGTCCACCAGTTCAGTCCACCAGTTCAGATACCCTATAGTGATCACTCTGTCTGTCCACCAGTTCAGTATAGATACCCTATCAGTGATCACTCTGTCTGTCCACCAGTTCAGTTAGAGATACCCTATAGTGATCACTCTGTCTGTCCACCAGTTCAGTTAGATACCCTATAGTGATCACTCTGTCTGTCCACCAGTTCACCAGTGATCACTCTGTCTGTCCACCAGAGATACCCTATAGTGATCACTCTGTCTGTCCACCAGTTCAGTTAGATACCCTATAGTGATCACTCTGTCTGTCCACCAGTTCAGTTAGATACCCTATAGTGATCACTCTGCCTGTCCACCAGTTCAGTTAGATACCCTATAGTGATCACTCTGTCTGTCCACCAGTTCAGTTAGATACCCTATAGTGATCACTCTGTCTGTCCACCAGTTCAGTTAGAGATACCCTATAGTGATCACTCTGTCTGTCCACCAGTTCAGTTAGAGATACCCTATAGTGATCACTCTGTCTGTCCACCAGTTCAGTAAGAGATACCCTATAGTGATCACTCTGTCTGTCCACCAGTTCAGTTAGATACCCTATAGTGATCACTCTGTCTGTCCACCAGTTCAGTTAGATACCCTATAGTGATCACTCTGTCTGTCCACCAGTTCAGTAAGAGATACCCTATAGTGATCACTCTGTCTGTCCACCAGTTCAGTTAGAGATACCCTATAGTGATCACTCTGTCTGTACACCAGTTCAGTAAGAGATATCCTATAGTGATCACTCTGTCTGTCCACCAGTTCAGTTAGATACCCTATAGTGATCACTCTGTCTGTCCACCAGTTCAGTTAGATACCCTATAGTGATCACTCTGTCTGTCCACCAGTTCAGTAAGAGATACCCTATAGTGATCACTCTGTCTGTCCACCAGTTCAGTTAGATACCCTATAGTGATCACTCTGTCCACCAGTTCAGTAAGAGATACCCTATAGTGATCACTCTGTCCACCAGTTCAGTTAGATACCCTATAGTGATCACTCTGTCTGTCCACCAGTTCAGTTAGATACCCTATAGTGATCACTCTGTCTGTCCACCAGTTCAGTTAGATACCCTATAGTGATCACTCTGTCTGTCCACCAGTTCAGTTAGATACCCTATAGTGATCACTCTGTCTGTCCACCAGTTCAGTTAGATACCCTATAGACACTATATTGTTATCACTCTCTGTCCACCAGTTCAGATAGAGATACCCTATAGTGATCACTCTGTCTGTCCACCAGTTCAGTTAGATACCCTATAGTGATCACTCTGTCTGTCCACCAGTTCAGTTAGATACCCTATAGTGATCACTCTGTCTGTCCACCAGTTCAGTTAGATACCCTATAGTGATCACTCTGTCTGTCCACCAGTTCAGTTAGATACCCTATAGTGATCACTCTGTCTGTCCACCAGTTCAGTTAGATACCCTATAGTGATCACTCTGTCTGTCCACCAGTTCAGTTAGATACCCTATAGTGATCACTCTGTCTGTCCACCAGTTCAGTTCAGTTAGATACCCTATAGTGATCACAGTTAGATACCCTATAGTGATCACTCTGTCTGTCCACCAGTTCAGTTAGATACCCTATAGTGATCACTCTGTCTGTCCACCAGTTCAGTTAGAGATACCCTATAGTGATCACTCTGTCTGTCCACCAGTTCAGTTAGATACCCTATAGTGATCACTCTGTCTGTACCCTATAGTGATCACTCTGTCTGTCCACCAGTTCAGTTAGATACCCTATAGTGATCACTCTGTCTGTCCACCAGTTCAGTTAGATACCCTATAGTGATCACTCTGTCTGTCCACCAGTTCAGTTAGATACCCTATAGTGATCACTCTGTCTGTCCACCAGTTCAGTTAGATACCCTATAGTGATCACTCTGTCTGTCCACCAGTTCAGTTAGAGATACCCTATAGTGATCACTCTGTCTGTCCACCAGTTCAGTTAGATACCCTATAGTGATCACTCTGTCCACCATCCCCTATAGTGATCACTCTGTCCACCAGTTCAGTTAGATACCCTATAGTGATCACTCTGTCTGTCCACCAGTTCAGTTAGAGATACCCTATAGTGATCACTCTGTCTGTCCACCAGTTCAGTTAGATACCCTATAGTGATCACTCTGTCTGTCCACCAGTTCAGTTAGATACCCTATAGTGATCACTCTGTCCACCAGTTCAGTTAGATACCCTATAGTGATCACTCTGTCTGTCCACCAGTTCAGTTAGATACCCTATAGTGATCACTCTGTCTGTCCACCAGTTCAGTTAGATACCCTATAGTGATTACTCTGTCTGTCCACCAGTTCAGTTAGATACCCTATAGCGATCACTCTGTCTGTCCACCAGTTCAGTTAGATACCCTATAGTGATCACTCTGTCTGTCCACCAGTTCAGTTAGATACCCTATAGTGATCACTCTGTCTGTCCACCAGTTCAGTTAGATACCCTATAGTGATCACTCTGTCTGTCCACCAGTTCAGTTAGATACCCTATAGTGATCACTCTGTCTGTCCACCAGTTCAGTTAGATACCCTATAGTGATCACTCTGTCTGTCCACCAGTTCAGTTAGATACCCTATAGTGATCACTCTGTCTGTCCACCAGTTCAGTAAGAGATACCCTATAGTGATCACTCTGTCTGTCCACCAGTTCAGTAAGAGATACCCTATAGTGATCACTCTGTCTGTCCACCAGTTCAGTTAGAGATACCCTATAGTGATCACTGTCCACCATTTTACAAGAAATTTTGAAGAATTACGTACTGTTATATTCATGTTTATGTAATGGAGGTTACCTGAGTAAACAAGTAAATGATGTTAATATGTTTCTAAAAATAGAACATGAACTTTTATTGTCAAGTACTGGGGTTACATTACTTACACCACATCACCTGTGCATATTAAGGACCTAAATATGTCTCCACCACTTGTCTAGATCAAACTCTTCACCCATTTTTATGTCGGCCAAGTCAGTAGATTTGTGAATAGTGTACAGAGGACCAAAACTACATTTTATGTGACCTACCATGACTGTGAAACCAGGTATGTATGTAGATGTCACCAACTTCACAACATACCTGTGATGATAATTCAACACATCAGTCCAACATCCCAAAGTACCAGTATGACCTATCATATCTGTAAAAGTTATGTATGATACCTGGAATGTTAACCATACATACATCTATATATGGAGAGAAAAAGCCTGTAGAGGTGGCCACCAGTATGCATAAAAAAGGATGACTCAGCTCACCTGTAAAGGTGACTTGATACACCTGTAAAGGTGACTTGATACACCTGCAAAGGTGACTTGATACACCTGTAAAGGTGACTATGCATGCTTGTAAGTGTGACCCATCACACCTGTAAAGGTGACTTGATACACCTGTAAAGGTGACTATGCACTCTTGTAAGTGTGACCCATCACACCTGTAAAGGTGACTTGATACACCTGTAAAGGTGACTATGCACTCTTGTAAGTGTGACCCATCACACCTGTAAAGATGATTCAGCATACTTCAAAATATGATGAATGCAGGACTACTGATGTTTGATATAATGTTTATTTCCAGTTTTTAACTCAGGTATCAAGAGAAACAGGTCAGAGAACTGTGTGGGCTTTTAGTTTGTATCTAAGCACAATATCTTTAAAAATACTGTAAGAAAACTTTTATGAATACTTTCCCATGCAATTTTTACACTGCCAAATCAGGAATGACACATGTTTATCCTGATCAATGAATATTGCTCAGAAGTTCACTGTGATTTTACATCATCGAAGACCATCAGTAGAATGTTTACAATTAATAGATTAATACACATGGTTAAGCTTTTTGTGTGTTTATATAAAACTGCAAAGGGAGATAATCAAATTTCATAAAAATTTCGCGATTTTATGAGCATATCAACTATTTATGTAATAACTGTACATTTATACAAGGAGAGTAATGTGAAGTTTACATGTCTTAACAATGAATTGAATCACTTTTGGAATATAATCTGGTATTATGTACAGCTATCGTTAATTTGTCAAATTGTGTTGTATCTTTTTTAATGAACATTTTATGTAACAACTACATTCCACGATATATTTATTTAAATGATATTGTTTATAATAAAATGTTTTTCAACCATGTCTATTTGTTATATACATTGATACAATTTTTAGTCCTGACTCCTGTGCACGCCACTATGGATGGATGGTGATACATTAGCACTGTTCCTGATGGACACAATAGACAGGTGAACTCTAGAGACAGTACACAGACAATACACATAATGACAGAGACGTTATCATCACAGCCATTATCAATCATATGCTCTACATCAGTACTTCTGTCAACAACATTTACACGGAGCTACTTCACTGACTTTGGATTGCTTTAGATTAAAAGTTAAAATTACTATACACAGAACTGATAGAGATTTAAACAATACTTCTGCATCTTTAAACCTTCTTTGTGTTTTTTGTTTATAAAATAAAACTTTATTATCACCTCTCAGGTTTTCTTTAACTTTGTGCAGTTACATCAACAATCCATTGGTAAAGTATATAAATAATACCTAAAAACAGATTATGGATTCAACACAGTTTTGTAATTTTGTCATAAAATCTTATGTTACAAAAACAGCAGGGCTTTAAACACAGGAGACGCACCGAAATATTCTTCATATTTAATATTTAACAAGAAAATCAGTAGAGAGATTTTGCCCCTCAAAAATATCATTGGTCTTGGCTATTGGTCAGTTGGTCTTAGCTTTTATTATGAAGTGAAGTTATCGTACACATGTGAGAAAGTCTTATCTCAGGGTGATTTACTCAAATATCCATTCTGATTTCATTACATAATTGAAAAAACAGCTCAACAATTTTCACATGTCCAAGTAACTTTATATAACTGTCCTTTAGACACAATCAAAATATCATTGACAGTGCATACAAACATACATGAATGTTTCGTAAGTTTCAACTTTTTTTTTTCTTTTTCTTTTTTCCTCAATTTGAACACGACTTCCCTGTCAAACTTTTCCATAAATTTATCTTTGTGTTGAATCGGCATGATGTAATGTTGAGGTAAACGCCTTTTCATATAAGACTGGTCTGGTCAGAAATAGATGGGAGTAGTGACATATGTACAATCTGGAGAATGGGTGTCATCTATTGCATCCATGCTTGGGTAAAGGTAGAACCTGTCACCAAGGCCCATCAGCAGGCCAGCATTTCCCTCCTCTCCTGCCCACCGCTCTGAATAAGCCACTGTGGGGATAAAATCCTGTGCAAGAGCGGATGGAGGTGGTATGGTCCTCATTAATGCTCCTGTCTTAAGACACCAGAATCTGATGTAACCATCAGAGTCAGCTGTTAAATGACAAAAAAAGAAAATACATAGACTTGACCCAATACTAATACATGGATGCCAGGTAATTATTTCAGACAACTAAGCATTAATTAACTGCCAAGGGCTGGCAATAATGCTGTAAGTGAATGTGCTGCAAATACATGACTCGAATGACAAAACTTAGCAAGTTCACATCCTACTGACACAAAAAGATATATTAGAGTGCAAAGCTGTATCATTGTGTTGATATATTTTACTGAAAGCATCCTCAGGGGAAGTTTGTCTAAAAATCCTGTGAAAAGGGCTTAGATCCCAAGGCCACAACACTAGAAATCTTAATAATAATAATAATAATAACAATAATAATTTGACTTGCAAATAAACATTATTCTGAATAAAAATATTTTTTTGCCACAATGACTTAGGTGAAATTTTATTTTATTTTTCTATGGGATGATTCATAAAGGAAACATCTGTACTAAAAAATTTCTTATCCTTAATCTGTGAAATTGTTTGCTACACATATTACAAACAAACTGAACTTGCCTCCATAAACAAATCGTTCCTGGTCATCCACATGGATGGGTATACATTGATACTGGTTTTTTAAGCCTTGGTATTGCTGAACAACTTTCCTCATTCGAAGGTCCCATAGACACACCTACAAAATAAAGTGATAGCTGATATGGTCCTATCCTTATTATACTTTCAGGTCATAGAGCACACAACAGTACTGAGGAGGTCTGTCTCTTACTGTTTTTGTAAAGTGCATCAAAATATAGAATTAAGAAACCAATCGCTACATGATGTACATAACATTACATCCATATGTCAGTACTACACTGAACAACCTAAATGGACACCAACGATTGCTTGCATGTTACTTGATATAAAGGTGAAACGTTCAACAATGTTATTTTCACATATTTTTTCTTTTTTTCTCTTACAGATACATGTCTGATTAACATTAAGTTTACAATGACAATATTCCTATAGGTGTGGAAACATTCAGTCACACCAACATGTGTACAAGTTCAAATGTCCACAGCCATCAGATAGTACAGACTACAGGAAGTCTACATTACATCTAACAAAATATAACAAAGGTGTACATACTTTGCCATGAACATCACTAGCTAGTAGTTTGGTATCATCCTGAAACAGTCGTAGACTACAGACACTACAGGACTGGCTCATGCTTGTAGTAGGGCGTGTGGATACACTGCGTAGGTCATGTGACAAGATCTGGTTCTTCCGTGTCCCAGAGTACAGACAATAGCGAGTCTGAAGTATGCAACAGACATCTGACAAAATTGTTTTCTGCACTAGCACAGTAACGATAAATACTTTTATGTATTACAATAATAATCTTACAATATCATCAATAGAGGCACTGTATTAAATGCTTACTTCAGCTGATGTATTTTAATTATTATGGTAGTCATCTTGAAAGCCAAACTATATTTAACAAAATTGTGGTGAGCAGCCTTACCGAACATATCCTTAATGTTGCATTAATTATTAAGTTTCATAGTCAGAATCTAAAATAGACACAAGTGACATTCTTTGCTTGATAAAGTTTGAATTATGACATGCAAAACAATAACTTATATTGAATATAATAATAAAGATTGAGGTAGGTCCAATTAAAAGTTGAGGTATGGTAGCAAAAGTAGTGTTTATGGAACTGACTCAGAGTTTAATTGAAGTAAAACAACGAGGTAGGTTTAATAGGTAACACATTCCACGCATTCTCTCCCATCTTACCTTCAGATCCAAAATCCATGTCAGGGGTCCTTACTGAAAGTCTTACCTTTGTGTCAAATATCTGTACAAGTGGATCACTATTATAGGTGTTTAGTTCCCAGAGACGCCTGGTTTCCACATCGAGAAGAAGACCACATTTCTCACTACCTACACTGAAGTTCTGTCCCTGTGTATTCCAGGCACAGGTCCATGTACACTTGTGACCCAGACTAAACTCAAGGTCATTTTCTCTGTCTGAAGTTTGAGGAAATTGACGTATCCTAGCCATGCTCACTTCATCACCGACCCATGTGAAGGACATGGTGGTAAACAGAACATGTCTACCTCTATTGTTGCCATAGTTACGTTTCAGGTCAGCCCAACATAAATTTGTCACTTTGTTCCAGATGACTAAAGAAGAAAATTCTGGAGACTCTATATTGACACTTAACCGACTCTGAATATTTGTACGCTTGTCTCTCTTTATATCTAACATCTGAATATTGTAATTACTTATTTCCTGTTTGCTCCAAAGTCCAAGAACACAATCTGTATTTTCACTAACCACCATTTTATGAACATGTTCTAGTTTACTATAAGTTGGTTGAATCCGGCTGACAAGTCTTTGACAACCAGCAGGAGTTGAATTAATGTTGGAAATTCTTTTAAAGGCAAACAAATGATCAAATTTTTGTACTGATATTACACCACCGCATAAATCATTCAATAGATGAGGTAGATCTGTGCAGCTTTTTACTCCTAAAGTCTTAACTCTTGATGATCTATGTTTTTCATACGATTCTCGACAGGATATTTCTTTTAAACGAAGTTGTTCCTTTTCCTTCCTTTGAATTGTCTCTCTTGTCACTGTGCTACTGCTGGTGCTGTTGTGGTTTGGCTGGATGCGAAAGTACTTTCTCTTCTCTGCATCAAAATAAAAGCCTGGTATATCTGCACAATAGTCAAGGAATCCTCAGATAACGACTATGAATTTATATCATGAGGTAAGTAAACCACGGCACAGACTCGTCTTATCACGAGGTAAGTAAACCACGGCACAGACTCGTCTTTGTCATGAGGTAAGTAAACCACGGCACAGATTCGTCTTTGTCACGAGGTAAGTAAACCACGGCACAGACTCGTCTTTGTCATGAGGTAAGTAAACCACGGCACAGACTCGTCTTGTCACGAGGTAAGTAAACCACGGCACAGACTCGTCTTATCACGAGGTAAGTAAACCACGGCACAGACTCGTCTTTGTCATGAGGTAAGTAAACCACGGCACAGACTCGTCTTGTCATGAGGTAAGTAAACCACGGCACAGACTCGTCTTGTCACGAGGTAAGTAAACCACGGCACAGACTCATCTCATCATTGTATTAATATATATATATTAAAAATAATAAAAAAGTAACAATAAGTGTCGTATGAAATATACCACATGGAAAGCAAAATTTCATGTCATTATTTAAAGCCTAACGAGTTCAAAAGAGGTCCGTCCAAAAATAAAATACTGGACCTCTTATTGATTAGAGTTAACAAAACTCATCCAGTTGTCAATGAGATCAAACAGAAACTTAATGAGATCTCCGGAGAAAGAAAATACCAAAAATGGAAAATGTTGATTATGAAGACTACAAAGGCTGAATCTACTCTCTTTGAAATTCAGACGTATGAGAGGGGACATGATAGAGGTGTTCATAACACTAATTGAGAAATATGACAGGAGGGTAACGACCAGCCTACTACAACTTAACCTAATCACAAGGGGTAACTCAATGAAACTGATGAAAACCCATTGCAGGAAGGACGAACAAAAGTACAGCATTACTCTTCAAGTAGATGACTTATGGAACAGTCTGCCAGACCATGTAATAGCAGCACCAAATGTCCATCAATTTGAAAACAGACTTGATAAACTACAGGAGAACTATCCAATGAAGTACAACTTCTACATAAAGTACAGACCTGTCATCGGGAGGAATATTAACTAGATTTAGAAAATTTTCTGAGCTGCCTATAAGAACCAAGAAAAGGTCCTGCAGGCGGTTACAACATAAATAACATAAGTAAAGAAAGTATGTTGGGAGATAGTCTCACAGTGGCAGGAAATCAGAGTGCCTGGAGAATACCTGCATATTTTAATCATTCCAAAAGATTTGTAATTCCTCTGCGGTAAGTTTATCAGCAAACGTCAGTTTATTGAGTATACTTGAACTGCGACGTCTTCAATGTAACAATGATAACAACACTACAAAACAAATGATACCCAATCTGACTCTCACTGAATTATCATTGTAGTCTGTGTTTACCAGAGAAACTTTCCAGAAGTCTGAAATCAAGTGTCTCATTCATTGATTAACATATAAATATCCACCTCTTGAAAGGATACCTAATGTATCTGCTGGTCCCATGTTATTCTCAGTTGTCTCCAACTTTTTCTGGTGACATCGGTTTCTCATCCTGTTCTGCTGTCTGCTGGTATTTTGCCGACTTGGTTGTCGACCATCCTTCCCCAGATCACTAGAACACCCATCATCTCTGCCAGATTTACTTGTCTTTGGTCTTCTCTTGTGTTCAGTGTATCTAGACTGTCTATCCTGTTTTTGCCATTTAGCTATCAATTCATTTCTTTTCATGATGTATAACCTGCAAAATTAGTAGGAATTTGTTATATGAAAGCTGCTTTAAAATTTTGAAGGATCACCAAGACTAAAGGTAGTAATTGTGTGTTTGCAGTCAGATATATAGGGTGAATGATTCTTTGCAACAAGTAGTTCAGCAATAATTAATTTGGTAGAATAAATAGTGAAAAGAGAATTTGCCTGTTTTGAAGGGTAAGAAAGTGATCTTCATTAATGGCAGTTTGGCTGTTGATCTTTAGCGAGAATACTAAGGAATCCTAGTAAATAATTTACCTATTCTAATCAAGTGTCAATGAGACCAAAGATTATATCTTTGTTGTATACAAGTCTCTTATTTGCCCATTTCACACCTAGTTTGTTGAAACAAAAAGTACATGGCAAAGTATTGTTAAAGAAAAGGTTCAGGCTATCCTTCTCATGTGCAAAGAAATGCTTTCTATGTAAAAACACAAACATTTCACGCTTTACGTAATAAGCATTAGCAACGATATTCAAGTTACACTGGTAAAAGTTTTACCATCTTAATTCTGTGTTTCACGAGCTGTTACCCCTGGTTTAGCATTCCTGATCTAAATAGATAGTTGTCATTCCACAGTATAAACAACGACTGTAGGTATTTTGAAATTGAAAATTTCATGTGTAAACACATTATTCTATGTGTGGTGCTATAAAAATAACTGCCTAACGTACTCACAAAATATATTTCAATGTGGACAAATTGTGCAAAGGCAATATATTGAAGTTCTGTTACTCTGAATATGAAGAGAACGCATCGTAATTACCGTGATAACACTTTATAACATGGACGTTTGACGCTTATAGAGCTCGGTGTTTGAGTTTAGTCAATACCACATCGTACGAAGAAATAAAAGCCAACTTTGATCAACATGCCCATCAACATCCACTGTTTACAATCTCAACTTCCGGTAAACCATATAAAAATATTTCCAATTGGATATAAAACGAAAAAAATGAGCTTACTTTCTAAATTTGCATCATATTGCGAATTAAATACCTATTCCAGCAAAAGATAAAAAGACATTGTTCAGTATTGACAGCTCAGTATTGTTTACTTACATTTGAAATATATTTTCATATATTTTTCTTCGAGTAGTTTCGTATAACCATTTGGAAGTTATATCAACTGTAGCATCATGGCGGCCGCGCACGTGGAACCGTCTGGCGATCTGACTGGAAATGTTGATTTTAGCTCTGACGACAGTGATGTAGATGATAATGATATAGAGACAGGTATGTAGTACTTTCCCAAAACGACAATTATCAAAAAACCCTTCAGGGGTTTGTTCGCGAAAGTTTGTTTAATTATACAAGTGATGTATTTGTTGAAACTATTTCGATAATTTAAAGTTATATACAGCTGATTTAATGGTTAAGGGTACCACGTGTTTTATGCTTCTGAAATTAAGCATCTTATACAGTTATAAAATGGTCTATTCGCAATTAAGTTGATATATATATATATATATGTCTAAACACATTCAAATAACATCATGTCGGAAATAAATGAAAGAAAACCCAGAGAGTAATATTGTGATACATGGGATTCCAGAATGCGACTCAAGCACAAGAGATATCAGAATTTCCCACGATACAGACAAGGTGAAGGATATACTGCAAAAATGCAATGTTAGGACTGAGAATACAGAGGAAATAATCACTAAAGCAATTGGGCTTGGGAGTTATAAAAAAAAGATTCGCTACAGGAGGATAAGCAACCAAAACCCCGACCTTTGCTTATAACACTGAGTTCAATAAAACAGAAGAAGACACTGATCAAACATTTAAAAAAAACCTAGGAGGAGATGAAAGTGTCAGGAACATAAAAATCAGTAATGACCTTACAAAGTCAGAACAAGAACAAGAGATGAAACTTTGGAAAGAGGCTAAACAAAAATAGCAGTCACAATCATGGGGGAATTTACTTTCAAACTACGGAGCTCCCCTTGGGCCAGAAAAGTTATGAAAATCAGAGTGTAAAGATCAGAGGTAGAAAATACCAGAACATTATTGAAAGCAAACATAGCACAGTCACATTTTCGATTCTTCAATGCAGACCAATTAAAAAACAAGATACCTGAATTAACTCTAAGACTGAACAATATAAATCCAGATATTATTGGAATTACAGAAATAAAGCCGAAAACAAGATCTCTAAATATGAAGCCACAGGAATTCTCTATTAAGAGAAACAATAATATGTTCCATAAGAACATTGATAATGTTATTGGACGAGGTACGATACTCCACATAAACATGCTGCTTCCATCCAGAGAGGTGGAAATAGACACATTGTTCCAGGAAAATATATTCATAGAAATCTCTTTAAATAAACACAAAAAAAATACTTTTTGTATTGATATACAGATCCGATAGTGGAACGGATGAGAGTAATAGAAACTTGATAAGATTAATCAATGAGGTATCAAAGAAAAACTATACTCACTTAGTAATTATGGGGGATTTCAACTATCCGAATATCAACTGGGAAACGTGGAATTCTAAAGGAGATCGTATCGAAACACAAGAATATAGATTCCACAACTGCTTACAAGACAATTTCTCATGGCAAAATCAACTAACCTACACGATGGAGAGGAAATGACACACCCCATGATTTAGATCTTGTAATAACTAACAAGGAAAGCACCGTTACATCAATAGAGTACCAGAGTATACTGGAGAAGAGTGACCAGTGTTATTCTTCTGAGCATAGTCTGTAATACAAGGATAACATGTAGAAACATACCTAAGAAATGTTACAAAAAAGCATACTATGAGCAAATAAACAACGAAATCAGAGAGACCAACTGGAAAGATTTATTAAATGAAGATAGGGACATCCATGAAACTGGCAAATTTTTAAAAGCAAAATTCAGGACTTAATTGATATCTATGTGCCATCCAAAATTATTAAAACCAGAAAAAACAACAAACATCAATTTCCAATTGATTAGGACACACTAGCTAAAATAAGGAAGAAGTATGCACTCTCCAAAAAAGTAACAGAAAGATCTGATACAGAAGTAAAGAGAAAATATAGCAGAGCAAGGAACCAAGTTAAGTCAAAGACAAGAAAACTATGTGAGGAATTTGAACAATCCATTGCTGAACAAGCCAAATGTAACCCTAAGCTGATCTGGAAATATATTAACTCAAAAACTAAATCCAAAGATGAAATAACAGAACTCTACGAAAACCAACTGGACAACAAATCTCAAATAGTGGCCTCAGGCAAACTTCTTTCAAAGCGTAAGGAGAGATACCTGAACTAACACACATTAAAACAAGCAGCAATATGAAAACACTTGTGATAACCAATGAAATGGTTACCAGGGTACTCAATAACTTAAATCCAAATAAATCACCAGGCTTAGATAACATGCATCCAGAATTCCTGAAGACTGCCTCCACCATAGCGATACCACTAGCACTGATATTCAACCAAACTCTTCGAGAGGGATCCATTCCTGTTGATTGGAAGCATGCAAGAGTGTGTGCAATATTTAAAAAGGGAGACAAGGTAGCAGCAGGGAATCACAGGCCAGTCAGCCTTACATCTGTGGTATGTAAAGTAATGGAAACAATCATTCACGGGCATATAAATGACTATGCGATCACACATGCTTTTCTCTTAAAGGCAATATGGATTTATATCGGGCCATTCAACTTCAATTCAGTTGTTAGATGTACTGGATAAATGGACAGAGGCTATGGATAAAGGTTAGAGAATCAATTGCATATATATGGATTATCAGAAAGCTTTTGACAGAGTACCACACCGAAGATTATTAAGTAAAATTAGATCATACAATATTTCGGAACAAATTGTCAGATGGATAGAAAGTTTTTTGAATGGGAGAAAACAGCATGTAAGAATAAATGACAAGCAGTCTGAATGGAATGACGTATCATCTGGCATTCCCCAGGGATCAGTCCTAGGCCCCTTGCTGTTTGTCATTTTTGTAAATGATTTACCAGATATTGTAAAATCAGATATGTATCTATTTGCAGACGATACAAAAATTTTCAGGGTAATCAAGAGAGAAGAAGACAAAGTAATACTTCAAGAAGATCTAAATACCATGGGAGAATGGAGTGAGAAATGGCTATTAAAATTTCATCCGGATAAATGCTAACATATGTTGGTCGGAAAAGATCCTGCACAGATAGATGGAACAGGAGCAAAGTACCAATTACTGGGGAATAGTCTAAAAGTCACTGATAAGGACAAAGACATTGGAGTAATGGTAAATTCTTAACTTTCTTTCCAAGACCACATAAGTGAAAAAGTGAAGAAAGCAAATAAAATTTTCGGATTGTTAAGAAGAACATTTCAGTTTATGAATTCTAAAACTTTTCTTCTGATGTACAAAAGCTTGGTGAGATCACAACTGGATTACGCAAGTTCTGTTTGGTCACTAGTAATAGTGAAAGATATAGATAAGCTGGAGTCAATTCAACGAAGGGCCACAAAAAGGATTCGTGCAATTTTGTAAAGCTTAAGATGTACCCTGAGAGGTCAGCTATGTTGACCTTGAAAAATAGTTCTGCACATAAAATACACTATGCCGAAAACGCGAATGCCGTTACTGAGAAATTGCGACTTTTCTGAAAAACACACCTTTGGCTGAGAGGCGTTGACCTCGTTTTCGGGCACCCAAACCTGTGACGTCATAAGTTCAACGCTTTTGTTGATGCAGCCATATTGTCTTTACTGTGCTACATGTGATTGTGATCTGTTTTGGGATTTTCCGTGGTAATTTCTTTGTTTATTTACGTGAAAGTACTTCACATCTTCGCAATATCTAAGGTAGTGAACGAGGGGTCGGTGAATTAGCGCTTAAATCCGCTAAAATGGCTTCCTATCAAGGAGGGAAGCGGTGTGTATGGTTGTCCTAACACTAACACGGATGGGGTGTCGATGCATGACGTCGATAAATAAAACTGATTGTTGATTAAATAAAAGTATATTTGTTAGGTTGATATTTTGTTATTAATTCTACAACTAAACATTTTAAATTGATAGGCTAGCCTATGACTTGGGCGGTCATAGGAATATAATTCCTTCATAATCGTGAACGCCTAATACTCGGAGAAGGCCTAGTCGTGAATGGGTCACGGGAATTTTCACCCCGAGAATTTTCATACTACTATTATATAGTATAGAATAGAATTATTAGAATTTATAGAATAGGTTATGTGTGTATGTTGTTTGTATAAGGTGTATTTGGTTTTTAGATCTTCCAGCAGACGATGTTGTTTAGTTATTAATTTTGCGATCGTAAAAATAACCATAAGATCACCAATCTTGATTTGAAAACACAGTTCACAGTGTAGAGATGTCATCTAAACTCATAATCACACCTGTGCCAGGTTAGGTAATTAGCACCTCTGTGGCTGGAAAAAAACAATTGTGACACCTGTGAGGCGACACGCCTGTCGGCTAACAAAAGACGCGTACCAGTGCTGGGGTAAAAACCAGTCAAATAATTGTTTAAACTTCTAGAACATCAAATTTTTATTATTAACACAGCGGAGGGTGTTATAATTGGTTGTTGACACCCTATCTATATATATCCATAGTGCTACGAAAATTCCCTGGAAAGAAAAATTCCCCTCGGACGAAACTTCTTCGGTAAGAAAATTCCTGACACCTCGTGAAAGTATGCATAGTCTTGCACAAACGTGATTTCCCGACGTCAGAAATTGTTGATCGAGACTTGAAGATAGTAAAATTAGTCCAAAACCACACCCAATTTTATTTTGTTTCTTTGAAATGACGATTCACTGTTCGACTACTTTCACGACTACTGGTGAGACCCAGTGAAGTACGTGCCAATCTATGTTGCCCAAGCGATCGTCACTTTTCGAAGGGTCATTTTCCTCCTCACTGGATACATCGTCTTGTAATTCCAGTTCAAATCGGTAGGGCTGGATTCCGTCTTCAGACATATCATTCACACCATAATCAGACTCCTCAAAACTCATGCTCAAATCGCTCTCAGTTGCGGTGTCGTTGTCACTGTCAGTCATGTTGACTGCCATTTCTGTTGAACTTATGACGTCACATGTAGAAGAGCCTCGATTCCACGGAAATGACGATTCGGCTGATTAGGTCTGGGCGGACAGGTGAAAATCGACAACTTTGAGCTTTAATAACTCGACACTGGGGCGACGGATTTTGACGGGGTTTTCATTATTATTATTTTTACGGCATTCTTAACATTATATCTAAATATAAAATTACACTCAGGGTAAACTTTAAGATGGACGTAGGAATAAGAAGTGGTCGAGGACACTCTAAAACACTTTCTTCAACAACACATGACCAACAGAAGAGGAAATATCTTTGCTATAAGAACTGTAAAAACATGGAATAATCTTACAGAAGACATTGCATCTGCTCCAAATATAAATACTTTTAAAAACAAACTGGATAAGTCTTGGAAAAAACAAGATATTGTATATAATTATAGAGCTACTGTAAACTAAACGGGAAATGAACTTTAACCACACTAGTATAATTCTGAGTCTGGTGAAGAGGAACACTACTATACTATTCATGTCCACAAGTACCTGTGTATACGAGTACATTCTTTGTAATCATACTGACTTATTTATTTTCAGAAGAAGTGAAATGTTTGGATACCTTGGTAGTACCTGGTTCCAAATGTAGAATTAGTCATTACCATCACCTCTAGATGCATAGGAATTTAAAAAGAACAGTTATTTTAAGGAATTCCTTGTATGGTTTTGAGTTTTTTTGTAACTATCAGGGCAACATTGAATGAACATAAATGTTGTTTTAGCATTAGTGGTTGAAACGGTTGGATCTGCTAAACCCACAAGATACCTAGGCTGATCTATGGAATATCAGCCCATGCAGTTTGAGGGGTCCAGCCACATACACCTGCATATGGCAGGGAATATTTTCTTAAATTTTATACTATTTAGGACAGGTTAAAATAGACAAAACTTTATTTTTGATTCATTGTTTTCTTTAAATCTTGAGCTTTACATATTTCATTTCCAAGGTGAATTCATTTATCATGGAATAATTCTGGGTCACCTGATCTGTTCAACTGTGGGTTGGTGAAGGCTGCCATCAGAGTGAATTATTGTTCATAGTACATAATAGCTTATGACTTGTGGAGAATAGGATAATTAATTAGTCCTTTGTATATTTCAGTCTTGGGCTGATTCGGCTTCTGTTGCAAAATCTAAATTACCTAGTCCTTTCTTTTCTTTATAGTTCACCTCCCGAGTCTTTTTCAGTCTTCCTAATATCATTGCCTGTTAATTATTTCATTTTGTTAAAGAAAATCCTGTTCGTGTTAATATTTTCAGGTTCACCTATTCAGGATGGTGATGAAGAGAATGTTGGAGATAGTGCATCAGGAAACAGTGAACTTTCAGACAATGATGAGGTATCAGGGGATGATGAAGCCTCCGGAGACGAGCTTCCAGGGACATCTCACAAAGCTGGTTTGGCTAATGCCATGGCAAAAATTTTAGGAAAACAATTACCAAAGCACACCCAAGTTATCCTTGCTAAAGGAAAGACAGATAAAGAAATTACTCGTAAAAGACAGGAAAAAGAATCTGAAGATGGCAGGGAAGATAAGAAACCAAAGCTTGATGATGAATCAACTGAAAGCTTAGCAAGTTTGGAAAAGGTGAAATATCTTGGACTCTTTACTATATGACAAACATAGAATTATATTGTATGATTAACTAATGCACCATTTAAAACAGCATTAAAGACAACCTGAAGTGGGTGGTTTCCTTTGCTTAATAAAGTAATGTTTGCAAGGAAGGGATTTTCCAGGTGCTGGAGGATACTAAAGGCTCAAAAACTTAAATGACTTCCTCCCGTTTATCTTTCCTGGATTTTCCAGGCGCTGGAGGATACTAAAGGCTCACAAACTTAAATGACTTCCTCCTGTTTATCTTGTTTCTTGTATCTTAATAGATTGAGCCTTCTTGTTTTTTTATTTATTGAATTTGCAGAGAAAGGCCGATTTTCTCAGCACCTTAGTTTTCCCTACGTTGGGATTGCTTTTCAGATCAGAAAGTGTGATTCTAGTTTCAAATTTCTCTCCCCTACAATAAAACATTTGGCACTGACAAACACCAATGTTAAAGAAAACACACTGATCTGGGAGATTTATAATTAAGAGTACTGATGTATGATTCCTTTCGCTTACTAATTGGTGAAAATTTAGAAATAAATGTATAAATGTAGTTATTTTTGCATAAGTCCATAATTTTGAGAAATCATGCAAGAAATCTTCAGAAACACTTTTAGCACTGATTAGCATTGATTAGCACTGATTAGCACTGGCATTGGTATTTCTTTTTTAGAAACGTCTTTGGGAAGCAATGGGCAGAACAAAACCAGACCCCTTGGAACGGGAAAAGGAAAGAGCACTGCAGAGAATTGCTCAAAGGTTTGTGTTTGGTTGAAAGCATTAACATTCACATGCCTTTCTGATAAAATATTGCATTATTGTTGCATTAAAAAAACAAAGTTGAAATAAGTTTTGTGAGATGACAAATTCACTATTTGAACATTACCAGAAATGACAAACACTACAAAATCCTTCAATCTGAGTTTGCCTACCAACATTGTTCATAAACGTTTATGCATAATTAGCTAGGTATATAATTTCTAATTGGCCAATTGATTTCCATGCATTGACTTTACTAAATGTGAATGGATTTCCATAAAATTTGGTTTTGGGGTGTATCTTACAATTTTTCCCTAAGTTTGACTACCAACATACACCACACTTCAACCTTCATTATAAATCATTATACTTAATACCACACATCAAGATCATTTAGTTTCCATAGCTAGTTAGCTTCCAGGTGTCAAAGTTGTAAATCTTTTTAACATCAGCTGTGATGTCATTTTGATAGAGCAGTTGTTATGCTGTAGAGTATGATTGAATTCCCCTATCTGTACGAGAGTTGTGTAAACAGTAGTGGATGTTTCATAATATCGGTCTTGATGTTTGTCTTTATTTGGAGGTAACAGCGATATGATGTCATTAATTGCCTGTACTTTGAGAGTAATTTTCAATAGTACAAGTCTGTTATTCTGCCCATTCTGGATGGGGAGATGTCCAGCTGTATATGTCAATAATTATCCACAATTCTCAAAGAGCAATTGTCCAGTTGTATAATATTGAATTCCATACTTGTAGAGGAGTTGTGTATTTGTATAAAAACATCAATTTATTTTAGGGGAGTTGTTCAACTGTTTAATGCTGTACGTCAACAACAGAAGATATTGGAGGAGAAAAGTGCTGGGCTGACAGAAGCAAAAAAGGCAAAAGTTGTTGGAAATATGACAAAGGGAAAGTTTCTTGATATACTGAAGGGAACAGATAGCAATGCCAACACACAGCCAGACACGGAGCATGCCACAGTCAAGGTTAGTGCTGTATAACATCCAAATCTCCCAGAAAAGGATCTGTAGTTCATCCATCATTTTTTCTGTGCATCATGCATTTTCAATTGCCATTCTCTCCTTAGTGAGCACCAAATCAATTAAAATTGAACTTTGCTAGTTTGGTCCTTAGGGACAAGGCTATTTAAATAGGTGGCCTGTCGCTCCTAGGGTTGGGGTAAATGGGCCCAGAAGGACAAAGGTTTATTTTGGAATGATCTTAGAAATCTTAGTTTTAGAAATGCCACAGCCCAGTAGTAATGGCTGCAGATACTTGATAGTGTAAGGAATCAAAGATGTTCTATAAAAGTCTTCTTGGATCCCTGGCCCTGGGGACATTTTATTTAATTTCGGCTCTTTAACATGAAACAAGGTTTCTCCCAAGGAAAAGGTGAGATATTAGGAAGTATACATTGCAGTTGTGGGTGGACATAACCCAAAGCAAAAAACCCATCTGATCAACTTTATTGGATGAAGACGACGACTTCATAAATATCTTGTTTGCAGCTTTGGTCATAGAACCATTTTATTATTGATAGACCAAGTTGACAATTGGCCAAGTGACTTTATGTCTTGGCGCAGCGTCCAGCATCTGTCCAGCGTCAACTTTTTTCTTTAAACAACTTCTTCTCAATAACCAATGGATGAAATATTTTGATGGTATGTTCCTAGGACAGGGCTCTCGCACCCCATTTTGGGACTGGGGCCCGGGGCCCCTTGAATTGGAAAAAATAATGGTGTTTTCCTTAGAAATGGGGAAAACTTGGGGTCTGAATTGGGAAAAAAAGATACTAATTTGCATTCAGCCCCAAATCTGGCAGATCGAGAGCCCAGTAGGATGAAGTCCGACAAAGTGTGTGAAAGAAATGACCTTGACTTATATACAATGTCACAGGAGTCAATTTTGTTAAGGCATTCAAATGACTTATTCTCATGAACGAAAAGGCCAAGCGGCATGATATATATATACCAGGTGAGCACTGCAGGCCCATTGGGCTTCTTGTTTGAACATTATCGCAAAAATATTGTCTTTAACTTGTAATGTTGAAAATTTAACACAATCTTCTGCCGAATTTCTATTATCTTTATTGCATTCTTATCAAAATGTTTTACACACACCTTTAAAGCATGAATCGTTTGGTGTGTGTACTATTATATATAGCCACTGCAGTTGATTCAGGTCTGGTATATAGACATTATGTTGTAATTATGGATGTACACTTGTAAGTGCTGATAGATATTTCAGAGACAATATTGAGATTGTGAATATACTGCCATCACAAAGTACTCATTACATCCACAGATTAAAGAGGAACCAGGGGAAAAGTGGAGTATACTGCGCGAGGACTTTATGATGGGGGCCAAAATGAAGGACTGGGACAAACAAAGTAGTGATCAAGATTCCAACAATAGTGAACTGACAGATGATTCAGACGATGGATAGTTCTGCCTGTGATGTGGGTTGGGGATGGGTGGGGAAAGGGGAACTTATTTTAATAAAATTGTTAACAATTTGTGCTGGTTTTTTAATTTTGTTTTTGTTTGTGTTTTGGATTGAAGGTAGAAGATTCTGTGAGCACAACAAATTTTAAATGTATGAAGATTGGCCAAAAGGTGTAAATATTAAAAAGAAAAAAAATCTATGTTTGTATATATTGTACCATTTCATCAGCAAGCAGGACTTCGATGACTGCATTATTGCAGAACTATTATATAACAGTGATCATAAATATCCCCAGTATTCTTTATCAAGTGATTTTAACATCTTAGTTATATTTGAGTGACCTGTCTCACAATCCTGCCTAGTAATGATTCAAATGGTTTCATATGAATGGAGGTATAATTTTGCATCAACTTAGTATATGTCAGTATAACATTTAAACACATAGACTACAATAACATACATTTAGAACAGGACAAATCTATCAAATTCCTTGATTTTATTTAACATCTTGAAATATCTGGTAGTTTCAAATATTAAAGAAATAGTACATGCTTTAAACTTATGGCAGACTGGAAAATTCACTAAGAAACAAAGTATTAATATCTGGCTTTTAATGTTTGATATGAATAATAAATTAATGTAGGATATGTACATATTATGTATTTAAATCTAGATATGTTCATACTCAACTGTAGCTACAGTAGATAAAGGTAAACCTTTCTTTATCTAATGATATGTTCATACTCAACTGTAGCTACAGAAGATAAAGGTAAACCTTTCTTTATCTAATGATATGTTCATACTCAACTGTAGCTACAGAAGATAAAGGTAAACCCTTCTTTATCTAATGATATGTTCATACTCAACTGTAGCTACAGAAGATAAAGGTAAACCTTTCTTTATCTAATGATATGTTCATACTCAACTGTAGCTACAGAAGATAAAGGTAAACCTTTCTTTATCTAATGATATGTTCATACTCAACTGTAGCTACAGAAGATAAAGGTAAACCTTTCTTTATCTAATGATATGTTCATACTCAACTGTAGCTACAGAAGATAAAGGTAAACCCTTCTTTATCTAATGATATGTTCATACTCAACTGTAGCTATAGAAGATAAAGGTAAACCTTTCTTTATCTAATGATATGTTCTTACTCAACTGTAGCTACAGTAGATAAAGGTAAACCTTTCTTTATCTAATGATATGTTCATACTCAACTGTAGCTACAGAAGATAAAGGTAAACCCTTCTTTATCTAATGATATGTTCATACTCAACTGTAGCTACAATAGATAAAGGTAAACCTTACTTTATCTAATGATCTATCATGTTTCTAGTAGTGTGTATTATTATTCATAAAATTCAAAGAAATCATCCTTTTCTTCTTGTGTTTTTCTGCCCATCGGTATCTCTGGTTCTGTGTCTGTGTCCAGGTCAGAACTGAACTGAATGCCTGCAATACAAAATTTGTAGCTTAAAGTTTCAATGTTAACAAGAGTGCTGTGGACACAATATCCGCTGCCACAAAATATAAAGATCGAGAAAAACCGTAAAATTGCCTCAGTAGCACATCTACCCATTGTAGAAGTGACATTTAGCAAATTTTGTGATAATCTGATCATTAGTTTAGGAGGAGTTACATTCACAAGGTTCCACTATGAGCAAGCTACAGATACAAAGTTGAAAATGGCATAAATCTTACAAAAATCAACGAACCAAAAAATCGCCCCTTCATGCACATCTACCCATTGTATTAGTGACATTGAGCAAGTTTCATGAAAATCTGATGATTAGTTTAGGAGGAGATGCGTTCACAAGAAATGGACGGACGGACGGACAGACGAAGATGACGCCAATATACGACAGCCTCCGGCGGCATATAAAAAGAGGTCAACTTGTCAAGATCAGTGATTGGAATTGGCAGAAGCTGACAAGACATATGATTACATACCAACTTTCCTGTGAGACTTTGATGACCCAGCTGTAGATCCCAAAGCTGACTTCACACTGTACAAAAACACAAGGAAGTACAATGAATAGACTGTAGTTTTATTCTTATTCTCAGAACAGCAGCATCACGATCTGGGTTGTAATGTACGATGAATTGGTAAATATCTACTTTAATCCAATACCACTTTAAACTATGTATAAACATCTTATCATAAAAAAGAAAATCAAGTGGATTTAATATAAAGCAGAGACAAAGGAATCTAAAAAAAGGATTTAGAGCAATCTAATTGAAATCAGATCCCAGAGTAAACAATATATTAACATATTTGTAATTTTCTATCTATCAAATAATCATACACAAATTACAGATTCTTAAAAACCATGCAACGATTTTAAGGAAGCAGAAAAAAATGACAGATTTTTATGGGTTTTTTTAATCATATATATCTCAGAATTCAAGACTTCAACATTTCTCTCAAAGCTTTGAAGAAAATATCACTGTGAATATTCAGAACCCAACAGTCGCCTGTCTGTAGTCAGTATTTCAGGAACAGGTGTCTTTTTCTAAACAAAATTACATCTGTAGTCTAAGTACGAGTCAACCAGACTTGGGTATAAGCTGGCTTTCTACACTTATTCGGCAGGACATTGGAGTAAGTGTGATGGCTGAAGGCCAAAGGTCCATTTACCTCTGATATAAGATCAACATTTCTGAAATTCTTATTTTCTTTCACAAAATTTTGTCAGTAAAATATGGCAGGACAAGCAATTTGTTTACTGGTCTATTTAAAATCTATGTAAATCCAATGGTTTTATATATCATATGTCAAGCAATGATTGTAGTCACCTATTTAAGATTGATGTCTGTCATTACAATGTCAGAAGCTTGTCAACAGGGAAATGATGATATTGAATGCTTTACTACAGCATACATATTTGATATAAATATGATAACAATAGTTAACATGTAGTTGATAACCGTTGTAAGAACAATCACAGCACCACACATTTCAGACAGTAAATGACACATTGTACAAGTACTACACATTAAAAGTGATGTGATATGAATGGATCCTGAAGATGTATGATTTCATGACTGAGATGACACAGCATTATACAGTTTGTGCCCATTTACCTGCTGCCTTCAAAGATAGAACAGCCTAACAGAAAACATAATCAAAACATGTACAGCACTTTCATACCAGGTTATTACAATTTGTAGTGTCATAATACCATTACCTTATACATGCTACATTTCAACAAATAAGTTTTATTTAAGAGTTTGGCTGAAACGATGAATTAATTCATGAATAAGTAAGAAGTAGGAAGAGTATCCGAGAAGAAATCATTTGTTAAAAGGATATATTTAGAAATCATTTATTAATACTTAATAAGATATCCTCATCTGTCACTTCTCATTATCATACACTTAATATTTGTCATTGACAAATTCCTCACTTATCCCATAAACCACATAATTATATATTAAACTTTCTACTTCATTACCTCTGTTTCTGCATGGCAGTAGGAACATAAACCGGACTTGGCTGAGTAGGCGTACTGAGATCAGAAAGAGGCTCCGCCTGATTGTCAGGTTTGGAGTCAGTAGGATTAGCAAAACTTTTTGGAGGTGGAATAGTGCTGGAAAGTAAGACACACTGTGCAGTTTAGAATACAGTGATTCGACTGGCTATTCTAAACATGCTGACGACTTTGTGGTCAGACATAATACAAGAACACAACAGTCAATCAAGGTACATTTCTGGCTCAGCATGATTTTTAATGTTGAGCAGAAAGAAAGTTGAATATCAGCATGTTATCAGAAGTAGCCACAGATGTCAGGTTAGTATTCTGCCAAGCAACTAACTGTAGAAATGAGACAAGTCTAAATGACAAGGTGTACATCCTAACTTATTCAACAATTTTGATCAAGTACAATATTATTCTCAGCAATTTGGCACCAATGATCACTTTTTTTATTAATCCTCTTATAATTTTGATCATCCTAACCTTGTCACAATCTTTAATAATTGATAAAACAGAAAAAAAAACACTAAAGGTCAAGGACAATGATAACTTATCATTTATCAGTCAAGGACAATGAGAACTTATCATTTATAGGTCGAGGACAATGAGAGCTTATCATTTATAGGTCGAGGACAATGAGAGCTTATCATTTATAGGTCGAGGACAATGAGAGCTTATCATTTATTGGTCGAGGACAATGAGAGCTTATCATTTATAGGTCGAGGACAATGAGAGCTTATCATTTATAGGTCAAGGACAATGAGAGCTTATCATTTATAGGTCAAGGACAATGAGAGCTTATTATTTATAGGTCAAGGACAATGAGAGCTTATCATCTATAGGTCAAGGACAATGTGAGCCTATCATTTATAGGTCAAGGACAATGAGAGCTTATCATTTAAAGGTCAAGGACAATGAGAGCTTATCATTTATATATTAAGGACAATGAGAGATTATCATTTATAGGCCCAGGACAATAAGAGCTTATCATCTGTAGATCAAGGACAATGAGAGCTTATCATTTATAGGTCAAGGACAATGAGAGCTTATCACCTTTAGATCCGTGATAATGTTAGTTTTTTACTTTTAGGTCAATGACAATGAGAGCTTATCATTTATAGGTCCAGGGCAATAAGAGCTTATCATCTGTAGGTCAAGGACAATGAGAGCTTATCATTTAAACAATGTGTGGATCTGAAGAGGATGTGAGCACTAAAGAACCATGATGTAATTACCTAATTCCAAAAGATAATTGAAAATTTCAGGAAAGTAGATTGCAGAGGTTAGTGTAGAAAGAGTTCATGGCACGCAAGAATGATTACAACAGTTGATGACACTTTAGATGTGCATTCAGGTAACATACTGGTCATGTGACTGGATACCTACCTTGGGGGGTCTCGAGGAGACAAGGCTGACGCAAACTGTTTTTCTACATCATCATCCGTATCCTCATCATCAACATGAGCTGGTTGCCTATTTTGTGATGACATTGTTCCTGACAACATGTTTCGGTAGGCTGCTGTTTCTGTATACAACAACGTATATATATATATATCTCTCTGCTTTTATTTCTTAGGACTTTTGGTGATAATTCAATAAATTTTAAATAAATCCTCAAAAGTCTACCTCATTCTTTTCTCATCACTTGAAAACAACTAAACACAAAAGTTGAACAAAGTCCTTTGCCAGTTAATACATTGTATGTGTGTTGATTCCAAAGATGATGTAAAAAGACAAGACTTCCAGGGTAGGTACATTGTATCCTATCTAAATTAAGTTTTTAAAATCATATTATTTTGTCTCCTGTTTTGAGTGATTTTTAAAAAGAATGAAAATAAATTTAGGCATAAACAATTTCAAATGCTAAAATCAGAAGTCCTCCATTCTCAAACAAACAACATAGTGCAATTTTGTCAGTATAATAAGATCTGGCTTGTGATATAATCATACACTGAGTATGTTAATCACTACACAGTGAGACTATAGAAAAAACATAGACAAGACATGCTATCAAAACTCTAGTATTTTGGTATAACAATTTCAGCCAATTCTGATGCATTTCTTCAACAAGAGTTCATTAAAATCAAATATGTAAAGTGTTCATTCCTTATATATAACATGAATGTAAAAGCAATCAATGTGTGTGTTAATAAAAGTATTTTCTACAACTGTAATACTACACACTCTATTTCTCATAAGGAAACTGTATTAATAATTTGAATATTGAATATTTTCATCATTATTTTCAGACATCTGAATATCAAGATAGTACACAGATAACTAATGGTATAGATGAAATTATTATATTTACAAACAGGTTTAAGACAAATGGAAAACTACCTACACAGGTAACAACAATTTGCTTTCATCGGTTATTTTTTTATGTCTATGATATCAGAGTTATAACAATGAAGTGAAAAAGAATATCAATCATAAATGATAGGAGAATATATAAACAGGACTATGTAGACATGCCATCTATTGTAGGGCATGCAGGGCTACATCTCATTCAACTAAATCAGTTTACAAGACTTGTGATTCTTTAAAAACAAGGAGGTTTTTGACCTATTGCACAAAGTCCCTCAATAAATGTCATCACAAGAGTTATTTCCCCTTCGTAATTTATCTATCCTGAAAATCATTACTATTACAATTTATGAAATGGATCATTGGTGATGATTCTATGGAGACCATTACTATCAGTAGTAAGATGTAAACATAAAATCCTTTCAATCTGATTAACAAGCAATGACCAACGACATTAATATATCAAATTCTGTGTAGACCAACGACATTAATATATCAAATTCTGTGTAGACCAACGACATTAATATATCAAATTCTGAGTAGACCAACGACATTAATATATCAAATTCTGAGTAGACCAACGACATTAATATATCAAATTCTGTGTAGACCAACGACATTAATATATCAAATTCTGTGTAGACCAACGACATTAATATATCAAATTCTGTGTAGACCAACGACATTAATATATCAAATTCTGAGTAGACCAACGACATTAATATATCAAATTCTGTGTAGACCAACGACATTAATATATCAAATTCTGTGTAGACCAACGACATTAATATATCAAATTCTGAGTAGACCAACGACATTAATATATCAAATTCTGTGTAGACCAACGACATTAATATATCAAATTCTGTGTAGACCAACGACATTAATGTATCAAATTCTGAGTAGACCAACGACATTAATGTATCAAATTCTGTGTAGACCAACGACATTAATATATCAAATTCTGAGTAGACCAACGACATTAATATATCAAATTCTGTGTAGACCAACGACATTAATATATCAAATTCTGTGTAGACCAACGACATTAATATATCAAATTCTGTGTAGACCAACGACATTAATATATCAAATTCTGAGTAGACCAACGACATTAATATATCAAATTCTGTGTAGACCAACGACATTAATATATCAAATTCTGTGTAGACCAACGACATTAATATATCAAATTCTGAGTAGACCAACGACATTAATGTATCAAATTCTGTATAGACCAACGACATTAATGTATCAAATTCTGTGTAGACCAACGACATTAATGTATCAAATTCTGAGTAGACCAACGACATTAATGTATCAAATTCTGTGTAGACCAACGACATTAATGTATCAAATTCTGTGTAGACCAACGACATTAATGTATCAAATTCTGTGTAGACCAACGACATTAATGTATCAAATTCTGTGTAGACCAACGACATTAATGTATCAAATTCTGTGTAGACCAACGACATTAATGTATCAAATTCTGTGTAGACCAACGACATTAATATATCAAATTCTGTGTAGACCAACGACATTAATGTATCAAATTCTGAGTAGACCAACGACATTAATGTATCAAATTCTGTGTAGACCAACGACATTAATGTATCAAATTCTGTGTAGACCAACGACATTAATGTATCAAATTCTGTGTAGACCAACTACATTAATATATCAAATTCTGTGTAGACCAACTACATTAATATATCAAATTCTGTGTAGACCAACGACATTAATATATCAAATTCTGAGTAGACCAACGACATTAATATATCAAATTCTGTGTAGACCAACAACATTAATATATCAAATTCTGTGTAGACCAACTACATTAATATATCAAATTCTGTGTAGACCAACGACATTAATATATCAAATTCTGTGTAGACCAACGACATTAATATATCAAATTCTGTGTAGACCAACGACATTAATATATCAAATTCTGTGTAGACCAACGACATTAATATATCAAATTCTGTGTAGACCAACGACATTAATATATCAAATTCTGTGTAGACCAACTACATTAATATATCAAATTCTGTGTAGACCAACGACATTAATGTATCAAATTCTGTGTAGACCAACGACATTAATGTATCAAATTTTGTGTATACCAACAACATTAATATATCAAATTTTGTGTAGACCAACAACATTAATATATCAAATTCTGTGTAGACCAACGACATTAATATATCAAATTTTGTGTAGACATATAGTACATTATGAGTATGATTCTAGAAACTATATCATCATTTGTTGATGTTATAAGAAGGAAGTGCTTCTCGGATAATATATCCAATATATGGTGATAATATATTCACTATATGGTGATAATATATCCAATATATGGTGATAATATATCCAATATATGGTGATAATATATTCACTATATGGTGATAATATATTCAGTATATAGTGATAATATATTCACTATATGGTGATAATATATCCACTATATGGTGATAATATATCCAATATATGGTGATAATATATCCAATATATGGTGATAATATATTCACTTTATGGTGATAATATATTCAGTATATGGTGATAATATATTCAGTATATGGTGATAATATATTCAGTATATGGTGATAATATATTCAGTATATGGTGATAATATATTCAGTATATGGTGATAATATATTCAGTATATGGTGATAATATATTCAGTATATGGTGATAATATATCCAATATATGGTGATAATATATTCAGTATATGGTGATAATATATTCAGTATATGGTGATAATATATTCAATATATGGTGATAATATATTCACTATATGGTGATAATATATCCAATATATGGTGATAATATATCCAATATATGGTGATAATATATCCAATATATGGTGATAATATATTCACTATATGGTGATAATATATCCAATATATGGTGATAATATATTCAGTATATAGTGATAATATATTCAGTATATGGTGATAATATATTCACTATATGGTGATAATATATTCACTATATGGTGATAATATATCCAATATATGGTGATAATATATCCAATATATGGTGATAATATATCCAATATATGGTGATAATATATTCACTTTATGGTGATAATATATCCAATATATGGTGATAATATATTCACTATATGGTGATAATATATTCACTATATGGTGATAATATATTCACTATATGGTGATAATATATTCACTATATGGTGATAATATATCCAATATATGGTGATAATATATTCAGTATATGGTGATAACATATCCAATATATGGTGATAATATATCCAATATATGGTGATAATATATCCAATATATGGTGATAATATATTCAGTATATGGTGATAATATATTCACTATATAGTGATAATATATTCAGTATATGGTGATAATATATTCAGTATATGGTGATAATATATTCAGTATATGGTGATAATATATTCAGTATATGGTTTGACTAAAATCACCAGCGCATTTTAATCAGGCAGTAGACATGTTTTAACAAATGCAGAATCATGTACTGATGGGAAAAGTTAGCCAGACATGACATGAAACATCCAACTTGTTTCAAAAATAGGTTAAGAATACCTGTCACTAAAGGTACATTAGGATATCACATACACAAGGGATTATCCTGTTTCAGTAAAGGTACATTAGGGGGATCACATACACAAGGGATTATCCTGTTTCAGTAAAGGTACATTAGGGGGACACCTACACAAGGGATTATTCTATATCAAATATCAGTACCTAAAACACAAAATACAAACCAGGATACAATCAGTGTTAATCTGCCTCTTTATCTAGACAATCCTTTCAGTAAATAATGCAGTATATGTTAGGAAATATCTGAGATATTTGTTTTTCCATGCACACATAACTAAATGACATACCATTCAGGGGCACCTTAGGGGCATCTGTGGGGACGCTCGGGGTGAACATGGTGGTGGACTCATCATCGCTACCAAATTGTTTATCCACTAAACTGCCAAACTTGAGTGGTGGGACTGTGTGTTTAGATAGCAAAATGAAGGTGAATAACACAAAAAAAGAACTGAAAATAAAACGGACAAAAATACACATGATTGGTGTTAGAATGTAACCTGTCTAAATAGATACATGTATTATCTGAAAACTGGCAAATTCATCACCTGTGTCTTGTAATCACCTTTGTAGGTATGAACTTTGACCCATATGCAGTTCTATTTTGACAGATCACACTTCATGATAAAATAAGGTTGAGGAAGTAGGAACACTATAAAAAATTGTAATATCTTCCTAAATGTACTAATTGAAACAAAAAAGTTTTAAAATATATTGTTTGATATATGTTATAGAAAGCATGCATAGAGAAATAAAAAAAAGTATACAAATCTATTTTACAGAAGTATATATATATATATACAACTATCAGAAACAGACGTCTTTGTGAAACAGTATATAGATGGTAGACATGCATTTCTATTGTTTTTAATCAAAAAAAGAAATAAGAACACTTTGGTTTCAATGGTTCAAATAAGAATGAGAATCATCAATTAACATTGAAACAGTACTGCAGAAATAAGTAAAACATTTGACAAAAACTTAGTGTCATGACAGGACAGTAATGAGATCTAACACCGAAAATGTGTGGTTCTCACCTGCATGACGATGTAAACATTAAAACAAACATCATAGTAAAATTCATTTAAAACATGGTCTCTTTATCATATAGTCTCACATGTTTTGTTGTTTATTTCTATACCCTTATTTACAAAATTTAACCTTGTCAACAGCTGAAGTTAATTTGTACATTAGTAATACATGTATGTATAGAAGATTGTAGCTATACTCTAGGCAGTTCTACATTTACTAGTCTAGCGATTGATAGATAACAACAGATCTTATTAAGTTCTTTCCCAACCAATATGTAAGCTGATAGCATAGATAATAATAAGAACCTTTAATTTCTTATGCCTTGTAAACATGTTGTTACCAGTAATGGCTGTATATATTGTGGTCTGGCCTTAGAAAGAAAACAGCTAGACAGAAAGATACCCTGTATAAGTCTGGTTAAAACAGGTATGAACTTGATTGTCTAAACAAATTACTGATAACAATAACAGGCTTTCCACAGTAACATGTACAGATACAAGATTCTCAACACTCCAACAAGTGTCATCAACATTCTGGACAGTGTCATCATATAGAAATGTCTGAAATGGAACTTTGTTAGTTTATCAACAACCAAAATGAAATTCCACAAAATGAACAGCTTGCTACAGTGCTTAAATCCAAAATGGTGATAGTTGGTTCATCTGAAGACTTCTTAAACAGAATTAAAAACTTTCCATTCATCAAATCATTAACAGGTCTGGGGTGGACTAACTGACCAAATCATTTACAGGTCTGGGGTGGACTAACTGACCAAGTCATTAACAGGTCTGGGGTGGACTTACTGACCAAATCTCTAAAAGGTCTGGGGTGAACTAACTGACCAAATCATTAACAGGTCTGGGGTGGACTAAATGATCAAATCTCTAACAGGTCTGGGGTGGACTTACTGACCAAATCTCTAACAGGTCTGGGGTGAACTAACTTAACAAATCTCTAACAGGTCTGGGGTGGATTAAATAACAAAATCATTAACAGGTCTAGGGTGGACTAACTGACCAAATCTCTCACAGGTCTGAGGTGGACTAACTGACCAAATCATTAACAGGTCTGGGGTGGACTAAATGACCAAATCTCTAACAGATCTGGGGAGGACTAACTGACCAAATCTCTAACAGGTCTGGGTTGGACTAACTGACCAAATCTCTAACAGGTCTGGGGTGGATTAAATGACCAAATCATTAACAGGTCTGGGGTGGACTAACTGACCAAATCTCTCACAGGTCTGGGGTGGATTAAATGACCAAATCATTAACAGGTCTGGGGAGGACTAACTGACCAAGTCACTAACAGGTCTGGGGTGGATTAGCAGATTTTTGTTAAACTTTGGTTGACTGACTTATCAGTAATGTACAGCAGATGACAGGAAAACAAATTGTGGTGCCCAGTGCAATGGATTTCTGTGGATGTTTCAGGAACAGGTTACCAGCTTTGGTGCCTATGATGGCAATGATGACAGTGTTAAAACAGGATCAGTCTGTAGAAGCTTGACATGTCATAAACATGATATTAATCTCACAGTATTATTACTCCAAACTTTACGAGATTGTGTCCGCTTATCTGGCTGATGAGATATACATATAACTGGACAAGACAGCAGCTGGACAGCTAAGCGTGCTACAAGACATACAAACCAGACACATTGGTCTGAACATGTTACCTTGGACTTTGCCCTCAGGACCAATTATAACTGAAACACAATTCACAATAGCTGGATACGAATGTAAAGCAAGAAATTTTCATTTTAAACAAAGAATACAACCTCTGTATAATCAGGTGTCACTAAAACGAAATGTCATTAGAAACTCACACGTCAGTAGGTACTTACATTGTAACAATCAGTGATAATCAGACAAAAATTCCAGTGTAACATGACTGTAATTACAATCTTCTCATCTCTACCTAGCCTCTAAATCTCACTTCCCCACAACCTTCTCATCTCTACCTAGCCTCTAAATCTCACTTCCCCACAACCTTCTAATCTCTACCTAGCCTCTAAATCTCACTACCCCACAACCTTCTCATCTCTACCTAGCCTCTAAATCTCACTACCCCACAACCTTCTCATCTCTACCTAGCCTCTAAATCTCACTACCCCACAACCTTCTCATCTCTACCTAGCCTCTAAATCTCACTACCCCACAACCTTCTCATCTCTACCTAGCCTCTAAATCTCACTACCCCACAACCTTCTCATCTCTACCTAGCCTCTAAATCTCACTTCCCCACAACCTTCTAATCTCTACCTAGCCTCTAAATCTTACTACCCCACAACCTTCTCATCTCTACCTAGCCTCTAAATCTCACTACCCCACAACCTTCTCATCTCTACCTAGCCTCTAAATCTCACTACCCCACAACCTTCTCATCTCTACCTAGCCTCTAAATCTCACTACCCCACAACCTTCTCATCTCTACCTAGCCTCTAAATCTCACTACCCCACAACCTTCTCATCTCTACCTAGCCTCTAAATCTCACTACCCCCACAACCTTCTCATCTCTACCTAGCCTCTAAATCTCACTACCCCACAACATCTCTACCTAGCCTCTAAATCTCACTACCCCACAACATCTCTACCTAGCCTCTCCATTTCCTTGTCCCACAATATTCTCATTTTACTTGCTATTCTTTCACCTTATTAACCATTCTCTGTGACCCACACTGTCACCATTATTACCCCACCATTTTGCCTCTACCAAGACTCACTATCATATCCCAACAATATTCTCACCTCTATTCACAAAAAACATTTATCCCACTACCCCTCTCACCTCCACCAAGACTGCTTCGCATGCTATCCATGGTATCCCGAGGAGTCATTCCATCACCCTCTGCCTGCCTGTCCTCATCAAACTTCTCAAGGAGGCGGATCAAGAGATTGTATGCCTAGAGAACATAGAAAAAGTCGAAGAGCAGAACATTACATAATATTCGTTTTGATTTACAGGAATATATATCCATATAAACAACAACATAGTGGACTCTTCTTTAGTATTTCTTTTCTGTTATCGCTGTGGACAAAGCAATACTTCAAAAAGTATTAAAGGATATTGTCCATAATGATATCAGAATTTATCACAGCTAAATATTTACTGACTACTGATGGAATCTCTAGTCATCTCTTCTGCAAAATAGACTTGTGTCCATTAGATTACCTTGTCCTGGTATGGGGAGGAATTAGTCACCAGACTAGGAACGAACACAGCAGCCACTTCCTTAGTTACCATGACTTTGTTGCGCACTAAGTGACCAAGATGATCAAACAAACAGTCCCATAGGGGCTGGGCAGATTCTGGTAAGGCCATTCTACAGATAATACAAAATTTGTTGTGAACAAAATTAAGCTAGAAACAAAACACTGTGTCAGTGTTGATTCTGAATTATAAATCCAAGTGATTGTAAATGGCAACATTTAATTATTTCTATTGTATTTCCAAGTGACTTTTAATCGAGGATCACAAACATTATGGAATCCTTTTGTCTCTCATTATTGCAGACTTGGAAGGTGAACTCCTCCTCACTGACAGCAATAAATTATTATAAAATACATATAACAACTGAGAGTATGCTTCCTGTATGTCACATGTCTATCCCTACCATATCATACCTGATCTTTGTTTCTGTGATGCTGTCTATGTTGCCAGTAAGGACAGTGTCCGGTAGGAAGCCCTTAGGGGACACATTCCTCACCACTAGGGGGAGCTGTTCCAATAGCACCATACTGACCTTCTCAGCATCCTGGTCGTAGAGTGGGATCCCCTTGTTGGCTTTGCTAAATTTTGGAATAAAGCATGTAAGTAAGGCTCAGAAATTAATTTACAAATATCAAAAGTATGAAAGCAATGTAAAATAATTATCCTACAATAAACCCCAGAACGCAGTGCATTAAACTTGAATCAAAGAAAGGGGGAGGGAGACAATGAAATAGTATGTGATGCAATTTTACTGGACAATCATTGGCATATGTGGGCTTATTACCCGATACCATCTAAACCATTATATTGGTAGTGTATGACAACTTACTGCATAATATCCCGCCGATCTGAGGCTGATGGCCGATGAGATCGGTAGTACCCTTCTAGAGATAAAGCCTCGGGAAAGTCCGCCTGGACATGGTTCATCAGCCGAATCAGTCCATCCAAATGCAGATCAGGAGAAGGCGTAGCAGGACTGTAAATACCAACGAGATATCAGCACCATCTATAGATTATATCACAATGTTTGCTGTTTACAACCAAAAAATAAATGATAGCCTGTACTACCTATGGGAGGAGCAGTGTTACAAACCTAGAGCTATCCCCTTCAGTAACAGCTGTTTGTATAGGAGGATCTCGAGGTGTGGCATCAGGAGAACTGGGAAGAGACACCTGCTCCTGAGTGACTAACTTTTTAGATGGATCTGGTCCTGTCTGACTTGTACTTAAAGGCAAATCATCATCTCCAAAATCACTGACTTCATCATCACCACCTTCATCGACTGGGTTTGGCTCCATTGGTCCTGACAAGGATTGCGACACATCTGTAGGACAGAAAAGTCATCTCAACAATCGTTGATCTTAATAAAGATTGTAACATTACAAAACCGTTAATCTTAATAAAGATTGTAACATTACAAAACTGTTGATCTTAATAAAGATTGTAACATTACAAAACCGTTGATCTTAATAAAGATTGATGGTAGCAGTACACAGTTTCTCGGTGTGGCCATGGGTGATTTTTTTGCTCATTAGATTACCCCATTATAAAGGTTTTAATTTAAAAATGAAAAAAAAATCCTTGCTAAAATTGGTCTTGTCATGTTAAAGTGGACAATGTGGGGTTTCATTTTTTTCAGGATAATATTTTAGCTTTGTGTTGGAGAATACTATTTGGGCAGTCTCGAATCTGTGTCTACGCACCAAAAACTAGCTTTACAGGAAGTGAAATTTTCAAAGTGTTTACATGTGGTCATGTTATAAAGAATTTCCGAGTTGGAATTTGCTGAGATGTAAGTACTTTGTTACCATGACAGTGTTGTTGATTGTAAGACAGGTGTTAAGAATTAAATTTCTTCTAGAAAGTTGTAGTGTTAGGTTGGAATTAGCAGTATTTTTGCATTTTTAGCATTTTTTCAGTAGGTAACCATGACAATCAAATGTCAGAAATCAGAGGAAATTTTTTTTTACACAAATTTCATCTCTCTGCTGTTAATGTAATTGTTATGTAGTTTATAAATATATATACATGTAATGATGTATTTTTCATAACCAATCTGCTATACCTGTATATCTCAAACATGACAAATAATTTCAAGAAAAATGCAATTTAACTGTTTCCTGCAACCTGCATTAGTTTGTGGACTGGTTGACCTAACTGGAGATTCTCATACTAGTTTGTGAAACGTAGGCCTTACTAAATATTCTGATTACAATTTCTGGGCATGTGGCCCTAACTGGATTTTCTAATACAGGTTTGTGGACAGGTGGCCCTAACTGGATATTCTGATACACGTTTGAGGACAGGTGTCCCTAACTGGATATTCTGATACAGGTTTGTGGACAGGTGGCCCTAACTGGATTTTCTGATACAGGTTTGTGGACAGGTGGCCCTAACTGGATATTCTGATACAGGTTTGTGGACAGGTGGCCCTAACTGGATATTCTGATACAGGTTTGTGGACAGGTGGCCCTAACTGGATATTCTGATACAAGTTTGTGGACAGGTGGCCCTAACTGGATATTCTGATACACGTTTGTGGACAGGTGGCCCTAATTGGATTTTCTGATACAGGTTTGTGGACAGGTGGCCCTAACTGGATATTCTGATACAGGTTTGTGGACAGGTGGCCCTAACTGGATTTTCTGATACACGTTTGTGGACAGGTGGCCCTAACTGGATATTCTGATACAGGTTTGTGGACAGGTGGCCCTAACTGGATATTCTGATACAGGTTTGTGGACAGGTGGCCCTAACTGGATTTTCTGATACACGTTTGTGGACAGGTGGCCCTAACTGGATTTTCTGATACAGGTTTGTGGACAGGTGGCCCTAACTGGATATTCTGATACAGGTTTGTGGACAGGTGGCCCTAACTGGATTTTCTGATACACGTTTGTGGACAGGTGGCCCTAACTGGATATTCTGATACAGGTTTGTGGACAGGTGGCCCTAACTGGATATTCTGATACAGGTTTGTGGACAGGTGGCCCTAACTGGATATTCTGATACAGGTTTGTGGACAGGTGGCCCTAACTGGATATTCTGATACAGGTTTGTGGACAGGTGGCCCTAACTGGATATTCTGATACAGGTTTGTGGACAGGTGGCCCTAACTGGATATTCTGATACAGGTTTGTGGACAGGTGGCCCTAACTGGATATTCTGATACAGGTTTGTGGACAGGTGGCCCTAACTGGATATTCTGATACAGGTTTGTGGACAGGTGGCCCTAACTGGATATTCTGATACAGGTTTGTGGACAGGTGGCCCTAACTGGATATTCTGATACAGGTTTGTGGACAGGTGGCCCTAACTGGATATTCTGATACAGGTTTGTGGACAGGTGGCCCTAACTGGATATTCTGATACAGGTTTGTGGACAGGTGGCCCTAACTGGATATTCTGATACAGGTTTGTGGACAGGTGGCCCTAACTGGATTTTCTGATACACGTTTGTGGACAGGTGGCCCTAACTGGATATTCTGATACAGGTTTGTGGACAGGTGGCCCTAACTGGATATTCTGATACAGGTTTGTGGACAGGTGGCCCTAACTGGATATTCTGATACAGGTTTGTGGACAGGTGGCCCTAACTGGATATTCTGATACAGGTTTGTGGACAGGTGGCCCTAACTGGATATTCTGATACAGGTTTGTGGACAGGTGGCCCTAACTGGATATTCTGATACAGGTTTGTGGACAGGTGGCCCTAACTGGATTTTCTGATACACGTTTGTGGACAGGTGGCCCTAACTGGATATTCTGATACAGGTTTGTGGACAGGTGGCCCTAACTGGATATTCTGATACAGGTTTGTGGACAGGTGGCCCTAACTGGATATTCTGATACAGGTTTGTGGACAGGTGGCCCTAACTGGATATTCTGATACAGGTTTGTGGACAGGTGGCCCTAACTGGATTTTCTGATACACGTTTGTGGACAGGTGGCCCTAACTGGATATTCTGATACAGGTTTGTGGACAGGTGGCCCTAACTGGATATTCTGATACAGGTTTGTGGACAGGTGGCCCTAACTGGATATTCTGATACAGGTTTGTGGACAGGTGGCCCTAACTGGATATTCTGATACAGGTTTGTGGACAGGTGGCCCTAACTGGATATTCTGATACAGGTTTGTGGACAGGTGGCCCTAACTGGATATTCTGATACAGGTTTGTGGACAGGTGGCCCTAACTGGATTTTCTGATACACGTTTGTGGACAGGTGGCCCTAACTGGATATTCTGATACAGGTTTGTGGACAGGTGGCCCTAACTGGATATTCTGATACAGGTTTGTGGACAGGTGGCCCTAACTGGATATTCTGATACAGGTTTGTGGACAGGTGGCCCTAACTGGATATTCTGATACAGGTTTGTGGACAGGTGGCCCTAACTGGATATTCTGATACAGGTTTGTGGACAGGTGGCCCTAACTGGATATTCTTATACAGGTTTGTGGACAGGTGGCCCTAACTGGATATTCTGATACAGGTTTGTGGACAGGTGGCCCTAACTGGATATTCTGATACAGGTTTGTGGACAGGTGGCCCTAACTGGATATTCTGATACAGGTTTGTGGACAGGTGGCCCTAACTGGATATTCTGATACAGGTTTGTGGACAGGTGGCCCTAACTGGATATTCTGATACAGGTTTGTGGACAGGTGGCCCTAACTGGATATTCTGATACAGGTTTGTGGACAGGTGGCCCTAACTGGATATTCTGATACAGGTTTGTGGACAGGTGGCCCTAACTGGATATTCTGATACAGGTTTGTGGACAGGTGGCCCTAACTGGATATTCTGATACAGGTTTGTGGACAGGTGGCCCTAACTGGATATTCTGATACAGGTTTGTGGACAGGTGGCCCTAACTGGATATTCTGATACAGGTTTGTGGACAGGTGGCCCTAACTGGATATTCTGATACAGGTTTGTGGACAGGTGGCCCTAACTGGATTTTCTTATACAAAATTGTGGACAAGTCATCTTACTTCTAAAGATTTTGAAACTGGTTGGCATAATGTTAATCCATATCTTTAGTTTATGTATGAGTTTATCCAACATGAAAATCCTTAAACTCATTAGTGGACTAGGTGATGGCCTTACCTGGAGATTCTGGCACTGGTTTATGGACTTGTTGTCCTATCCGCACACTTTGTATGGGTTGGGGATGCTGTACCACTTCTTCTACAATGTCATCGCTGAGACTAACATCAGCAATCTGTTCGTGCAGTCTGTGCTGCTGTGCTGCAGCCTCCTTTTCAGCAGGTACATGTGTGGCCTGCTGCTGGGTAGCCCTAGACTGACTCTGTTGTTTTTGTGTCTCCTCATCCATTGGATCTTGCATCACCTGTGATATATTGGCATAGATGGAGGATGTTTTTGGCTTCTAAAACAAATAAAAACAATGATTTAGGCATTAAATATATCAAATTAAAAATTAAATAACACACATTTTATAATCCTCCATATATCTTACAAATTGTTAATCTATTATTATTCATTTACAGGTCAACAAGGTCTCTGCTATATGGCTGGAAAACCTTCCCTACCCTCTCTACCTTTAGACATACACACCCCACACTGACAGATTACTGGCAAGACCTTAAGTACATTCTGCCACAAAAGTCAAGGAAGATAGTTACCAAAACACAAAAACAAAAAAACAAGGGCCTAATTGAGGCACGATATACACCCATCGCCAGTCTTTGATGGAGAAGCAGTATTTGACTGGATAACTAAGTTGTCTTGGAATAATCTGAATATCATTTGGGGAAGTTTTAGCATGTCATACCACCATTTGCTAATATAGTATGTGAACTTTTGATTTACATACACTATATACTAACAAGGGAAGTGTACGAAAAATCAACTAAGGGGGAATAACTTGGAAACTATGCATGCGAGGCGGGCAATTTTTATACCCATCACTCCGGCATCTCTAGACATACAGGGTTACAAATTATGGTGACCAGAGAGCAAGGAGTCACTAAAATATGGCCCAGACAAGGGAAGTTTACGAAAAATCCAATAAGAGGGAATAACTCAGAAACTATGCATGCTAAGTGGCCAATTTTTATACACAACACTATGTCACCTTGAGATATATATGTGTACAAAGTATGGTGACAATAGACAAAGGACTCACAAATTTATATCCCGGACAAGGAAAGTTACGACGGACAGACGTACAGTAGAACGGACGGACAGACAACACCATACCATAATACCTCCTGTCATACAACGGGCATATAAAAACCATACCATCAAATACATTCAACAATCTGATTTTTTTTTTATTCGTGATAACAGTGACCTTGACCTTTCATACAGGGTCCTAATAATAAATGGCAGCTATCACTTAACAGTAATTTTCATTTTTTGAATCCATGGAGACCTACCTGGGTATACTGACTATCTCCCCTGAAAGGTGTGGATGTGATTACATGACCATAAGAATCTCTCTCCTCTGGTGCCTCATCCCTCTGATCATAGGTACTTCTGGCTGGAGTGGAAATATCTTTGTACCCACGAGGAGGTTCCACAGGAGGTTGTCGCATCCCGGACTGAGGAGAGTGATCATGAGGGTAGCTGGGTTGTCCCTGTGGGTTATGTTGGGGAAGTCCAGATGAACTCTGAGGAAGTGGGATGTGGGACGGGGAATGCTGGGGCTGTTGTCTGTGATGTAACACCTGTTCCATCCATAGTGGATATGTTTTCTCTATGTACTCTTCATACTGTCGCTGTAAAACACACACATTTATATCAATACAGATATAATTAGGCAGCTACAATTTTGTGTTTCTTATCCATCATACTTTGAATCTGGGACACATTTGGATTTTAGCCAAACCTCTTACAATGTAAACCATGCCTGTACCTTTAGTAGACGAAGTTTCTCTGTTCTGGCAGTGGATGCTGCAAGGAAAGTGTCAATTCTCTCAAATTCCTGAACAATGCGGTCATTTCGTTCCTGGGCTCTCTTGCTGTCATCACAAATTTTTTTCCAATAACTCTTCAACTTTGCTGCTCTCAACTTTGCACTGGTAAATTAAATTGACAAAATAAATTACAAGAGTAACTGTAAACTGCTTGTATTCTGCAGAATACTTTCATGATTAACGTAAAAATTACCATGCATTGAAAAGGATCTTTTCACTAAAATACAATGACACTGACACAAATTGAACTATTTTTACAGTTTTATTGAAATTTATTGTAAAGTTGATTGTTACATATGTTATAATAATATATCAAAAGTGTGCTTCATCTAAATCAAGTTTAAGCCAAATAACTTCAATATACATATTCTGAATGATGTTTTCAGAAGGTATTGATACATTTATTGAGATACCCATTACTTTTTGTATAAGCTTTTTATATTCATCAACATATTTCAGTTTATGGAGTTTTAGATGAATACTATGGTGTAATCACAACTACAGTCAAACAATAAAAATTCATGTAAAACTTGATGCAAGTGAAATGAAAACTAAACTGAAGTGGTTCAGAAAACAACATATCTAACTCTGTGACACCAAGAACTGGCTAAGTAGATTGCACATAAGAACATTAAATGATAAATTTATTTCTTGCAATTACTCCACTTGTCCAAAATGCTTACATTATAATTACTTGTTTAATTTTTTTTTTTTAAAGTTTACATAAACTTTATCCTAAACAACAGCACTGAACTGAACATTTTTGAACATCAAATGTAAAAGTAGATGCCAGAAAATAGAGGATGACTAATACCAGACAAGGTGTAACGCAGGACAAAAGTATTGTGCAGGTTTCTCAACATATAAGATATACAAGTGGAGTTGTGTGTGTCACTTACACAGCTACCACAGCCCTGGAGCAGCACAACAATCAACACAATGTTAAAATATACACAGTAGGTACCAGCAATGTATCACATAATACTCATTGGTGTTTAACAGTGTTTCCTCCAGGGCAAACAACTGACCCCTACCTTGGAAACTTTGGCTATATATCACCACTAATCCCCACCCTACCCAATCCTGGAGAAAACACTTAAGGAAACCTTGCCCATTTGTGCATGCCTTTCCAAAGAAACTGTTTGTTGTAATACTCAGTATAACATTATATACATTTTTAAACAATCCTCATACTTGAATATTATATTAAGATATAAAAGAAATTAAAATTACTGACAATTTTCTATTCTACGATTACAATTTTTAACACTTACATAAATAAACTCTGATAGCTTCAATGAATATGTTTACAAAGTACAAGTTAACAAATTTTAAGTATAATCAAATCTTCTGCATTCTGTTTGTGAGAAGTTTAAATGTGAAATGGGAAATTGGCAAACACCTTCAATCGGTAAAGTCTGGGAAACTACAAATACCAAAACAGTTCTTAGGTATATACCATACTACCACACCCTAACATAAGTGTGGTCATTGTAACCACACCTTCTTAATTAAAGATTAATTTCAATTTTTTGCTTAAAAAATGGTATGTAAAAATGAAAATTTTAAACCCAAAACACCAAGTAAACAAATTTTAAAACCCACCACACTTTTACCATGGCAATTCTCATTTAACACCTTGAAATAAATGTATGTATTAATGATTAAACAAATATCATGCATATATACATATATGTAATATTCACAAGTATTTGTTGTGTTTTGAAGCCTTTTGACAATGAATTTGGCTATTGTTTTAATTGTATCAATTGTATTTTAATGCATTTATATTAGCAGATATATCTGAGGTAAACAGGTTCACCACAAGTTATGTAAAAAAGGTAGGTGAGGTATTTACTAGATCTACAAACAATACAACTACCGGTATTACTTTCAACCTCGGGGTCATGATCATAACGTTAGTGTACACCGAGATGTACCTTACACAATGGTTTCAGTAAGATACTTACCAGATCTACAAACAATACAACTACTGGTTTTACTTTCATCCTCAGTATAAGGGTCATGATTATAATGTTAGTGTACAATGATATTTACCTTACATAATGGTTTTAATGGAAAAGATCAAATCAATAATAGTTACTGGTACTGACAGCATAAAAATGTCATCATTTATATCTTTTTGTAATTTTAAAGAGTATGTTATATTTTACAAGCCTTCATAATGCACCTGATCTGTTGACATTTTATTACAAATCAGTGAATTGTATGTGCCACTTGGTTCATAAGAAAATGTGAATTATTTTGGCATATTTTATCTGTGATTTGCGATAATTTAAATAATTCGGACAGTTCATCAATTCATCAGGCTGATAATGCTGTACACCAAATAACAATATCATATGTTCTTCAGGAAAATGAATGGGTGACAGGACATTAACTTATGATTAGAGGCACTGTTTGATATTAAATATTAAATCTGCACTTAGTTAATATATTGCAAGTTCTAAGAAATACAACTATAAGTTGTGTCCTAAAAGAAGTATGCATTCTCAATATCATAAGTTGTCCACAGAAGAAAAATGATGATTACTGGTTCCAAATTTAAAACTGGCATTTGAATAATTCACTTCTACAACTCATTTATGATTAAATCTAAAGACATTTGAAATCAACAAAGACGAATGCTAAATTGTTATTGGTTAGATTAATTCTGTATAGAAACTAAAATTTCTTGTGTTTTATACTTACAGTCTATTGTCTGTCTTGGCAAGAACTTTCAGCTGTTGTTCCAGATTGGCTCTCTTATTTTCACTGAAGAAAGAAAAAAAGCACAAAATGACCTGTAACTTATCAGTAGGTACAATCAGCAGTCAGTGACTTCAAATGTATGTATTAGTAGATTTAATACAAACACTCAACAAAAAGGATGTTTGGCAAATCACACCTTGTCAAATTCAACTATCTCATAAGCAGCTGACCCTGCAAAACAACTGCTAGGGTTAGCCTCACATGTGGCTAATACACTTTCATAATCAATTGGTAACCACACTAATTATGACAAGCATTTAGTTTTGGCACCTTGTGAAAGTTTATCAATAAAAAGAGTGGTGTCCCTCATCTTGATCCAATTTTTTTGTTACATTACCATAATAATCATCATACCTGAACCCGACTTCAGCATCCTTGGGCCTTACAACCATGGAGCAATGTTCCATTTTGCAAATTGCCGCATTGCAGAACAGAACCACTTTGTAGACAGAAGTGTGATGGGTTAAGGTGGTAATTGTGGGAGAAATCATATCATATAATTGAGGGACATGGCTATTTACCTGGCATTCGATAATGAGAAAAAATTTCAAGATCAGTGGTTCTACCATACTAAAGACACTGATTCTTAAGACAAAGTTGTGTTGGCACCAGTTTCAAGCATGATAATGCCCCAGCACACACCAATCATCTCAATAGAGCTTTCTTGCAGCAGAATGATGTACAGGTGTTAGATTGGTCATCAACTGATTTGTCACCAATTGAACATGTTTCGGATGTTCTTGGGTAATGCTAGTCCAAATGTTTCTGACCATATATCCACAATTTCATTTTTGTGTTGGTCAGAGTCAACCAAAACCAAGACAAAAATAAAATTGAGGCTAGATAGTCAGACTAAAGCAACACATAAGAGAACATCAAAATAAACGATCAAACTTGCAGGAGATGTCCAAAACCTTGATCAAATGACAGAATAACATCTCTACTAAAATTATCCACCACTTTGGAGTCCCATCCGATGAAGCTAAAATGCTGTTTTGCTTTATTTGCATAGCCATTTATCCAAATAATATGTATCAGCTACATCTAAACACATTAATATCGACCTCCTTCATCATAGTGAAGATTGTGGTAAGTTAAACTAGAAAGCAGTTATGCAAAAATGTGTCGCGGTATAGAATTTTTCAGTAAACGATTGCTTGATTCCAGTGCATCCTCTCAACTCATATGATGTTCCCAACCCTGTACAGTACAGTGGTACATGTTCGAGCACGTAGCCTAAAGCAGAACAGAAACTTAAATCATTGTCCACAGAGTTGAAGTTATACATGCATTTTGCAGGAGTAAACTGTCTTCGTATGTACATAGATTTACATATTGTGTCGTGACACTACTCACTGTTCATGAATGACATTTTGCAATTCTTTTTGACGTTGGTAGTATTCTACATTCGAAGACGCCATATTCAAACAAACTTTCCCGGAACTAATCAATTATTAATGAGTGCCGATAGATTCCGAGAAGCCAGCTGATTTCACGCCTCCTTGGTAGGAGAGTGCTCCACTTATTAATTTAAGATACCACGTACAAGCAACCATAGATGTGTAACGTAGCTGCTGCACGGCCTATCCGCGACTGTTGACCCAATGTGTCTGCAGCGCCGTCGTCTTTATTTGATATGATACATAATGAATGCAGACATTAAGCCTCTATGTTCATATCAATGAATAACATAATAATATAAATATATGTACATAACTTCTGATGCAATTTCAAAGTGGATCAAGTTAGCAGCTTATAATATTTTCCGTAATAAAGTATTTACGTTGTCCTTTATAGCGGAGGGAAAGGAGATTTATTTCACGCGATACATATAATCTTTGAAGTGTTAATCAATTTTTATTTCAAACTGTCTTACCGAGGTAGCATCTACTACAGACTGGGGTAAGCTATTCCACAGCTGTTACTATCTCGTCGAAAAAATGTAGATAATTGTAACGTAATATAGTGCTATGTATAGTAAACCACTATATTACGTTACAATAATCTGAAATACATTGATCATAGCCTTCGGTATTTTAGCGTTGGAAGGCGCAGAATTTACAGTCTGTCAGAGTATGAAAAATCCTTGAATCCAGGAATAAGTTTAGTCGCTCTTCTCAGGACATTTTCAATAAGTTTGATATCTGTTATCATATATGGACTCCAAACGCTGGCACCATATTCCAGATGAGGTCTTACTAAAGCCTTAAACATCATCGTAAACATAGTCGCATCGAGGTACATGAAAGTTCTTCTAATCAAACCTGTGTTACTGTTAACTTTATTTACAGCTTGTATGTGTGCCCGGTAATTAAGCTCTTCATCGATGACTATTCCGAGATCCTTTTCAGACGAGATGATTTCTAGTTGTATTCTCGCTCCTGTTCCTCCTAGCATATCTCTTCTCTTTATCTCTTATAGAAAGTACTTTGCACTTGTTTGGGTAAAACTTCAATAACCAACCAAAACACCCATCCCCCCCTCCCCCTCGATCTGAAAAAAATATTAAATATATCTATTCAGGTGAAGGAAGAATAAATTTGCGCAGTCTTTTGCGTCAGTTAAAAAGGTCAATTTACGGAGAAATGAAACTTCAAACATGCAGAGCAAGGGAAAAGTGGTCAAACAGACAACATTGTCGAAGTGATTGAGAAAACTAAAGGAACTGGTAAAAAGTGGTGAGGACCATATGAAAGAGCAGATCTTGCTGTGTTGCGTGGTCCATAACAATGTATAGAAGAATGATGGCAATCGGTGTTATACTCACATTTCCTCCTAAATTGTGCCGATTTTGGCCTAAAATTTCGCCCCGCCCCCTCCACGCTGAATATGGCCGCCCCCCCTCATATTGCCCTGTACACGGTGATGTTGCACCAGTCAAATACAAAGTATACACTCTCTTCATATGCAGCACTGATACCATAAACCAGTCAACAAATCATGTCTTCTGTCTACATGTTCTGTATTCATCACTGATAAGCCCAAGATCACTATGTATTGTACATGTTATAGGCTAGTTGCTTATTTTGTGACGAAAATGAAACTGCTGTCAAACACAAAAGGTAACTGTAATCAATCACACTACTTTGCACACGTCAGTGCACAACAGCATGTTACAGCAAAATAAAAAAAAATACTCCTTATATCAGGCGAATGACCATCTCTTACTAGAGCTGCTCAAATAATTAATGATGGTACTTCAAAACCGCTTTCATCATTAATTGAAACACTGCCTGTTATAATGACATCTACTACTCAACACTATATATATGTTTGCAAGTCAAAATGAATAGGCCCTATCATACAAAGGTAAATCGGATAAGGCACACATTCTGTAGAACATCAATTTGTACATGGTAGTAACTTGACAGAATGTACAATACCTTCCCAAGATGGCGGACCGCTAAACACGTCACAGGCGCCGTCGCGCGGCATCAAGGATTAGATATCTATGCAAGCAATCCCAAACAGATATCCGTATTTAGGCCATTTGACCAGGGCAAAATTATCAAAAGCAACGGACAGAAGAAAAAATTAAAAGGGTTATTCGCAAGGAGTTGTAATTTGATGTGACAAGATATAAAACAATTATTGTAAGCGGAACGGAGCTCCGCTCATAAAAGGAACAACAAAAAACTTGAAGCCTTTTGATGATTAAATCAATATTATTAAGAGAAGAAGTTATTCAAAACTATGTTAATGGTGGCTTAAAATTGATTTAAATTAAAGCAAATATATACACCAGAAGTTTGGTTCCGAAGAGTTTTTCAGACCATTACCAAATTGATTTTTAATGCTGGAGATATAGACCAACTAGTCAATTGTAGTGATGACTATGTGCAAACATGTCAGAAAAAACCCAAAAGGAGATCATGTTTTGAAAACACCAATACGGTACTACATAAAAATTAATCATGGTCAGAATCTGTATCTTCTAAGAAGTATTCCACAAAAACGTCATTACAATAGATAATTATATAAAATATATTGATTTGAAGAGTATTTGTTTAGTTTCCAGGAAATTCTTCACACTTATGATTAAACATGGCAACAGTTATCTCCTTCATTACAACATTTTGACAGAATTTTTAAAAAGTAGATTTTAAAAAATATATTCTAATGGTGAAATTCAATATCACCAATTAATTGATTAATTAGCTGATTATGATGAAAGAACTCGACTTAAATGATTTTTATAACACTTGATGAAAACAACAATAACATACCAACAGGGAAATGACGTTGATAATTTAATTTGGGCCCAAATACACGAAAAATACACCGAAAACACAAAGCTGCAAATTACCACCATATTTCATTAACAAACTCTTTAAGTCACATATCGCTGGTATTCCTTTTGTACTTTATATAACACAGAAGTTGTAGGAAACATGTAGACCTTATGGAAGTCTGATTAAGTGAAAAAATGTATTTGATATCCTTTACTTCAATTTTTGTTTTGTTTATATTTTGCCCCAGTTTACTGAATTCGAGCTTGAATAAAGTACTGTTGGCACATTGTTATTTCCTTAATGTTTTATTCAAATAGTTACCCTTTACTTTAATATATATACTCGCAAGCTAGACTTTGGAATTGATTTTGAAAGAAATATTGACTCTTATAAGCTTATAAACTGTTTAAATTTTGAAACATATAACATGGATGATGCTGAGCAGTAATTGAAACACGGGTACAATTTTGACAGGAAATTCAGTCCGAAACCTTCGGACCAATATCTAATTAATGTTGATAATATTTCAGCACAGTAATTTCGAAATGATGATTTATTTTAATCAGAAGTGGGGAGAGGTTTACGATTGAAATAGTACAGTAATACACGGTTGGTTTTTGTCATATGTAACATGCTGCCCTGACGTCATCATGTGTAAACTTGGTTAAAAATTACTGTTTTCTTCCCTCTGTATGCAAATGGTTTTATATGTAAAGAGAAAAACAATGCCGGTACAAAAACAGAAGTGAAGAAGACCACGGGTATGAGCTTCGAACACGCTGACACGTTTGCAGTGTGTTCCGGAATTTAATCTGTTCGTTGTGATAACTTTATTAATTTGCATGCGAACTCTTCTGACGTCATAAGTGAAATCAACATGGCGACTTACATTACACTTCCGTCGGGGAAAATGAAGAAGAAAAGAAAGCGAACAGTGATTGGGAAGAAAGATTTAGAAAAGCTAGAAGGCCTCTTTCAGCAAGATAAATGGCCTGATCGTAATAAAAAAATGAATCTGGCAGTGTCTATCAGCAAATCAGAAAACTTCATTTCTACTTGGTTTCAAAACCGGAGAGCAAAGTACCGCCGTCTTCAACAGGACACGGATGCACTCGTGAAAAACGATGATGGAGTGAAATTAACGTTTCACGATGTGAGGTTTTCAAATAAGGAGTTATCGAAAAACAGTAATATTATTTATAATAAAGATAAAGAAACTGGCGGTAATTCTAATCAAGTACCCATTGGTCTGGAAGAAATAAAACTGGAATTAAATGTCACTGACAAGAACACAAACAAAAGATCAAAAGCAGTGAACGGAAACGACGGAAAATTTGAAAAGGGTAATGAGGAGGTAAATGCGACTTATTGAATTTGAAAGAGACGCACTTGTCAACTTTCACATAAGTCAGTGTTTCCTACAAGAAAAAAAATCCGAGGTTACTGACAGATACGTGTAGCTGAGTGCGATAACAACAATCTGCTCTGGGTTTGGGTTTAAATGTTTAATTAAGACTTACCATTAAGCGACACATACGGTGACTACATACGTTCACTGACTTCACGAGGAACTATCTATAAATTTACATGAGTATTATTAATTAATTACCATTCAACTTTCCATCAAACCCATCGATGAATAAATTAATGTTTTATTATAACAAAAAGGATAAAAAATATTAGGCACAAGTTATGAAGCCTTCTCCTCCCAATATTAATATATCTTATGGGCGACAGGGATGTTAACTCATATGAAACTAATTGTAATATTGTTTGATCTGTTGAAAGGTTTATAAAACAAACAAAGCGTTTTAATACTACCTGATTCTTGTTTGTGGTCGGCACTAAATTGATATCAAATCTTTAAAATCTGTTTTTCTCTTCTCTTCTTTCTTTCTTTTCATATTTTCCTTCCTTTGACAAAATTATTTAAACTTACATTTTTGTAATTTAATTCATGGAGAAGAGTCATCATAAGTTGCTAGAACTCTATCCATTTATTTCCTGCTGATAATACAATATGTTTAACTCAATATTACAGTAATATCTTATTAGTAGACAGTTTTAAGTACAAAATGTCAGGTATAAATCAGTGAGGTAATTTGTAACAAGTCCCTATTCAATAGCGTTTGCTGGAACTAATAAAAGATTGCACATGTCCACATTTATCAGAATTTACATTCAAGGACAATTTTTATCTCTAAATAACAGTAGATTTAGACAATTATAGGAATTTGGAAATTTACATCATTTCTCTGTGTGGTGTAACGTAAAATAGACATTTAACGAACTTAGAAATGATAAGCGATCTTAAGGTTATATCCACTTTTAAGAAAAATAGAATATTGAGATTAGTTAATACAGAATAGATCATTCTTGATAATACTGCATTGATATATGGTCTAGAATGAATAATTTTTAATTACCGTCACCTCACAAATAATGACGTGGGAGGGTAAAAATATTCTAAGAAATAGCTAATTTAAAATTTGAAAGCGTAAATGATGTAATGGTATTTTGTAAAGTATGCCATGTTCTAACTGTAGAGGGTAAAAATGATAAAATTGTAAGGGGAAGTCGAAAATTATATATACTACACGTGGATGTATTTCTCCTATAGTAAATAGTAATAGACTGGATAGGCGTCATGGAGTCATTTTATAGTTCGCTTAGCTACTGATCTTGTTTCCAAAAGATGACAGTCTAGTAAAACATCCATCCCAAACCTTACATATCCTCGAGCAGGTAACATCTTTAACAGCGCATCACGTTTCAATAGATACTGGAATTTTTCCAGAATCGTTTTTTAACACTGATTTAAAAATCTTATAATATGGTCTGACCTTTTTGTGCCTGAATTAAAAATGACAGGATCATAAGATCATTCTCTCGTATTACTTTCTATATTTCACCAGGTTTCTAACGATGTAAACAAGACTCTGTCGTGGGACTTTGTGTTCCGACATATTGTGGAAATGGCTGCTGCATCAGAAGGTGCCTTGTCGGACGGACATCCTTCTATCACACAGGCCGTGCGACACGCAGCGCTAGGAGTACCACTTAGAGACGCTCAGCTCGTGTACAGTCGTGAGTACGGACTGGACTTTGAGACCACGTGCACGTCATCATGATACACGATATTTCCTCAACAAGTACCTCACCTGATGAAAAAAGGACATTTTCTTTATACGAGTGGAATATAATCGAATAAATCCAGATTTTTGTCCAGTTATCAACTTCAAGTCTTGTGTCTTTATCCAGTTTTTAAAGATTACAGGTTATTTTCAACAGAACGCTGGTGTTTGTTCATGTCTTCTGTACAAGGAAAACAACTCTCACAAGCAGTTTTCCCAGTGAGTTTAGAACGTTGACAGAGGGACAGTTAAATGACAGTAAATGGAAAAGGACTTAGGGTTAATATAGAAGTTAAAACATGTCACATATTGTATAATGGAAAGATGGGGTTTGGCGGCCTACCGGACTAGGCAGCAGAAATATCAACAATTCCAATGAAATATTAATGTTTTTTGGATGAAAAGCAACATAGAAATGACTGACATGACGCATAAATATATCCCGACTCATTGATGTAAATGAGACGGTAGATGTGTCTACCCATTGCATAAAAGTTGTAAAAACACAGATTCTCAGTGATTCAGGGGTGATTTCCTTTTTTGAATTAGCAATACATTGAAAGTTTAACGATTTCTCAACTACATTTTACCTCAGTATGTATTTTCACACATTAGGATGCGTGTAACGCCTATTTTTCTTTACTCACAAAGGCATACAATAATAATAACTAAGCAGACTGCGGTATCATTTCTGAAAGACCAAAACGTTCCATAAAATCTTGTCTAAGTCAGTAACGTGTATTTACTTCCCTTCTGCACACTCCAGTTAAAATCGTATAATGTAACGATGTATAAAGCGATTTGGAGTATATAGTTAAAACTAAGTTACTTTCTATAAAACTGTAACAGTGGAACGAACTTTCTGATTTTCTGTGTTACATGTCTGGTATAGATGATTTGTGATGATACGATGTGACTGAAGGTGGGGTCCGCCATCTTGAATTCTTGAATTTCCTTAGCAACGAAAATCCAAGTTGGTGTGCTTAGTAACCCCCTAAGCCTGGCTCCGCAGCCACATTATATCATCAGATTTACTCTAGGCTTGCATAACATTGCTAAATGAAAACGTGTCTGCTGCAGTTTCAACCTACGGTCGTGAAACTATTCTTAATGTCAACAAAACAGAATAAACACATGTTTGTCCAACTTCGTTAGCATTTTCTGTCAATTTTCGCTATAGCTATGGGTTGGGATTATACTGAATCTACACAATTTCTTTTACCAGTGTGTGACGTACCTTATCCTGAACAATTCAATAAAAATCATTCATATTAGTAAGCGTATAGAATACGCGACCACTGATCTTTGTAGTCAAAATATTCCCCTTGGTTCCAAGGAAACAAAGTGGGACCATTCTCCTTCTTCCCGTATTTAAAATGGCAGCTACAGATTCGGTCTGCATCAGTTACTTTCCTATCGCTCCTCCTAAAAGAGATATTGATGTATCCATTGTGATCCAAGGTCGATATTGTGTACGTAAATGACCACGCCCACTCCAGGATTACTCACACACACACCCCCAACCCCCCAACCCCCACCCCACCCCCCACCCCCCCACCCCCCACCCCCAGCATCGTTATTCAAATGTTAAAAAGTAATTGGAACAGTTAATTCAAAATGAACCACCAGAGGTGAAGTGTTTATTTGGCGATAGACTGACTGACAACTGTACGACGTCCGAATATCGCAGGTCAACATTCCGAGTCATTCAACTTGATTGTTATATTTACAAACGTGCATAATTTATCCCACTGCTTTACCCATGGTTTAGGGAATCTAAAAAAGCTACATGTCTCTCTCAAACTCTGGTGATTGCATCCCGTTACAAAACACAATATTACGCTATCAAATATTCGCGAGTAAATCTGCCACCGGTCCAACATTGGAGTAATGGTATCGAGCGCGTTATGGTATTGTGTGTTGTTATGTACTGAACTTGTTAATAACATTCCGTAAATGTGTATCCCGCTCCGGACAGATAATTCGTTTAGTCACACCACGCGTAGTAATTTTCTTACCATGTTCACACGTGTTCTGATTAATTAAAGTAGTTCTGTAACCGCCATATTGATTGTTTGTTGACGTTCTTGGGCAGCTTGGGCTAATAATGCCACAACATAACATGTGTGTGTGTGTGTGTGTGTGTGTGTGATAATTCAAATCCAACAACCTGCCCATACGATCAACTTTAAACGGATGTGTGGCAGGAACTTCATTACCCACAATACACTTGCCGCAGCCCGCAATGAGAATTGCCGACCCGTTGAATGGATTAAATTTTTTTTTTTGACCAACAAAATATCGTTTTAAGCTCTCATGTAGAAATGAAATCATACTAAAAGTCTTCAATAATTCAGATGAATTTAACAAACATATACTTTAATGGTTTGAAACGTATATAACAAATATCTCGTTGAAAATTGCAATTTTAACCATTTAAGATTTGAGCTCGATTGTGCTCCGATGTACCTGATTTCCGGTTTAATGTTCGGGACCTTTCGTCACTTTCCGTGAACGAGACGATGTGTTTCTCATTCACGGAAAGTGACGCAAGGTCCCGATTTGACGAAAAACTCGCCCATCTCCTAACTGCAAGATGAGGATGTTCTTTCGATAACTAATTATGAGCATGTATTTGAATGTTTAGAAAAGTTCCAGCAAACACTTATAAGGCACAATGATAAAATAGCTATTAGTGGTGATTTTTTGTGTGTGTGTGGGGGGGGGGGGGTTGTTTCCAGAATAATGCAGTTTATGTAATATATTGTGGCTTCCACAAGAAATTTATTTAAACATAAATATTTATATCGATTTTCTTAATTACAATGTATAACAGAATAGTCTCAACAAAGTTTATAACTTTACCCTCTTTTTGCTACCAGGACAAGTTCAAATTGCTTAAAAAAACCGAAGGTTCTGAAGCATTTTATGATTTGTTAATGAACAGAACGAACACTCTCAATAGCAAAAAGAAAAGAAAACAGCGGGAGAGAACATTGTGATTTTAATAATGAAAACTTGTTAAATATATAAGCACCACCTTTACAAATCCGGCTAAAACTATAATATATTGTCTTTCACCATATTTTGACAAAATCCTTTCTTTTTTTAAAGCAAAGATGATAGAAAGTCCTCTCTGCAATATCTGTAACTCTAAAAGGGAAACTCTTTTGCATTTATTTTGAAGATCTTTTTTATCAATTGTTATAGTTTAGATATGTTGTCAGTGACTTTTTTAATACATTTATTGTTACCATTGAAACCGATGACCCTCATCAAAATTTCAGTTTTTCTGGGCCAATACTCTGACAAGGTAATTGCTCAAAACTGTTTACACTTAATAAGTTAGTAGTCTCTTTTGCTATGGGGAAGATTGCCATTTAAATACTTTTTCTGATACCATGGAAACATAGGCCATTCATTACCATTCAAGGTAATTACCTGATACTCAAAACATTGTGCAGGCATCAAGCTAGTACTCTAGTAGAAGTTCTCCATTTCAATACTTTGTATGGAACAATTAGAAATAACAAATAGAAATTAACTTGTTGTAATATTAATATATATATGATTGTCTGTTTTTCATTTAAACAGCTTCGCGAAGGGAAAGTATCACATTTTGCGTTATTTTGTCGTCCTTTATTTTGTTCTTCTTTGTCTGCCTTCATGGTGTATGATTGTATGTGCATGACTTACTTACATATGGAAACTTTGTTATTTCAACTTACAAAAATCACACTTGTTGTAAGCAAGAGAGGGGTCTAACTTTGGGAGGAAACCAGTATCCTTTCTATCCCTTCGGGGAATCGAACCCCGAATGACTAGGTGATAGACAAGTGTGTTTCAACTGTGCCACCAAACCACCGCCTGATCATGGTGATACAATGTTTTCTAGAAGAAGATGTGTTGCTGCTGCTGATGATATATTGGTACATTTGTATGTGTCGATGTTTTGTTCAAATCTTGCGAAATATACAACAAATTAAAAAAAATACGCTTCAGTGCAAACATGGATCAGGCTGTTCAAAATGTGCACTTTCTTGACAAACTTGCGCTCGTTTTTAGGCAGTGCCTACTTCATAGTAGATTCTGAACTTTCTTTCCAAGACACCACATTATCACATAGTCATTTAGTGAAAAAGTGAAGAAAGCAAATCAAATTTTCGGATTGTTGAGAAGAACATCTCAGTTTATGAATTCTAAAGCTTTTCTTCCGCTATACAAAAGCTTGGTGAGATCACAACTGGATCACGCAAGTTTTGTTTGGTCACCAGTAAAAGTGAAATATCCAACGGAGTCCGTGACCCGGAAGTGACGCCATTTTATTACGACGGTTAGACGATTTACAGGATCATGCAGGATCGTGTAGAATCGGGCAAATCGGACAGAATCGGGCAGGATCGGACAGAATCGGAATAGAACAGTGCCGTTTTAATTATTTTTATTAATTTCTTTTGCATTGATATCACCATATGTTACAATAATTACACTAAAAACAATTCAATGCCCAAATTCTACATATAAACCGCCCGATTCTGCCCGATCCTGTAAATCGTCTTTCGGTCTTGCGCGACCAAATCAGATATGAGTGTTTTATGTAATATGTCTTAAATTTTCCTTAAAAACTTTTCATAATGTGTAACATATGATGATACCAATGCTAATGAAATCAATAAAAATCATTAAAACGGCACTGCTCTAGTCCGATCCTGCCCGATTCTGCCCGATCCTGTAAATCGTGTAACTTACGAGACTTTCTCGCGGAAAAAATGAATTGCAACACCCTTGTCGATCTAAAAAAATGTCTAAGGCGAGCAGAACTTCAAGAAAAAGAACTCCTTGCCGGACCTTTTGTAGTAAATACAGTTTGAACTTTTCTTATGATTACATATAGAGTAATACGGATTTCTGAAGAAGTTTCTGAAAAATTCGGACCAACTTAGAAACATTGGAGAAAATGTGAAATAGTTTGAATAAAATGACCGCATTGTTAATTTCTGGCATCGTGAAACTGGATCTATCTTTTTTAAGTTCAAAGTACAACTAATTCAACAACGCGTGTTCAAAGTTTGTGGAATCAGACGTTCTGTATGTGAAATATAGCTATACCTTACTTAGTGATAGTTTCCGGTACAAGACTTCACGTTTCTTCTCACCAGACTCTTTATCCTCATCTAGTATAATACCCATTTCGGCACCACATATTTTAAAATGGATTTCGCAATTATCGTAGAGGAGCTCCTGATGCTTAATGTGCCTGTTCAATCTATTTTTAACGGCATTTTTTGAAGGTGCTGTTTAACCACACTAATCATCAGATCTGTACATGTTGGCTAAACGACTCATGATATCCAGGATAAGGTTTTATCTTTACTTAATATAATCTCAAATAAAGAAATGAAATTTTTGCCAATCTTTTTATTCCTTACACACAATGGTTTTAAATTCTTAACCATATCTTACATATTTTTTAGGTTTTGAAAATAGAACGCTACTTAACAGATCCGCAGCACACTTCTCAGACTGGCCTGGACACTGTGTATATTGATGTGTATCAGCTGACTGTTGCAGACATCTTACACAAACTTAAAGTAGTAGTGGATCCGAAAATATCGAAAGACATCCAAAACAGACAGGTTGTCATTGTCTATTTTTATCATATATTTAGCTCACCTACTAAATGTGCAGTTTGAGTGTCATTATTTTACTTACATTTTATAACTACTAGCATCCTAGAAAGTATAGTTCTTGTATATCTACCGCTTTCTATTCATGGTGTTGACCAACATCTTTTGACCGAATGCTTTCACAACTTGTGATTTTCATCATCATCATCATCATCATCATCATCATCATCATCATCATCATCATCATCATCATCATCATCATCATCATCATCATCATCATTCACTAAGTTACTGGTTTTTACTTTCTTTCACTGTATAATAAAACCCTCAGTGCCTGCTGCAATGTATCAGAAACAATAGTTGCTTCGGTATATCTGTTTTATGATTATTTGTATATTTGTAATTTCCTCTATTAATGTTTTTATTTCAGTTGAGGGAAGGCTGCTCTTTAAAGTTTACAAAATGTACTCTACGTTATGATGAGACCAGTTTGTCAGGGAGCAATATAGTTATAGTGCACAGCATCAACATTGAAACAAAGCCATGCCTATCCGTTTTACCATCAGGTAATTGAATTTACATTAGAAACAAAACAACATTACTGTGCTTCCCAAATAAGGAAGGGAATAATGTTTCCTATTTCTTTCTCCTTAAATGTACGTTTTGTTTTTAATAATGGACATACAAAACCTTTCCTTCTATAGAAACCAGTACTAAATAATGTTTTTTCTATTGGAAATTTACAAAAACTTTAAGGATATAAGTTTTTATGAGCATCAATGGACATTAATATTGGTCTGGATTTCAGACTGAAATGGTACAATTTCCTAAAGGTTTCTACGTTCACACAATTTATAACCAGATATTTCAGATTTTTTCATGATGTACAGTGAAGAAGTATTCAAAACTGAAGTTGCTGTTGCAGAAATGGCAGACTTACGCTGGTGTCCTGACTGTGCTGCCAAACAGACCAAGGATCTCCCTCTCACTTCATCTCGGGGCTATTTCCTCAATCTTTGGTCAAGTACAGAGATGACAGGACCACAATGGAAGCTTGCAGGTAGATATATTTACAACATTAACTATACATGTACTGCCACATTATCATTCTAACTTTGTATACTGGAGGATGGACACTATAAACAGACTTACTAGATAAAGTCAGACCATCTGTTCTGTATTGATAGGCCCCTGTCTACCCAACAAACATGTATATAATGGATCACAATGCTATATAAAGTTTTGGTTATCATGATGAAACCAATGTGTAGATATACAGTTGTATAGAGTTTTAATGAATTGAAGTCCCGAGGAAGTACACTACTGTCATAAGGATAGTAACCCTATTGTATGTTGTACATATACATTTACAGATTCTTGTATTTAACATGACTTAATACTCATACAATGTTTTGGATTTATTCTTTAAAGGTGAAGAAGCCAAAAGTGTTGGAGCTGTGACAGCAGAGGATATTTACCAAGTGAAAGAGATTGCCAGGAACTGGACAGAGCTACAAATCGTAAACCCTCGCATGGTTGTGAGGGTTATATGCAAATTTCGACTACTCCATTATGCTAAGCCATCAAAGTTGGGGATGTGGCCTTTCCAGGTGTGTCCTATTATATAATCATTGGTGATTCATTCATAATGTTTGCTCTATATATTTAAGGCCCAATAAAAAAATAAACAAAGAAAAAAATCTATTCATATAGATGCAGTACAAATTAATTTATCTGAAAAATACTCGAGACAATAATGTGCGTTGTTATTGATATTAAAAGCGGTTGAAATTGACTCTCTGTAAACATCCCTCCATTCACAATCATTGACAAATGACTATATGTATATGTCATTATGAAAAGCATGCAGCATGTTCAACACCACACTTTACCTGCAGTTTGGTCACATGGTTCTTTTTATACAATAGGATACAACAGGATATTTTATGGACGCAGGCATTAAATTGCCTCTATATCCATATCATTACTGGTATACAGTATAAAATACATAGTATATTAGGTTATACCTCCGCTGACTGATTTATAACTGTAATTAAATTTTATCTCACGATTTTTCCAATAATCATCTAAATTAATTTCAAACTCCACTACTGTTTTGGATTTAATAACCAACTCAGGCAGGTAATTCCAAATATCGACAATTCTAACTGTAAAGGAGTATTTTCGAACATCCATCTTGCAACGTTGCTTTTCTAAACTTTTTTGAAATCCCTCTTGTTCTGAAGGAGGTATCAATTTGAAGTAATCCCTCTGTAACTTCTTCATCGTAGAAGCTGTTGATTATTTTAAAGACATTAATTATGTCTCCTCTCAACCTTCGTTAAATTAACGTTGGAAGCCCTAGATTTTTAATCTGACACAATAAGGTAAATCCTTTAAGCTTGGGACCAGTTAAGTGGCTCGCCTCTGGACCCTTCCGATTGATTCAATATCTTTCATTTTATACGGACTCCACACACTGGAAGCATATTCTACATGTGGGCGGACTAATGCTTTGAATTAGTTGTTTGAAAGTAATTTCATTGAGGTAGATAAAAGATCTTCTTATCAGACCCATTATGCTATTTGCCTTATTTAAAATTTGTTGGATATGGAATGAAAACATTAGGTCCTTGTCAATAATAATGCCAATATCTTTTTTCTGTTGTGGTATTTTCCAGTAGAATTGGATTGCTTTCTCCTGACATATAGTAATGTCTGGTTTGTTTGGCTTTGATGGATAAAACCTTACATTTATGGGGGTGGAATTTTAAGAGCCATGTAGTGGACCATATTTCAAGTTTATTGAGATCATTTTGGACTACTTCTCTATCATCATCGTTTTTAATCTGTCTGAAAATTTTTGCATTGTCTGCAAAAAATCAGTGCTTTAGAAACAGTTTGTTCCGGAAGGTCATTTATGTATATTACAAATAATACTGGCCCAAGGACACCTCCTTGAGGGATTCCACTTAAAACCAGATAATTTTCTGATGTTTGGCCATTCATTTTTACAATTTGCTTTCAGTCACTCAAAAAAAGCTTTACCCAGTTAACAATCTTTTAATTTAAACCATAACTTGTTAGTTTCTCAACAAGCTGCAATGGGGCACCTTATCAAAGGCCTTCATAAAGTCCATATAGATAACATCTATTTCTCCGCCGTTATCTGGTATTTTTGTCCACTCTTCCATCAGTAATAACAACTGGAGCATTGTTGATCGTTTTGAGATAAATCCAAACTGTTTATTGCTGAAAAGCTTATTTCTTATCATGTGATTTACAATTAAGTCACAGACTATTTTCTCCATTGTTTTCCCAATAACACTTGTAATGCTCAAAGGTCGGTAGTTACCTGGTATGACAGCCTTTTAAACTTCACATAACCTCGGTTTAACATTGATCAATCTAGAGGTTATTTTCATGAGTCCTTTACAATTTTATTGCTAAAAACAATAGGTCCAACAGCATAAAATTTAAGTACATTTGTATTTTCAGAAATTCTTTGAGTGCCATTAGAGTTCTATGAGACTAGATTTAGATATTACTGGGTTTGTATTTTCAGTTGGACTCACTTTCATTAATGTGTGTTTGTTTCAATATCACTACCAAGTGTTTCTAAACAGAAACCACTCAGTTAGCAGATGCTTTAAATTTTATATTTGCATAATTATCAAGTGGAAGTTTTTTCAGAACATCTTTCCCAATCTCGTATATTTTCCAAAGGATGCAATTTTGCAGCTTGAATATTTTGTGCAAAAATTAAATATGTACCAATTGTCAATACAATTGATACTGTTGTATATTATTAGATATATACATTAGATGTATGAAAAATGGATACTACAACATATCCTGCCTATATAAGTCGTTTCCTATACAATTGTTCAGTTCATTAATGTTGATATGGTTTTTATCTTTCAGGCTAATTTCACTGTTTGTGATGAGACTGGAGTCTGTAATCTAGTGTTGTGGAATGCTCTATGTACAGAGTACTACCAAAGGTTTGTCAAGCATACTCAAATGCATATCTCCAAATGTTTACAAATTAAAACAGTACCTGTGTATGTTTGTCAGTTGCATATCACCAAATGTTTACAAATTAAAACAGTATGTTTGTCAGTTGCATATCACCAAATCTTTACAAATTTAAACAGTATGTTTGTCAGTTGCATATCACCAAATCTTTACAAATTAAAACAGTATGTTTGTCAGTTGCATATCACCAAATCTTTACAAATTAAAACAGTATGTTTGTCAGTTGCATATCACCAAATCTTTACAAATTTAAACAGTATGTTTGTCAGTTGCATATCACCAAATCTTTACAAATTAAAACAGTATGTTTGTCAGTTGCATATCACCAAATCTTTACAAAATAATAAATGTATTTCAGATTCACCAGAACTCGGGTTCATGAAAACAAATATCCATTGATTAAATTTACTTCAATAAGATGGAATCACCTTATCGTATATTTTGATATGTAGAATTAAAAGATGCAATTTTAGCTGAAAGTTACATTTTTTATAATTTCTATATTAGGTATGCAGCCATCTTTGACTGATCCATATAAAGTATTGCATCAACTGTCTGAAAAGACACTTATCAATCTGTTTAGGTTTATGTAAAGCATATTTTTAAGGTACTTGTATAGATGTTCAGAACTAGAATGTCTCTTAGGAGTTTGCAGATGTATGACTTCAAGGTGACTCCAAGACAAATATTACATTAGATGAAATTAGACTTGGACTGGTCATTCTTCTTCATCCTAACCCTGGTATTATGCTTTGATGACACCTATAGGTGTTGGTGAGAATGAAGAAGAAATTTGTTGCTTTTACTTGGTTTATTATGTTTGTTATTAGGATTGCATTGAGTCATAAAAGTCCATCAACAACAGCTTGACGTACATATTTTTGTTGTTGGAAAGGTTACAGGAAGGCAGTGTGATCATGATTAGAAGATTCACAGTGAAAAAGAGCTATTACAGTAATGGTCGGGGTGCTCCATCACCTGAGAACCTACAGTATTACGATGTTGACATCAACCTGAACCCACACCATCCTCAAAGTGAGATACAGATTCTGGCAACATCAGCAGTACCTGACAACATTCATCTCCCAGACCTTGAGTATAACTTTGTTACACGCCGTCAGCTAGGGTAAATAACTACCGGTAATTAGTTGTTGTCCTGGGGGGATTATCACAATGACGTGTTGATGTTATCAGTTTATGTATTGATATGGTTGTCAAGTTGGACTGACAATAACACTTACAATCTCATCACAGTAGAAAGATATCTTTGTAAACATTTGTTATTATTAAATGCCAAGGATGTTAAGCTCAGACTTATTATCAGTGCTAAAGATATCCAGTTCTGTTGCAGAGGTACAAATGTATTTTTGCAATTTAACCACAAAACTGCCAACTTCCAAAAAATCATGCACAGGAAAGATTTGTTTGTATGATGTGTGACTTACAGTGAATTTAATTATTCCCTGTGACATATGAATGTGAGTATAAACCTTACTTGTAAATGGTCCTATCCAGGCATCTCTCCAGGTACATGGAATTAAGAGATTTTTTTTCTATTATTTAATTGGTACATTAAAAATGATATTATATGGGGGACTCTATTTTCCTGAAATGTTATTATATTTATTAGATTCATGCCTGATAACTATATCTGTGATGTTGTGGGCTGTGTGACATATGTTGGACGTTACGAGCGTGACTCATGTACAAGTGAGTATGGTCATTCAATAATTCTAGGTGGATGACAAGTTATAAGAAGAATCTGAAGTCCAATTTAGTATGTAAAACTTTATCTTGATCAAATGGTGGGAAACTATTGTAAGGACTCCCTTATGAAATCATTTTAAGTGACCTTTATAAATCTGTGGTCAGCACAAAGCTTCACTGTTGCCTTTTACATTAAGAGGTCTCCTTCTGATTAGCTAATGTTAAAGAAACATTTCTGTAATTTTTATGCACTTTTAAAACAAATGAAGTAAAGCGAAAGGTCAAACATTTTAAAATTAAATATAAAATTTCGCCTAAACTGACAATGTTTGAATTGTGTTACAGACAAAGCAGGGCTTGACAGTGGGGGATTTTGGATTCGTCGTTGGCTGCACCTACGTGATGCCTCCAGCGAAAAAACAATTATTATAGAAATGTTTAGAGCAGCAGAGGTAATTATCACACTTCATATCTTATTTGGAAAATGAAAACTGCATTTCAAATGTTGCTCTTCACCATTTAAGACTTAAGTATTTTAAAATGTGATGCACTTAACAGCAGAAATTTATGTTGTCACAATCACATATTCTATTTATCATAACAATATGAAGTTTTCAACGATCAGATTATATATCAAAGAAAAAAAATCAGTCACCTGTGTATAATGTGAAAAAAAAGATATTTTGACTCATTTATTAACAATCTCAGTCTGAATCACACAGAGGTGAAATCTCTGTTCTGCACATCGATTTTAAAAAATTGCCTCTAGATGTACTATGTCCATTAGCTATGTTGTACCTGGAAGTACATAAAATGTCAGTTCTTTCACTATATACTGTTGTGTACTATACTTTGGATAAAATACATGTACTTATTTTTGTTTGGATTTGTAGTCGGTGATTGCTCCTCAAGTGAAACCTGGTGTAGTGTTGGTTTGTAGACACATGAAGGTGATTAATAACACTTCTTATCTGACCAGATCTACCTCTCAGCGACAGGTGTATATCACCTCAACCATCAACACTCAGGTAAGTCTACATGTCACCTGATTGGGTCTACCTCTCAGCGACATGTGTATGTCACCTCAACCATCAACACTCAGGTAAGTCTACAAGTCACCTGACTGGGTCTACCTTTCAGCAACAGGTGTATGTTACTTCAAACATCAGCACTCAGTTTAGTCTACCAATCATCTGTTGAAGTCTTCATGTTAATGATAGTTGTATGTCACCTCACCCATCAGCACTCAGCCAAAAGTTGTGCCATACAACAGTACTTGATTCGTCAGGTATATTTGGTGTTCTTATGGTACCAATATTCTGTGTCATATTTCACTGTTTGTCTGCATTAAAATTTGATGTAATACAACATTTGCTTCTCTCCTTACAGTTGAGTGTGAGAGTAAATGGTGAGAAAAACTTAAGGCCAGGATCTGCCATCTCAGATGTGTTAGTCTGGTCACAATCACATGAAGGTAAACAGGAAGTGGAACACTCTATGCTTAAAGGATACTTCTCCTATCCTTGTGTCCCCGTCCAACTGACTGCCCTCCAGGACATGTATACAGACCTCAAGGTTGTAATCCTTTCATGTTAAGTAAATTTCCTGTATTCTTGTAACAAATCTTTGCCAATTACCTTGTTTTATCACGATATAGACAACAAGAGTTTGGAGTCAGCCTCTGCAGCTAGGGATACATGTACTTTAATTGATTATCTCAGACTCAAGTAATGGAAAATCCTTGATGTTTCATATAGTGGTATACTGTTTAATATGGAAGCAATTGATGTGTTGGGTTCAACATTAAATTTAACCAAGATAAGAATCAGAAAATCTAGTATGTAGGACAAATAATGCTGCATTTTATGTCTTTTGTTATCATTGTCAACTTATTTACAGATCATTTCTAGTGATGACTGTTTATTGTCTTTGTTCCCTTATTTACAGATAATTTCTAGTGATGACTGGAAGAGAGAATTGACTGCCCTTGCGTATAGACAACATAAGTGTCTGTTTGTACAGGCGGTAATGGTCTCAGCTAAGCTAATCCACTCTCCAAAGTAACGTTTGGTTCTAGATCTTTTAAATAAGTCTAATCATTTGAAAATACAGTGTCAGTAAACTTCATGCAGGAAATGTCGGACTGAAGACATTTGAAAACCTTAGGTCAGGAAATGACCAATTTCATAAATTAAAAGCCAGCAGAAGATATTAAGTATGACTACATGGACACCTTCATCAGACAAATTGCCAGCGTGAAGTTTACTAGCTCTGTCACAGAAGGATATAACTATGCATATAAATACCACAGACATCACCAACAGCATCAAAGTATGAAATAAGAAAGGAGGATTAACAGCAACAAATAAATCATCTGTTAATGTTACTGGGAAATAATTACTGTCATAAACAAGTATAATAGAAGTCACTTCTGGGCAATATTACCAGGTTAAAGGTGAATGTCAGAGAAATACTACTTTATTTTTACAGACCAATTACTGTCTATAAAGCCATCAACAAAGATTCATTATCAGTGTAACAGTGGGGTTTTGATTCTAACGCAGTGTGAAGCCCTTTCTGATGTGTGTCAGAATTCTAGTAGTTTCTGCTTTGTTTTAGACATGTGACACCAAAAACATCCTCAAGAAAGAGAAGAAGAAAGGCAGGCAAGGCATCACATGTGCCTTGTAAAACAGAAGTAGTGGTTGTAGACCCAGAGATTCATGCCCTTGCCGACCAGATGGAGAGTTTAGGAATAGGGGAGCCACACCAATTGGTAAACACATTTCCAACACCCTACAGCCATGCCCACTGGCCAGGCCTTCAACAACAGCTGATGTTCCCCTCAGGGGAGTTATCACCAGAGGAACCACAAGGCCAAGGCACAATTGGACATTCCTCTGATACAGTTGGACAGAGTCTGGACAGCACAGGAGATACTTCAGAATCATCAGAGCGCATATTGGAAAGAGGTTGGTTTTTACCTTTCTTCCTTCAGGTCTGATGCTATGGACTATAGCTTAATGTGTGCTTCATTTATTAGGTCACCTTCCCAAAGGGCAAATGAGCTTGTATAGTGGTGTGGCATCCATAATCAACTTTTCCCTTTAAGCAAGTTTTTTTCTCAACAGAAACGCTCACTGTACTGATGTCTGGCCTTAGACAACTTTCAAAGTCACAATTTTGAAATAACATTTTTCTTAAAAATCAAGAAATCCCAGGTTATTTTAATGAGACAATGGAATGGTGGAATGAAGACCAAGTTTGTTCAAAATGAGTGATTGTAACTCACTTTTGAGGTAACTTCTTTCCAATGACTGATAATAGGCCTTGGATCATGGTGTCTGTGTAGTAGCATGCTTGGGGAAAAGGCTTTCGGATTTGCAAAAATAAACTTCATGAGCTGACAAAGTAGTATTTGTAAACTGCAGAACACATGAGCAATTCAGGCCCATTAGGCCCTTTGTTTTACTAAGATGATTCCATGGAGCAATGTACTATTTTTCAGAAATCAACTTTATATCCTTATGAGAACACAAAATGTTTTATATAAAAAGTTCTGTGTTATCTGTAATAGTTAAAAATTCAAAAACTTTAACAAGTACTTTTACATATCATGTGCCCTGTATTGCAGGGCTCTACAATAACTTTTTACCCCACTTGTCCTTTTGGACAAGTGTTTTTGAAAACCACTTGTCCGAAAGATTAATCCACTTTTTTTTCAGCAACCAATGCAATCTTACATTATGTCATAATAAGTAAGTTTTGGTTCATATACATTTTTAGAGCTTGTTTCAATGTGTGTCATTGATTGACGCTAGCATTATATTAAAGTTTTATTTTTTAAGTGTTGTCTTTATTTAACTTATATAGGTAAGACAGGAATATCAAGTGACGGATCTAGTAATTACCAATGATTGAACTACATGCAGTAACCTGCGATACACAGCTGTTGAAAATCTCTTTGAATTGTGTTCATGTTTTTAATAGACTGTATTAAAATTTATGATTGAAGAACAACATAATCAGATTATAAATCCAAGAACAATCATAGGGTTGGCTTTGCATTTAGTTATATCCACTAAGTAATATTTATTTTAATGACCGCATGCCAGCAGTCTCATCAAACGTCAGACTGGGATACTCGGTCAGCCACTTTTGCTGGAATGTACACTTCCACTTTAGTTCATACTGTTTATTTTTATCCTTTTCTGGCTATGTCTCGGTCTTTTGTTTTTATTTGGACCACCCCCCCAAACCAAAACCAAATGAAGTTAAATCCATCAGGACAACATGAAAACAAATCAGGATTACCTAAAAGCTTGAAACAGCCTTTCAAAACAAACGCAAAATTGACACAGATTACAATCGTTTTCTGAAAATCACTGACTTTATCGTACAGAACAATGCAAAACAATGATTATTATTTTAGACTGATGGAATCGATTGATTATGCCAAAGAAAAAAACAACAAAAAGTGCAATTTGGTAGAGGAATGATTTCATTGATAACAAATGATTTAGTCACTTTGTCTGCCGAAATTCACTTGTCCGATCGGAGAAGTGACATAGGAGATGTACTTGTCCGACATGATTTTGCACTGGTGCGGACGAGTCGGGCAAGCAGTATTGTCGAGCCCTGTATTGTTGCTGAAGTGGATGGTAAACTTGCCACATATTAAATCATATTATGATGTAATGATATTGAGGTGTATACCTTTACGTCCATGTGTCACGTTCCAAGCCATGATCTTGAAAATATTTACAAATATATGTTTATATGATCAGTGATTAGAAATAGGGTGAATTTCATTAAGAAACCCTAACTTCTCATTTCAGAAATGCCAGAATGTTACATCTTGACATGGAAAGGATTGAACTCCAACATTTTATTAAACACTATCTGGAGACCAACAGGTGACAGATGTGGGAGGAGTAGTTCTATGTTAGAACTATTATGTATGTCACACCCTTCCATCCGCTGGCTGTCGTACCCATCTCAGTGCCTGTCAGATCTCCCAACAATACTCCGGTCAGCTACACAGTGTATGGGGCACAGGTACCTGCTGGTACTCGACTGCTTCAGACATTCTCATGAAGATAATCAGGAAGTGGTGTTAAAGCAAGCTTACAGGTTGTAGGTGATAACTTTCTTCAAGCATTATTTGCCTTTGGAGATGACCTTTCCATGTAAACTCCCTCTGGAGATGACCTTTTAATGCAATTTACTTTTAAAGATGCTCTTTCAGTATAAAATACTTTAAGAGATGATCTTATTAATGTGAGCTCCTTCCAGAGATAAACTTTGAGTATAAACAACATCTAGAGATGACCTTTCAGTGTAAGCTCCCTCTGGAAATGACCTTTCAGTGTAAGCTCCCTCTGGAAATGACCTTTCAGTGTAAGCTCCTTCTGGAAATGACCTTTCAGTGTAAGCACATGCTGGAAATGACCTTTCAGTGTAAGCACATTCTGGAAATGACCTTTCAGGTTTAGCTCCCCCTGGAAATGACCTTTCAGTGTAAGCTCCCCCTGGAAATGACCTTTCAGTGTAAGCTCCTTCTGGAGATGACCCTTCAGTGTAAGCTCTCTCTGGAGATGACCTTTCAGTGTAAGCTCTCTCTGGAGTTGACCTTTCAGTGTAAGCTCCCTCTGGAAATGACCTTTCAGTGTAAGCTCCCTCTGGAAATGACCTTTCAGTGTAAGCACATTCTGGAGATGACCTTTCAGTGTAAGCTCCCTCTGGAAATGACCTTTCAGTGTAAGCTCCTTCTGGAGATGACCTTTCAGTGTAAGCACATTCTGGAAATGACCTTTCAGTGTAAGCACATTCTGGAAATGACCTTTCAGGTTAAGCTCTCTCTGGAGATGACCTTTAGGTGTAAGCTCCCCCTGGAAATGACCTTTCAATGTAAGTTTTTTTATTTCTTTGGAACTTAGCAGACGTCAACAAGAAGTTGTCATTTATTTACTAATCTCTTTGAAACTTGGTTGATAAGCACATTCTGGAAATGACCTTTCAGTGTAAGCTCCCTCTGGAAATGACCTTACAGTGTAAGCTCCCTCTGGAGATGACCTTTCAGTGTAAGCTCTCTCTGGAGATGACCTTTAGGTGTAAGTTCCCCCTGGAAATGACCTTTCAATGTAAGTTTTTTTTTATTTCTTTGAACTTTGAAGACGTCAACAAGAAGTTGTCATTTATTTACTAATCTCTTTGAAACTTGGTTGATAAGCACATTCTGGAAATGACCTTTCGGTGTAAGCTCCCTCTGGAAATGACCTTACAGTGTAAGCTCCTTCTGGAGATGACCCTTCAGTGTAAGCTCCCTCTGGAAATGACCTTTCAGTGTAAGCTCCCTCTGGAGATGACCTTTCAGTGTAAGCTCCTTCTGGAAATGACCTTTCAGTGTAAGCACATGCATGCTGGAAATGACCTTTAGGTGTAAGCTCCTTCTGGAAATGACCTTTCAGTGTAAGTACATGCTGGAAATGACCTTTAGGTATAAGCTCCCTCTGGAAATGACCTTTCAGTGTAAGCTCCTTCTGGAGATGACCTTTCAGTGTAAGCACATTCTGGAAATGACCTTTCAGTGTAAGCACATTCTGGAAATGACCTTTCAGGTTTAGCTCTCTCTGGAGATGACCTTTCAGTGTAAGCTCCTTCTGGAAATGACCTTTCAGTATAAGCACATGCTGGAAATGACCTTTAGGTGTAAGCTCCCACTGGAAATGACCTTTAGGTGTAAGCTCCCCCTGGAAATGACCTTTCAGTGTAAGATCCCCCTGGAAATGACCTTTCAATGTAAGTTTTTTTTATTTCTTTGGAACTTTGAAGACATCAACAAGAAGTTGTCATTTATTTACTAATCTCTTTGAAACTTGGTTGATAAGCACATTCTGGAAATGACCTTTCGGTGTAAGCTCCCTCTGGAAATGACCTTACAGTGTAAGCTCCCTCTGGAGATGACCTTTCAGTGTAAGCTCTCTCTGGAGATGACCTTTAGGTGTAAGTTCCCCCTGGAAATGACCTTTCAATGTAAGTTTTTTTTTATTTCTTTGAACTTTGAAGACGTCAACAAGAAGTTGTCATTTATTTACTAATCTCTTTGAAACTTGGTTGATAAGCACATTCTGGAAATGACCTTTCGGTGTAAGCTCCCTCTGGAAATGACCTTACAGTGTAAGCTCCCTCTGGAGATGACCTTTCAGTGTAAGCTCCCTCTGGAAATGACCTTTCAGTGTAAGCTCTCTCTGGAGATGACCTTTCAGTGTAAGCTCCCTCTGGAGATGACCTTTCAGTGTAAGCTCCCCCTGGAAATGACCTTTCAGTGTAAGCTTTTTTATTTCTTTGGAACTTAGTAGACATCAACAAGAAGTTGTCATTTATTAGCTCACCTAGCCTAAAGGGCCAAGTGAGCTTAAGCCATAGCGCGGTGTCCGTCGTCCTTCTGTCCATCTGTCGTCTGTCCACTTTTCATTTAAACAACTTCTTCTGAAATACCGAAAGGGGTAGAGTAATCATATTTGGCTGGATAGTTCCTGTGATGTAGCCAAACAAATTTTGCGAAAAAAAATTACCTTGACCCATATTCAAGGTCACAGAGGTCAAATGTGTTAAAAATTTTAAGTGACTTCTTTCAAAATACCGGAAGGCCTAGAATCATTATATTAGGCTACTATGTTCCTCTTATGGTGTCCTACAAAGTTTTCTAAAAGAAATTACCTTGACCCATATTCAAGGTCACTGAGGTCAAATGTGTTAAAACATTTTAAACAATTTCTTCTGAAATATCGAAAAGCCTAGAATCATTATATTTGGCTAGTATGTTCCTTTTATGAAGTCCAAATAAGTAAAAGAAATGACCTTGACCCATAGTCAAAGTCACAGGGGTCAAATGTGTTAAATGTGGAACATATGCACAGATATAGTTATATTGGTCATAAAGATCCAGGTGAGCAATACAGGCCCTCTTGGCCTCTTGTTGACTAATCTCTTTGAGACTTGGTTAATTTTATTATCTGCCATATTGATGTTTCTTTTAATGTTTTTTATTTGGACAATGTACATTTACATATTTTCATGTGTGCAAAAACGAAGAGGCCAATTCCTGTTTCATTTATTGTTCTGTTCATTTCTATACAATACAAAAATAATTAAAAGAAATAGTTTTACTGTCACATGTGAATTTATTCATATTTCTTTCATTCTTTATTTTTTCTTTGAAAACAGAAATAACTAAAATATCATGTTTTCAGTCCAACATGTTTTCATTTTGACCTAAGAACATCAACACTAAACCGCCTTTTATCCTCACATACAGAAATAAGTATTCATTACTACTTCAATCATCAACTCAAACATATCCGTCTAAAAATTTGTAGATCATTCATTCAAATAAAAATTATTCCTTACAATTATAACTGAATAACCCTTTCTAATCAAACCAAGTACTCAAGACCTTGGCCTTTAAATATCTATGCACTTTCTATATACACATTCTACTCAGTTTAAACACAACACATTCGCATTTACAGAACATACATCTGTTTATACTGTGATTGCCACCTACTTAATGTTATTGTATCCAATGTTCTACTTTTTCTTGGTTTTTTTCTGCAAAAGAATCTTACTAAAACATGAACCAGTACTATATATTTTTAGCTATATACATTACAGAAAAATACCAGTACATGGTTTGTAATCATGCATAATGATGCAGATTTTTGAGGCAACCCAAAAAATGTACATGACCTTGTACAAAGGCTATTTGTTAATGTAGACGATTGTCTCATTAGCCTGACACTTCAGTGACCAGGTTCACGAACCACGGTACATACTAAAGCTCCTCCACAATTATATTGCAGTTTTATATCAATTACAGCCTGATGACCACATCCATCTGTCCAAAATTGCATGATATGATTCAATAGCATTTGGTATACAAGAAATTTTACCCTTGACAAATGAACATAAGCTCTTAAACATACTATGTATATATGTATCAAGTCAAATTTTGGCCACTGATGTTCTGGAAGCATAATAAATAAGTTGTGTTTCCCCACAAACAAGTTCAACATTTTGCAACAAACATTTAAAGTCAATTAACAATGCAGAACTGATGATTCCAAAACTAATGAGCATGCTGCACAAGTTTTTCCACCTGATTCAAGACATTAAGTCTATCAAACAAACCTATATTCATTACTGTAAACACATTTATTAATTACCAGTAATAACACTTTAATAACGGGTAAAATGTATTGTTGATCTGACAGTAAAATGAAATGACACATGGAGACTAGTACTATGTATAATACAGTGTATTATTTTAACTAAGAGTCCAGCTCTGAACACTTGTGTATTTTACAGATTACTATACAAAGCTCAGATACACTTCCTGCAATACAAATGAGTACAAGAAGGTTTGGTATATACATGTATTTCAAAGAAAATCAAATTTAAAATTCAGAAAGTTGATTGATTTAAATAGTGAATATCAATATATACATTTGTACAAAATATATACTTTTATACCAAATATATACAATGCATATGACAAAGGTTTTGAAGAATGATTCTATCTGTGATTTATTGTGGATTCAACCTTTTGAAAGTAGAAAAGGAAATCTCTTTATGAAGAATAGCTACGACACCACTATAAACCAGTGTAAAATATACTTATTTAATATGTTTCCAAAAAAAGTACCAAACATTGTATCACTAACAGGTCAACTTCCTTGGATGATAAACAGAATTATGTTTGATATATGAACCTGATATGAATGCCACAAAGTCTACCTATGGTGTTTGTTCTGCCTTGGATGGTCTTAATAGACAGGTTTTATTCTATATTCAAGCGTTTGATACTAAGGTAGCTCTTGATTCATTGAAGTAAACATATGACTAGACTTGAGTGGACACCAGAAAAAAAACTAACACGTGCCTGCTTATAAAATACTGGTAGCTACCAATACACCATATTGATCTTTAAATGCATTCAGTGGCAATTATCAATCATTTTCTTGGTAATTTGATTTTGCAGCCTATGGCTTTGTGTACCATAATAGTAAACCCTCATACAAAGGACAGCACTTGACTCAAATTCAGTCTGATTTATATACAAAGGAATGTCATCACAGTAAAATCCCATATAATTAAATGGGGGGTAAATTTTTGCGAGTAGCCATTATGCGGACATAATTTCAACTGAAACTTCATGGGATTTGTGCAAAGTACTGTGGGAATATATAATATTAAGATTACCACTAATATTTCACAAGACTTATTAAAGCATAACTGTAAAACTCCTGGGATACTTTAAATATGAAAGTATTACAGGAAAATATTACACTTTAAATGTTTTCAAAATAAAGATATATACTGCTGTAACAAACATTGGGACTACTTCAAAACATTGAATTCTCTCTGTTATGTAGGACAGACCCTGCAAATTGAGGCATCTTCAACTTAAAGAGAACATATCAATTTAAGTTCTCTGATTGGTTATGACAAGTAGATTATGTATACTCGAATACCTTAAATCTGCTAAAATATTATTTCACAAACTCTGTTACTACAAGTGAGAAATATTCATATAAAACACAACTGGTATGGATTGTGTCTATATTCCATTTAACTAAGCTGGATCTGTTAATGCACCAAATGGTATGGTTATCTCCCCTTCAAGTAAACCAAGCACCATCTATAAACCATGATTGGTGTGAGTTATGTCCCCTCAAATAAGCTAGCTGGATCGGACTGATATGGTTATCTCTCCAAATATCAAGCTATTTCCATTTTTAAAACCATGATTGGTATGAGTTATCTTCCTTCCAAATCATCCCACTGATTTATTGATGAAGCACATGTAATTTTAGATTTCTCTATGTGTTAAACACATTCAACTTATTTCAGTTCCCAGAAGTAGGTACAAGTGTTAGGGGTCTGAACACACCCAAATATCCTCTATAGAGGACCAGTATGTAACTGAGATCGAGACAGTTTGGTAATATTGCAACAGCCCAGTGTAAGGATCCCTGTGTTTATGACATGGACACATAAACTACATTTTATATCACTACAGGGTGTATCTATATCACAAACATGGACAGATGCTTACTAAGTTATCACATTTCATAAACAGTTACTGATATAACATGTTATACTAGTTCTATCCACCGTTGACATAATTGTTGTGTATTTGACTGATAATCCTGCATCTCTGCTGCTTCTTCAAGGCAGTCCATAACTTGTCCATTATACGAGAATATTAAGGTAGCCTCACACCTGACTTTGCTGTCTTGGCTTGTGGTCTGGGTCGTGACCTTGAGGAGGGGGAGGGTAAGGGTGAATTCCGGAACCTGTACAACAAAACATTGAAATATTTTAGAACAAAAAAAACATATATACTAAACAACCATTTGCTACAACACTTTTCCACGAATCGCCCTTGAATACAGGATGATGAAAAGTTTGGTGTATTATTTACAACTTGAACACAGAAAGGTGATCCCAAAAAATGTGCTGTGTGTCAATTTTCACGTATCATACATAATCATGTGCCATGTGACCAGTGTAATTTTCTGTTGTATATAAATATATTGCTTCCTGTAAGTGTTGTTTTAGATTTGCCTCTCTATATTCTATACACTACAATGTAAGAACATTCTACACTGCTAGGGTAAAACAGTAAAGGACAATGGATCCAAGGGGAAAGCAATATTCACAGATCTTTCAAACAATTCTTAATTTTTTTTTATATGTAAATTCATTTAAACTTTTGTAAATCGCAGAGCATTATTATCGTGTACTACCACAGCAGACCTATAAATACAATAGCAAGTTATCTTTTGATGCTACATAACCATGTTTCTTCAGATAAAGACCACTGAGGTAAATATGAATAGAGGAGAGTGTAGGAGTATCAGCCAGAACAACCTGCAGCAAAGAATAGAACCATTTCACCATGTACAACTACTGCTAGCATTGTACTCAAAGCAATAAAGAGATATTAAAATTGCCAGAATACTTACAACGTATTAGAAAACATGAAAAATATCTCCAGGAGTCCAAATTTAAGGAAGCAATCTTACTTTTTATATGATTATAAAAATATCTTTAATGAAACTGTTCCTACACAAGTGAACTATTTTGTGACTATGTAATAACATATCTCAAAATCTCTTTTTTGTCCAATCTCCACAATCTCCATAATCTCCACAACAATCTCCACAACAATCTCCACAATCTCCACAACAATCTCCACAACAATCTCCATGATCTCCACAACAATCTCCATAATCTCCACAACAATCTCCATAATCTCCACAACAATCTCCACAATCTCCACAACAATCTCCACAACAATCTCCACAATCTCCACAACAATCTCCACAACAATCTCCACAATCTCCATAATCTCCACAACAATCTCCATAATCTCCACAACAATCTCCATAATCTCCACAACAATCTCACAACAATCTCCATAATCTCCACAACAATCTCCATAATGTCAACTCAAAATTCCATTATCCTGTCAAACATTTTCAACATGATTTTGTCAGTTTTTCTGCCATTGACAACTTCTTTCATAAATTCAATGACTGCTTCTGAGGTTTTTTTTTCTTATTACAAACATTATTCATGTAACACTTTATGAATTAATGAAAGATACAAATATATCATGGAAAACCAAATTTCAATTTTTACTGATCAATTACCTCTGTATACACAGCGATTTAATTCCACATGACGAAGCTGACTTCAACAAGCACAATACTTTAAAGATATTGTCATTTTGCAAAACTACAGCTAAAGAGAAAGCAACAGATTACCCGGTCTACCATCAGGAGGGATTCCCATACCAGGAGGAGGAGAAGTTGGCCCTCCACGTAGATGTGGAGGAGGAGGAGGACCCCTCATACGAGGAAGCATATCTGGTGGGGGCATTCTATAGCCTGGGGATCTACGATCCATATGAGGGGGTGGAGGCATCCTCAGCCCACGTTCATAAGGAGGTGGTGACCTTCTGTCTGGAAGAGGTGGTCCTCTCCGGTCATAAGGAGGTGGTGAACGGCCATCCATTGGTGGAGGTGGCATCCTAGGGCCCATCACTCCAGGAGGTGGCATTCGTCGGTCATGCATAGGAGGTGGTGGCATCCGTTCTGGGCCTGGGGAACCAAGGAAATCTCCATCCCTAATAGAAATACAACACACATTCACTTAAATTAGTAAGTTATTATCAAGTTTGCATAGGATAAAACAAAATTTCATATGGAATTACTCTGAGAGTAGCTTTTACTTCACAGCTTCTTACACAATGAAAATTTTGTGAAAACAAATATTGCATTAACTTTAAACAATTTCATTCACATGATGTTATATCTTCACATGTAAAAATTATTCATCTAATAAACTTTAAAAATGTAAGCAAGATACCATGTAAAATTTACCTCATGCCTGCGGGTCCTGGTGGCCCTCCTCCACGGGAGCCTGGCCTGTCCACCCCAGGGGGTGGTCCATTCATACCTGTGAATTAAATATGAGCTTCAACTTGAATTTCTAAGATCATGGTGAGGTTAACAACGATCTGTGATAATTTAATGTCAGTTTGTGTTTACTTCCATCATCATTGTGTGTGGCAATGAGTTACACAGAAACCTCATATATTGTCTTACTATAGGAAACCACAGTCATAGATAATTATGGTACTAGCATTTAAGCCTTATAAAGGATTGAGAACAAATAGCTGCTAGAAAGTAGTGCATGAATTAGGAATTAGTATTCCTCGATGAGAAAATCCAGAAAATTTAATTTTATGAAAAGATTATGTAGAAAACATTCATAATAATTTATGCCCCTGCAGCAGTTCAAATGAAATTAAAATTCAAACTAAGATACATGTCTGCCAATTCAAGAATAATCCAAGTTACACCTGAAAAAGGCCCTATTATCCACATGTATATAAGTGAAGTCTAACTAGATTGAGAGGGACAGTCTGACAGACAGTACAGTGACCCCAGGTTATAAACCAATTCCTGTAGAAAGGGTAGGGACACTACCTAATGAGATGACTTACCTGGTGGTGGCATACCTCGGGTTGGTAACGGCCGTAGAAGTCCACTCGGCCCATGTTGTAGCCGTCGCTCTAGCTCTGTCAATCTAACATAAAGTTATATAATGGAGATGGTGATGCTATATCAGTACATCTGGTTAATCAGATCTCCAACAATGAATACAATGTTATACCGTGTGATCATTATTTATTATAAACTTATCTGTAAAGCAGGCAGAAATCCAGACATTATGATAGATGGCATTAATTTGATCAATTGACTTCAGATATAATCCCAAATACACATGTAATATGTTGTTCTCACTGGAAAATATCTTTCATTTAATATTACAGAACGATCAAAATCCTAATAAAGTTGACATTAAAGTCCAAGTATCACAAAACTCACTTTTGACGCAATACAGTGGCATCATGTCGCGATTCCTTCAGTTCCCTCTCTGCTGCCCGAGCTGCCAGCTGTGAATATAATATTTGTTGGTTTACAGTAATGAGTATTCTGGTAGCTGTGAATATGATATCTGTTGGTTTACAGTAATGAGTAGTCTGGTAGCTGTGAATATAATATCTGTTGGTTTACAGTAATGAGTATTCTGGTAGCTGTGAATATAATATCTGTTGGTTTACAGTAATGAGTAGTCTGGTAGCTGTGAATATAATATCTGTTGGTTTACAGTAATGAGTTTTCTGGTAGCTGTGAATATAATATCTGTTGGTTTACAGTAATGAGTATTCTGGTAGCTGTGAATATAATATCTGTTGGTTTACAGTAATGAGTAAGATTGTGTACATCATAAACAACTGCAAATTAAAGCTACTGGTCTTGTTTTCCGTGCAATCAATACCATCCTATTTTCAATGGAATGCTTAGCATCAGTATGGTCTTGAGACAGCTTTTTAAAGCTGTTGTGTGAACAGAAAACGTAAAATTGTTGAAACAATTAAAGGAAAGGCAAAATGATATTTATCATAAGTGAACGTGCTTACCCAATTTTCATGAGCTTTCTTTTCATTAGCAGCAATCTGAAAATGAACAACGAAGGTGAAGTTAATTTCATTCCGCTAGGAAATGTAAAGAACTAAAAATAATTAAAAACAAATATTTCAGATTGAGACTCATTTCATAAAGATAATAATAACTACATACAGTTGAAGATTGTCGAAAAATCGCTTGAGTTGAAATTTTGCTTGAATTGAAATAATTTTCAAGTCTCTTTATTTTCTTTTACTTTCACATCTTTGTAATTGTAGTTTGGATAACTCAAATTTTATAGAGTCAGAGTGATTTTTCAGTCCCTTCAACAGCACAACTATGGAAAAATTATGGGTTATCTTGAAATTAATTTTTGTGAAAACATCAGCACGTATCTTACCTGAGATCTGAAATCTCTCTCAGCTGAGAGTATTTCCTTCTTTAAATCCTCAACTTGTGCCCTAATAAACAAATTAAGTCATATTAGCATGGAAAATAATAAACAGTATGCCTTTGTACAAGTGATAAGAGTTCACAATACAGTCAACATGAAAGTCCAAATCTAGTGCATTAATAACAAAATCAATGTACCTGTCACTTGGAAATACCATAAGAACTTGTAAATAACCACACAACGTATGATAAAATGTTAAAACATACTGATTAAAATCAGCAGAAAAAGAAGCATGTTGTTCAGTTTTTCTGGTCGAGTCACACCTATAGACACTGGTTTCCAGCATCTAAAAACAGGTTTCTACTAATAATGATATTCACCTGTGACCTAAACAGCATTAAAGGATCCCCTCTAATCAGAGGTTACCCTGGTAGCATTAAAGGATCCCCTCTAATCAGAGGTTACCCTGGTAGCATTACAAGATCCTCTCTGATGATCATCATGGTTTAAATATTACATTAGCAGTACCTGTATGTTTCCAACTCTGCCTCCACCATCTTACTCCTTTCATCAGCATGTTCTAGCTTATTCTTGTTCTGTTTTTTCAGTGCTTCCTGCTCCCCTAACTCTCTACAAATACAGAATACACGTTTACTCCACAAATACAGAATACACGTTTACTCTACAAATACAGAATATACATTTACTCTACAAAGACATAATACACATTTACTCTACAAAGACATAATACACGTTTACTCTACAAAGACATAATACACGTTTACTCTACAAAGACATAATACACATTTACTCTACAAAGACATAATATACATTTACTCTACAAAGACATTATACACGTTTACTCTACAAATACAGAATACACGTTTACTCTACAGAGACATAATACACATTTACTCTACAGAGACATAATACACATTTACTCTACAAAGACATAATACACGTTTACTCTACAAAGACATAATACACGTTTACTCTACAAAGACATAATACACATTTACTCTACAAAGACATAATACACGTTTACTCTACAAAGACATAATACACGTTTACTCTACAGAGACATAATACACATTTACTCTACAGAGACATAATACACATTTACTCTACAGAGACATAATACACGTTTACTCTACAAAGACATAATACACATTTACTCTACAAAGACATAATATACATTTACTCTACAAAGACATCATACACATTTACTCTACAAAGACATCATACACATTTACTCTACAAAGACATAATACACATTTACTCTACAAAGACATAATACACATTTACTCTACAAAGACATAATACACATTTACTCTACAAAGACATAATACACATTTACTCTACATATACAGAATACACGTTTACTCTACAAAGACATAATACACATTTACTCTACAAAGACATAATACACGTTTACTCTACAAAGACATAATACACGTTTACTCTACAAAGACATAATACACGTTTACTCTACAAAGACATAATACACATTTACTCTACAAAGACATAATACACGTTTACTCTACAAAGACATAATACACGTTTACTCTACAGAGACATAATACACGTTTACTCTACAGAGACATAATACACATTTACTCTACAGAGACATAATACACGTTTACTCTACAAAGACATCATACACATTTACTCTACAAAGACATAATGCACATTTACTCTACAAAGACATCATATACATTTACTCTACAAAGACATCATACACATTTACTCTACAAAGACATCATACACATTTACTCTACAAAGACATAATACACATTTACTCTACAAAGACATCATACACATTTACTCTACAAAGACATAATACACATTTACTCTACAAAGACATAATATACATTTACTCTACAAAGACATCATACACATTTACTCTACAGAGACATAATACACGTTTACTCTACAAAGACATAATACACGTTTACTCTACAAAGACATAATACACGTTTACTCTACAAAGACATAATACACATTTACTCTACAAAGACATAATACACGTTTACTCTACAAAGACATAATACACGTTTACTCTACAGAGACATAATACACATTTACTCTACAGAGACATAATACACATTTACTCTACAGAGACATAATACACGTTTACTCTACAAAGACATAATACACATTTACTCTACAAAGACATAATATACATTTACTCTACAAAGACATCATACACATTTACTCTACAAAGACATCATACACATTTACTCTACAAAGACATCATACACATTTACTCTACAAAGACATAATACACATTTACTCTACAAAGACATAATACACGTTTACTCTACAAAGACATAATACACGTTTACTCTACAAAGACATAATACACATTTACTCTACAAAGACATCATACACATTTACTCTACAAAGACATCATACACATTTACTCTACAAAGACATAATACACATTTACTCTACAAAGACATAATACACGTTTACTCTACAAAGACATAATACACATTTACTCTACAAAGACATAATACACGTTTACTCTACAAAGACATAATACACATTTACTCTACAAAGACATAATACACGTTTACTCTACAAAGACATAATACATGTTTACTCTACAAAGACATAATACACGTTTACTCTACAAAGACATAATACACATTTACTCTACAAAGACATAATACACATTTACTCTACAAAGACATAATACACGTTTACTCTACAAAGACATAATATACATTTACTCTACAAAGACATCATACACATTTACTCTACAAAGACATCATACACATTTACTCTACAAAGACATCATACACATTTACTCTACAAAGACATCATACACATTTACTCTACAAAGACATAATACACATTTACTCTACAAAGACATAATACACGTTTACTCTACAAAGACATAATACACGTTTACTCTACAAAGACATAATACACGTTTACTCTACAAAGACATAATACACATTTACTCTACAAAGACATAATACACGTTTACACTACAAAGACAGAATACACATTTACTCTACAAAGACATAATATACATTTACGGAATAAAAACATCCTACAACATAATTAAACTCATTTCAAAGAATGTACACTTTTGAGTTCAATTGTATGATCACTATTCAGCCAGATATATTACAAAGTGAGCTACATAATTATCAGAAATTTCCTTAAACTGTCACATTTGAACATATAATGAAATATTATTGATTTTACCAGAACTTTGGCCTATTTCAACGATACCTTCATTCCACAGTATATTTTAAGATATACTGTTCCAAATCCACTTACAACTACACTAGGTCCCAACCATTCACACAATTAATACCATATGTTATTTATTTGAAGCTATAAATCTTTTAAACGTACCGTTGTAGTTGAACCTCTTTCTCCTTGAAATAATGAGTCAAAACATTAAGTTTGGTCTGGGCTTCATGACACTGTCTGTCAGCTTTCATTTTGTCAGCTTGGAAACTTTCAAGTTTTGCCTGCAGACAGGCAATTTGTTCTAGAAGAGAGATAATTTAGAAGATTATTGTATTACATGTATTAATACTCAGGCATATTTCCATGAAATCTCAAAACATTTGCATAAAGCAACAACAAAATGGAAGAATCTGCACCCATGATTCTAAACTTTTGTCTTTTATGGAAAGACAATACAACACCTGAATGCTTTATGCAAATTGCATTATGCTAAATACTGAAAGCAAAAAAGCTAAATAATTAATGTGAAATGCTTTTTCTCCAAAAAGTAGGAACTGGAAAGGATACACAAAGCATTCATGGTTGTAAGTAGGCCTAGAGCAGATGAAGAGCATTCATGGTTGTAAGTAGGCCTAGAGCAGATGACGAGCATTCATGGTTGTAAGTAGGCCTAGAGCAGATGACGAGCATTCATGGTTGTAAGTAGGCCTAGAGCAGATGACGAGCATTCATGGTTGTAAGTAGGCCTAGAGCAGATGACGAGCATTCATGGTTGTAAGTAGGCCTAGAGCAGATGAAGAGCATTCATGGTTGTAAGTAGGCCTAGAGCAGATGACGAACATTCATGGTTGTAAGTAGGCCTAGAGCAGATGAAGAGCATTCATGGTTGTAAGTAGGCCTAGAGCAGATGACGAGCATTCATGGTTGTAAGTAGGCCTAGAGCAGATGAAGAGCATTCATGGTTGTAAGTAGGCCTAGAGCAGATGAACAGCATTCATGGTTGTAAGTAGGCCTAGAGCAGATGAACAGCATTCATGGTTGTAAGTAGGCCTAGAGCAGATGAACAGCATTCATGGTTGTAAGTAGGCCTAGAGCAGATGAACAGCATTCATGGTTGTAAGTAGGCCTAGAGCAGATGAACAGCATTCATGGTTGTAAGTAGGCCTAGAGCAGATGATGAGCATTCATGGTTGTAAGTAGGCCTAGAGCAGATGACGAGCATTCATGGTTGTAAGTAGGCCTAGAGCAGATGAAGAGCATTCATGGTTGTAAGTAGGCCTAGAGCAGATGACGAGCATTCATGGTTGTAAGTAGGCCTAGAGCAGATGAAGAGCATTCATGGTTGTAAGTAGGCCTAGAGCAGATGACGAGCATTCATGGTTGTAAGTAGGCCTAGAGCAGATGAAGAGCATTCAGCCTATTTCATAAAAAGGTACCTCACATTTAATATTCATCATACTCAGTAACACTTGAACTTTGCATTAAGTATTTAGCATAATGCATTTCACATGAAGCATAAGTATTCAATTGTATAGAATGTCCAAAACAAGCATGCTTAATCAATATGATAAGGCAGTGACAAAATTTTTAAGATCAAAAAAATTTAAAGAGATATTTTCTATCCACTTAAAATCATCTCAAAATCAAAGATAAATAAAGCATTTCACATTTGGCATCAAACATTTCACTTTTGACATAAAGCATTTCACATTTGGCATCAAACATTTCACTTTTGACAAAAAGCATTTCATATTTGGCATCAAACATTTCACTTTTGACAAAAAGCATTTCACATTTGGCATCAAACATTTCACTTTTGACATAAAGCATTTCACATTTGGCATCAAAAAACTTCACATATGGCATAAAGCAATTTGCATAAAATATCTGGCATGTAATAGCAGTTTTCCGTAGCCTTCTGCCAGCATTCCATACTCCAACTTTCCATAAGTCCATAATCACTATCAACATCTTACATTTCCCAATAATTTTTCTTCTCCAATTGACATACGATACTTTATGTTACCTCCCGTCTCCTGTATTCCCCTGTTACCTCCCATCTCCTATATTCCCCCTGTTACCTCCCATACCCTGTATTCCCCCTGTTACCTCCCATCTCCTGTATTCCCCCTGTTACCTCTCATCTCCTGTATTCCCCCTGTTATCTCCCATCTCCTGTATTCCCCGTTACCTCCCATACCCTGTATTCCCCCTGTTACCTCCCATCTCCTGTATTCCCCCTGTTACCGCCCATACCCTGTATTCCCCATTACCTCCCATCTCCTGTATTCCCCCTGTTACCTCCCATACCCTGTATTCCCCCTGTTACCTCCCATCTCCTGTATTCCCCCTGTTACCGCCCATACCCTGTATTCCCCCTGTTACCTCCCATCTCCTGTATTCCCCTGTTACCTCCCATCTCCTGTATTCCCCCTGTTACCTCCCATCTCCTGTATTCCCCGTTACCTCCCATCTCCTGTATTCCCCCTGTTACCTCCCATCTCCTGTATTCCCCCTGTTACCTCCCATACCCTGTATTCCCCCTGTTACCTCCCATCTCCTGTATTCCCCCTGTTACCGCCCATACCCTGTATTCCCCGTTACCTCCCGTCTCCTGTATTCCCCCTGTTACCTCCCGTCTCCTGTATTCCCCCTGTTACCTCCCGTCTCCTGTATTCCCCCTGTTACCTCCCGTCTCCTGTATTCCCCCTGTTACCTCCCGTCTCCTGTATTCCCCCTGTTACCTCCCGTCTCCTGTATTCCCCGTTACCTCCCGTCTCCTGTATTCCCCCGTTACCTCCCATACCCTGTATTCCCCCTGTTACCTCCCGTCTCCTGTATTCCCCCTGTTACCTCCCGTCTCCTGTATTCCCCGTTACCTCCCATACCCTGTATTCCCCCTGTTACCTCCCGTCTCCTGTATTCCCCCTGTTACCTCCCGTCTCCTGTATTCCCCCTGTTACCTCCCATCTCCTGTATTCCCCCTGTTACCTCCCATCTCCTCTATTTCCTGTAACCTTTCACCTTCTTTATTCCCCCTGTTATTTCCATCTACATTAAATCTTGTTCTTACCTTCCATCTCCTGGCGACATTCTATCTCTATATCCACTTTGTTCTGTAATGTCAATTTCTCCTCTTCTAATGCATGTAGTGAAGCTTTTACCTACAGTTTACAAAGAATACATATACTGTATCTTATATCTTAAACTGTTCACTGAAACAGGTTATTATAACAAAATGAACTGGTTTTACATTTTTATAGCTCTTTGTCTTACTTTCTATTGTGATATTACTTCTTCTTAAAATAGTTTACTAGGTTGATTGCCTCATAAACTGCCAGGGTCATTTTGAGGTAAGGTTGCCTTGTAGTAGCCTGTGGATACCCTCATTGAACATCATACAGGAGGGCTGTCGCATGCTATCTAGAGATTATGCTATTGTGTGTTGCCCAAGGACACAATTACGTCAGCACAGTCTGGTCCATTTCTCAGCTTCCTGAGAAACAAACAGTCACTGGTAGGGAGTGTTAAACCACACACCAACATCTACTGAGGTATCATAGCCCCTTTTCTAACAGAGAAACTTTGGAGTTAAGAAATGTGGAGTGTATGAAAAGATGTTTTTACAGTTTAATTCAAACTCAAAATAGTTTATTCCAATCTACAAATCAGTTTTATTTTGTATCAGGGACTATTATGTTTCACTGTCTAGGAGAAGCAAATAATTTTATGTTTTTCTGAGAGGGAAAACCTTTAATGTCTGTTAGAGGCAGAGATGGATAGCCTTCAATGTCTGTTAGAGGCAGAGACGGATAGCCTTCACTGTCTGTTAGAGGCAGAGACAGATAGCCTTCACTGTCTTGTTAGAGGCAGAGACGGATAGCCTTCAATGTCTGTTAGAGGCAGAGACGGATAGCCTTCACTGTCTGTGAGAGGCAGAGACGGATAGCCTTCACTGTCTTGTTAGAGGCAGAGACGGATAGCCTTCACTGTCTGTTAGAGGCAGAGACGGATAGCCTTCACTGTCTGTTAGAGGCAGAGACGGATAGCCTTCACTGTCTGTTAGAGGAAAAGACGGATAGCCTTCACTGTCTGTTAGAGGCAGAGAGGGATAGCCTTCATTGTCTGTTAGAGGCAGAGACAGATAGCCTTCACTGTCTTGTTAGAGGAAAAGAGGGATAGCCTTCACTGTCTGTTAGAGAAAAAGAGGGATAGCCTTCACTGTCTGTTAGAGGCAGAGACAGATAGCCTTCACTGTCTGTGAGAGGCAGAGAGGGATAGCCTTCACTGTCTTGTTAGAGGAAAAGAAGGATAGCCTTCACTGTCTGTTAGAGAAAAAGAGGGATAGCCTTCACTGTCTGTTAGAGGCAGAGACAGATAGCCTTCACTGTCTGTTAGAGGCAGAGAGGGATAGCCTTCACTGTCTGTTAGAGGCAAAGACGGATAGCCTTCACTGTCTGTTAGAGAAAAAGAGGGATAGCCTTCACTGTCTGTTAGAGGCAGAGACAGATAGCCTTCACAGTCTGTTAGAGGAAAAGAGGGATAGCCTTGACAGTCTGTTAGAGGCAGAGACAGATAGCCTTCACTGTCTTGTTAGAGGCAGAGACGGATAGCCTTCAATGTCTTGTTAGAGGCAGAGACGGATAGCCTTCACTGTCTGTTAGAGGCAGAGAGGGATAGCCTTCACTGTCTGTTAGAGAAAAAGAGGGATAGCCTTCACTGTCTGTTAGAGGCAGAGACAGATAGCCTTCACTGTCTGTTAGAGGCAGAGAGGGATAGCCTTCACTGTCTGTTAGAGAAAAAGAGGGATAACCTTCACTGTCTGTTAGAGGAAAAGATGGATAGCCTTCACTGTCTGTTAGAGGAAAAGATGGATAGCCTTCACAGTCTGTTAGAGGAAAAGAGGGATAGCCTTCACTGTCTGTTAGAGGCAGAGAGGGATAGCCTTCACTGTCTGTTAGAGGCAGAGACAGATAGCCTTCACTGTCTGTTAGAGGCAGAGAGGGATAGCCTCCACTGTCTGTTAGAGGCAGAGAGGGATAGCCTTCACTGTCTGTTAGAGGCAGAGAGGGATAGCCTTCACTGTCTGTTAGAGGCAGAGACAGATAGCCTTCACTGTCTGTTAGAGGCAAAGACGGATAGCCTTCACAGTCTGTTAGAGGAAAAGAGGGATAGCCTTCACTGTCTGTTAGAGGCAGAGACAGATAGCCTTCACTGTCTGTTAGAGGCAGAGAGGGATAGCCTCCACTGTCTGTTAGAGGCAGAGAGGGATAGCCTTCACTGTCTGTTAGAGGCAGAGAGGGATAACCTTCACAGTCTGTTAGAGGCAAAGACGGATAGCCTTCACAGTCTGTTAGAGGAAAAGAGGGATAGCCTTCACTGTCTGTTAGAGGCAGAGAGGGATAGCCTTCACTGTCTGTTAGAGGCAGAGACAGATAGCCTTCACTGTCTGTTAGAGGCAGAGACAGATAGCCTTCACTGTCTGTTAGAGGCAGAGAGGGATAGCCTTCACTGTCTGTTAGAGGCAGAGACAGATAGCACTGTCACAGAGAGGGATAGTCTGTCTGTTAGAGGCAGAGAGAGGCAGAGAGGGATAGCCTTCACTGTCTGTTAGAGGCAGAGAGGGATAGCCTTCACTGTCTGTTAGAGGCAGAGAGGGATAGCCTTCACTGTCTGTTAGAGGAAAAGAGGGATAGCCTTCACTGTCTGTTAGAGGCAGAGAGGGATAGCCTTCACTGTCTGTTAGAGGCAGAGAGGGATAGCCTTCACAGAGAGGGATCTGTTACTGTCTGAGGCAGAGAGGGATAGCCTTCACTGTCTGTTAGAGGCAGAGAGGGATAGCCTTCACTGTCTGTTAGAGGCAGAGATGGATAGCCTTCACTGTCTGTTAGAGGCAGAGAGGGATAGCCTTCACTGTCTGTTAGAGGCAAAGATGGATAGCCTTCACTGTCTGTTAGAGGCAAAGATGGATAGCCTTCACTGTCTGTTAGAGGCAGAGAGGGATAACCTTCACTGTCTGTTAGAGGCAGAGAGGGATAACCTTCACTGTCTGTTAGAGGCAAAGATGGATAGCCTTCACTGTCTGTTAGAGGCAGAGACAGATAGCCTTCAGATGGATAGCCTTCACTGTCTGTTAGAGGCAGAGAGGGATAACCTTCACTGTCTGTTAGAGGAAAAGAGGGATAGCCTTCACTGTCTGTTAGAGGAAAAGATGGATAGCCTTCACTGTCTGTTAGAGGCAAAGATGGATAGCCTTCACTGTCTGTTAGAGGCAGAGAGGGATAACCTTCACTGTCTGTTAGAGGAAAAGAGGGATAGCCTTCACTGTCTGTTAGAGGCAAAGATGGATAGCCTTCACTGTCTGTTAGAGGCAAAGATGGATAGCCTTCACTGTCTGTTAGAGGAAAAGATGGATAGCCTTCACTGTCTGTTAGAGGCAAAGATGGATAGCCTTCACTGTCTGTTAGAGGCAAAGATGGATAGCCTTCACTGTCTGTTAGAGGAAAAGAGGGATAGCCTTCACTGTCTGTTAGAGGCAAAGATGGATAGCCTTCACTGTCTGTTAGAGGCAGAGAGGGATAGCCTTCACTGTCTGTTAGAGGAAAAGAGGGATAGCCTTCACTGTCTGTTAGAGGCAAAGATGGATAGCCTTCACTGTCTGTTAGAGGCAGAGAGGGATAGCCTTCACTGTCTGTTAGAGGCAGAGAGGGATAGCCTTCACTGTCTGTTAGAGGCAGAGAGGGATAGCCTTCACTGCAGGAGAGGGATAGCCTTCACAGTCTGTTAGAGGCAGAGAGGGATAACCTTTACTGTCTGTTAGAGGCAAAGAGGGATAGCCTTCACAGTCTGTTAGAGGCAGAGAGGGATAGCCTTCAAGTTTTTTAAGATTCAGTCAAATATTGTTACACCATACACCACAGTTTCAAAGATGGATAGCCTTCACACTGTTAGAGGCAAAGAGGGATAGTCCTTCACTGTCTAAGCAGAGATGTCCTTCACTGTCTCCCCAGAGGGATAGCCTTCACTGTCTGTTAATCAGAGATGATAGCCTTCACAATCATCTGTTAGAAGGTCACCACTAAGAGGATGTCCCACCTCATCCACAAGTCCAGAGTCAACTAATCAGATACCCAGGCACCACCTTCAGAATGTCCCAGTCACCACTAATCAGAAGGGATCTTAAATTTGAAATTACTGGAAAACCTATCAGAAACATCCCCAGTCTGTTAATCAGAAAGTTGATAGCCTTCAAAGTCAACTAAGAGGGAAGTCCCATGTTACCTATTTCATTGAGAGGGATAGCCCACAAATCATCCCAAGTCACCACTAATCAGAATGTCCCAGATAGTCACCACTAATCAGAATAGACAATCATCCCAAGTCACCACTAATCAGAATGTCTAACAAAACAAACTAATCACTGTCTGTTCTAACAGAATGTCCCACAATCATCCCAAGTCACCACTAATCAGAATGTCCCACAATCATCCCCAGGCACCACTAATCAGAATGTCCCACAATCATCCCCAGGCACCACTAATCAGAATGTCCCACAATCGTCCCAAGTCACCACTAATCAGAATGTCCCACAATCGTCCCAAGTCACCACTAATCAGAATGTCCCACAATCATCCCCAGTCACCACTAATCAGAATGTCCCACAATCATCCCAAGTCACCACTAATCAGAATGTCCCACAATCATCCCCAGGCACCACTAATCAGAATGTCCCACAATCGTCCCAAGTCACCACTAATCAGAATGTCCCACAATCATCCCCAGTCACCACTAATCAGAATGTCCCACAATCATCCCAAGTCACCACTAATCAGAATGTCCCACAATCATCCCCATCACCACTAATCAGAATGTTAACAATCATCCCAAGTCACCACTAATCAGAATGTCCCACAATCATCCCAAGTCACCACTAATCAGAATGTCCCACAATCATCCCAAGTCACCACTAATCAGAATGTCCCACAATCATCCCAAGTCACCACTAATCAGAATGTCCCACAATCATCCCAAGTCACCACTAATCAGAATGTCCCACAATCGTCCCAAGTCACCACTAATCAGAATGTCCCACAATCATCCCCAGTCACCACTAATCAGAATGTCTAACAATCGTCCCAAGTCACCACTAATCAGAATGTCCCAC